ATATAAAGTGTATTTTTCCCCTTAGATCACAACAAAACTTTTATTTATTTATTTATTTATTTATTTATTTTTGCCTGTTTTGTTTCATTTTCACAATGCATAAAACTATAATTAAGGTCATTTGGTTGTTTATTGCAGGTGGACTTTAGATGAAGATACATCTAAAATCTAACTGCTGTTGCAAAAGTGATGTTTCTTTTTAGGATGAAACAAGCAAAACACAAAACAAAACATGGATGGATGTTTACAGTTGCAGAGATGTCTCAGTTATTTGATTAGGAGGCCTCCTGGAGGTTTCCGGGGCTTGTCCCACTGTAAGAACACTGAACTTTCTGGATGGATTATGTTCCATCACTGGGAATGACAAGGAGGACAATGAATGAGATGTCTGAGCTTCCCTCAGGGGCGGATTTAGCAATTTGGGGGCCCAAGGCGAACACAGACATGGGGCCCCTTACACTAAATTTTTGACAATCCTACCTTTAACTGGATTTGCGAAACTCTCCCCTCTTCTGACATGAGTTATTTTCCCTTTTAATTAGTCCTCCTCTTTTTTCCTGTCTTTCTCTCCCTTTGAGCCCTTTCAATATTTGCTCTGCTTTCTTTTTCCTGTCAGTGCTCCTGTGCTTTAGCCTTAGTTTTTTTTTTCTATTTTCTCTTTTCCATTTTGGTCTACGTTTTCCTCCCTTTAAACATTTTCCATTGTCTTTCCTTTCTGCTTCCTTTTGATGTTTACATTGAAAAACGACGTCACTTTCAGAAGTGAAAAGAAAAGCTTTTATGAAGCAAGCTGCTTCTTTCTCTTATTGGAGCCACTAGGATAACTCCATTTCATGCTTAATGTTTTGACTATCGCTTTGAATTTTTTACGAACACTCCCGCCTCTCTTCTTCTTCTTATTTGTGGTCTTATGGCACTTGGCAAACAACAATTTGGTGCATTACCGCCACCAACTGGATTGGAGTGGAATGACTAGCAATCACTTCCTGTTTGTGCATCGCCGTCTTAATAACCCTCTTATGACCATAATTATAACAGGGCCGCCTGGTATGTTTTAATCTTATGGCTGTAAAATTGTAATAAAAAGCACAAAGTGTGTGTAACTCTTCTCCTTTTTTCAGAACAACCTCAGCTTTCAGTGTATGGTTTGTATTTAGAATTTATTTCTTAAAAAGCCTTTAAAAATCAGCTTAAAAGTGAAAAAAGCAAAAAACGGATTTGAATTTTTTACATTTATTACTGAACAGGAACTTCTAAATTACTGGGCAAACAATTTAAACTTTGATCTGTAATGCATCTATTCTTAAAAAAGTGTTAACCTTGGTATCTTTTTTAGCAGTTTTTAAGACCATTTATTTTTGTAAACTTTCAGATGTTTTTATTTGATGGGGTAGACCTTGAAGCAGTTTCTCTCCAGCTGCAGGCAGAGTCCTGCACACCTCATGCCGCCATGGGGTGCTTCTCTTGCACACGTGCACTGCTATACCAAAACTTTTGTTTTAGCAAATGTAATTATTTATGGTAAAAAGATAAATAATGCTGGAATGAAGCTGAATCTTACAATTAGCAAATAGTTGAGGATTGTTCATATAAAAAATAAAGACTGAACAAACATTCATACGCTGGTTCACCGGAGATCTGTCCTTCTTCGTGGTCACTGTCTTCAGATAGCCTTCTGGGACACCTAATAGATCGTGTTGATTTTCTTTGAGGCATTTCCGTAATTTCATGCTGGCTTTTTATGCTAATTAGCTTCCCCGTCCCGTTATCCACTTTCACCGCATCGCTGCACTCCGTTTCAATCAGGCTGTACAGCAGGATTTCCCCTCGTAGCTATATTTTCCCTAACTCTGATTGCTTCATGCTATAGGTCGTTGGAAAGCTGCTTTTATGTACTTTTAGGAACCGTTGGATTTTCCTGGATCCGATCAGCCATTCAAAAGTTATAAAACGGAGCATTTTGGATGACAAACTCAGCACTGTCTTTGAATCTGTGTTGTGATTCGTTGCGCTCAAGACAGGGGATCCCGGTGGCTACCGTAATGTATTGAATATGCACAAAAAGCCCCATTTTTAATCTTTTCAGCACTTTTGGAATTTTAATGATATCTTGAACGATTCAGGAATTATGGTAATGAGAAGCATGTCCAATCCCGTCTGCGGTGACAGGTTGGTAAAAAGAATATTGTGGCATTAACAGAGGGGTGCCGGCGGTCAGGGCTAGGGGGCCCCCCAACACAAGGGGGCCCCAGGCGGCCGCCGACCTATGCCTAATGGTAAAACCGCCTCTGCCCCTCCCCCCGCGACCCTACGTGGACAAGCGGGTTCAGACAATGGATGGACGGATGGATACTCTACAAAGGTAGCCCAATCTAGGTCCGGTTCAACACGTTTGGATTTAGCCAGATTTATCTCGATGCATCGAACTCTTTGTTTGGGCAGCAGTAGCTCAGCAGGTTGAGCGGGTTGTCCAGTAGAAAGGTTGCAGGTTCGATCCCAGCTCTGGACAGAGAATTCTGCTGTTGTGTCCTTGGGCAAGACACTTAACCCACCTTGCCTGTTGGTGGTGGTCGGAGGGACCGGTGGCGCCAGTGCTCGGCAGCCTCGCCTCTGTCAGTGCGCCCCAGGGCAGCTGTGGCTACATCGTAGCTCATCACCATCAGTGTGTGAATGTGTGTGTGAATGGATGAATGATACACTGTAGTGTAAAGCGCTTTGGAGTCCTTACTCTGAGGACACAAGTGCAGGTCATTTATCATTTATCATTCATCCTCCCTCGCAGATCCTTCACCCTCTCCAAAAATGAAAAACTCTCCAGATGAGCTCCAACCTTCATCTCCATCCGTTTCCTTGTCTTCTTCTCCCCAACCTCTGATTAAACTCATTTTATGTAGTAGAATAAGCTTGCATCTTTCTGGGTCATTCTTTTTAAACAATCAAAACACCTAAAACACAAAACATGCTAAAATCTGAGGATTTCCACACAAAAAACCGAAAAACTGAAAATTATTCACAAAACCAGCTCCGGTGTACAGGAATAAGTTTTAGAGTGCTTCTGTGATGTCACATTTTTATTTCCTTTTGTTCACGTATCTAATTAGTAGTTATACTGCCTCCTCCACACACGTCTTTCATTAACTCAATGTGTGTGTGTGTGTGTGTGTGTGTGTGTGTGTGTGTGTGTGTGTGTGTGTGTGTGTGTGTGTGTGTGTGTGTGTGTGTGTGTGTGTGTGTGTGTGTGTGTGTGTGTGTGTGTGTGTGTGTGTGTGGAGGCACTGAAGTACAAAGTTCTGTGAGAAATTGATCAGGGGGGTCTAGGCCGGGCTTGCAGGCTCTACTACCTTGTGATTTTTATCTTGAGAGGTGAAAATAAATTTTTGGTTTTTCTTCTTCTCCTACGCTGGGATTTTATTTGATTTGATAAGTATCCTTATCCATTTAGACAAGAAATTTGCTTGGAAACGGACAAAAAAATGCTACAAAATCATAAGTGCCATGACGAAACGACCTGTCCTAGGAACAATGTCCTAGTTTCTCTCGTGGCCTCTAACTACGAGGCTGGTCTCTAACCAACAACAAACAGCTCATAAAGCAGTAAACCCTGGTTTACTCACAGAGCTTTCACAACACAGTTGTAATAAAAATAGGGAACAACATAAAAATATCACAATAACCTGAAATACGTAATGGTAAAACGTGTAGCACAGAATGCAAATAGTTTTCTCTTTTCTGGGTGCATGTAAAGACCCTCGCTTGGCCACCAAAAACAGTAACCCCCCCCCCCCCCCCCCCCCCCACACACACACACACACACACACACACACACACACACACACCACCCCCGTAATTGTCAAATCCGGTGAGGCGGGACTTAGTCCCGGGTATCCATTCCATCAGTGAGCTGATCTCGATCATTCACTCAGAGGGCCCCACTTTGGGCGCCAAATTGTTGTGGAAATTTTCACCGAACCGATGAAGTACAAAAAAAGGTAGAACGTTCCATCTTTTGTATTGTTTATTACCAAATGCATAAAAGTGTTCGGGTCCCAGTCTATGAAGGTCACAGAATGAGCCAAAAATGGAAGAATACACACAACTTTATAGTCCTGCAGGACACACACACATGCTGACAAACAAATATGAATAAATGGCCTGTATTTGTTCTTTACCCATTCACACACACGAGTTACGATGTAGGCACAGCCGCCCTGGCGTACTGGCAGCAGCAAGGACTGCCAAACACTGGCGCCACCGGCAGTGGCATGTCCAGATCTTGTAAAATGGGGTGGCCCAGGTGAGGCACAACTTTGTGCATGGGTGGCACCAATGGTTATGCTTTTTTTGTTTTACCCCCAAGCCTTTTGTGGACAATGAAAAGCCTATTTAAAGGTAAATTAGTGTGGTGGCACCTGAGGTGGCCAATCAGATTTCAAGGGTGGCATGTGCTACCCCAGGCCACTCCCTGGACACGCCCCTGGCCACCGGTCCCTCGGACCACCACCTGCAGGCAAGGCGGGTTAAGTGTCTTTCTCTAGGACACAACAACAGCATTCTCTGGTCAGAACTGGGATCAAACCTACAACCTTCTGTTCTGGACAACCCGCTCTACCTCCTGAGCTACGGCTGTCTAAAGCCTCCTCTCCCCATCTTCCTCCTCCCTTTCTCCCCTCCTTCCCAGACATGGCAGAGATAACTGAGCTTAGGCATCTAGGCTACCTGACCAGCTGGGTGCATGGTGAGTGTGAGTGGGTATCTGGCTGGACTGTGGAGAAGTTAACCACAATAATCAAAACAAGTCACATGTAAAACATAAAAAAATTTCCATCACAAGTTCTAATTTTTGTGTTGCTCAAACTCATTTTCTTGACTTGTAGAACAGCTCATCAGTCATTTCTGTGAACCTCAGCTGCCAGCGAATTTGGTGTTAAATGAGTGCAGTGTGATCGTTTACATGAAATTACCTCATCATCATCATCATCATCATTACTGTCATCCAGCAATGAGAAGAAAGTCATGAGAAAAGTCAAGAGAGGAGGTCTCAGGATGCTTTCAAACTAAAAGTCGGATTTTGGATGAAACGAGAGCAAGAGAAGCTGGGAAACGTGGAGGCTTGCAGACGAGGGGCTCGGCTTCTGTGCAGGGTCTCAGCAAAGAGAGATGGAGGATAAGATCGAGGGAGAGAACAGGTTGACACGACAGTTTCACGATGAGTCATTTGGTGACATTTTAGTGAATAATGCCCCGACACGCTTCTGCTCTCCACTCAGTCGAGCTCAGAGGGTCGTAGGTAACATCGCGTTCTGGCTTCTTCATCTACGGTAAGATGAAATGTTTCCTACTTCTTTTATGCTGAATACCTTTGATCTACTTTGCTCTAAAGTTGGTTAAATTACTGAACTTCCTAATCTGTGTCACGTTTTAAGTCAAATACAAACCTTGTGTTGCTTCACAAATCGAGTGTGATCACAAAGAAAAAACACATTTCAAATGGTTTTTTTTGCTGCTTTGTGACAATATCTGACACAACCTCTTGTGTTCTCTCTTCCTCCTGTCGTTCACCACTTCCCAGATGCCGCCTCTCTGCTATTTGAGGTTCCTCTTGCTGTGCTGCCTTCCCTCTTCTGGGCTCTCCCTTCAATGTAACCAGAACCAATATGCCTGGCCCACAGAGTCACCCACAGTCTGCTGCGACAAGTGCTCACCAGGTACAGAAAGTTCTTCGTGTCGTCCTAAAGACCAGACGATGACAGGAGTTGATCATGACCCAATGTGTGTCCCTCAGGTTCTCATATGGAGTCAAGACCACCCGGCTCTTGTAAAATTAATTGCAAACCATGCACAGGTGATCGATTCATGGATTCCCACAATGTGGAGATGAGCTGCAAAGTTTGTGACATTTGCAATAAACGTGAGTAACTTGAGATTTAAAAAATGTGCTTAAATGTGTTCTGCTTTTTCTATTTAAAAGGAAGAAGTGTCTCTTTTTGTGCGATAAGTTACCAGATAAATGATTTGCCACATCACAGGGGCACGTAAAACGGGTACTAACATCAGCATCCAGCACATCTGACGAGTCGGTTTGGTTTTGATTTGAAGATGCAAACGATGGATGTTTACTGTAAAGGACGCTGTGGTTCATTTTCATGTGTGAACTCTGGATCTGCCTTCAAGCTGCGGTGTGTCAGTGAGTCATCTGTTACTCTGACCGCTAAATTTGACCAGTTTCAGAGAAGAAGCTGGTAGAGAGCACAGGCTGCTAGTAGACGAGGTTTAGTATTAGAGAAAATACACAAACACATGTGAGGGAATTTCCCGTTTGAGCAGAAAGAGGGGGGAGACAGTCAGACAGAGACGAAAGACAGAAGGGGAAAGGTGGTCCGTCAAATCATCTGTGAAGCAGCTTGAATGTTTGGAGAGCGCAGCAACATTTGTGTTTGTAAAACAAAATTTGGGGCTTAATTTTCTTTTTTGCGAGGCTGTCATATTCTGCGGGTGGAGATGGCAGACCATGTGTGGTGGTGGGTTTCAGGAGGAAGAAGAGCAGGCATGGATGAAAAAATAAAAATGGTTTAATTGTAGAACGGGAGCGACAGGACAAAACGAACATGCACAAACAATCAACAATGATCCGACGAAGACAGCAACAAGGAGGGAGGTATAAATACACTGGGGAAAATCAGGAACACATGGGCAGAGTAATGAGGGACAGGTGAGAACAATAGGGTTAATCAAGGCAGGAGAGACACAGTCAGGAAGGCCGGGGCGGATCATGACAGAGGCAGAAATATACCCTTAGGCCCTGTCCACACGTAGCCGGGGATCTGCCAAAACGTAGATATTTTTCTACGTTTTGGCCTGTCATCCACACGAAAACGGAGTTTTTTCACACGAAAATGGATCTTTTTAAAAACTCCGGCCAAAGTGAAGATCTGCGTTTTCTCCGTTTTGGGTGTCTGCGTGTGGACGGACAAAACCGGAGTTTTAAGGTCCGCAACGTCACGTTCTGCGACAAAAAAATGCTGACATCACGTGTGCGACCTGTGTTTACACTAGCCGACATCATGGAAGCCCTCAGAGCTGCGCTCTGTCACTACCCGATCCATCAATTGTCCAAGCGCTTTTTGCTTGTTTGTTTTTGCAAGCGGAATTACTGCTCCTCGCAGAAGACCACAGACGGAGGACGAGGTTAAGAACGGGGGAAGTACTGCCGCCTACAGGTCTGGCATGTCTTAACGACGTATTTATCCGGGTACGTGTGGACAGTTTTTTTTAAAAACGAGGTGGTGTGGATGTACGTTTTTGGAGGGGCGGATATTCGTTTTTAAAAAACCCCGGCTACGTGTGGACTAGGCCTAGGCCTTAGTCAGTGGAAAGAAGAAAAAAAATGAAAACTTCAGAAAGAAGCTTAGACGCAAATTTAAGCTACCATTTGATCAGGTCTCTTTGCTTCTGCAGATGAGCAAAAAACAACTGTTGTTCTTAATTCTAAATGTCACCGTGGAAAACAGGAGATTCAGCAGCAGTTTGTAAATCTAGATTTCTGCAGGCATCAGTGTCTCATCAGACGTTTTAGAACCTCCTTCGATATTGTGAACTCAGTGGTTTCATACGTGCATGTCATTTTACAGTAGCGGCAGTGTTTTTAACCAGACGCACACGTGTTTTGGTAAAAAAAAAATCTTTAAAGTTCAAATGATCAGCGTTAGGATCTAAGGAGAAAGGAAAGTGGGTGTTTGAAATGTCAAAAAACGACACTTTCAGGGGCCACGGCATCAATCAACGCACAAAGAAACCGTTTTAGTCGGAAATAATTCAGCCTACACAGAAATTTCACACGTCGTACAAATGTTTCTGTTCTGCCTTTTTCTTCATGATAGAGCGAAAGTGCATGATCAATGAAAAACAAAACATTTAGAGCTCAGATCACGAGGATAAGCATCTTTATGAAGTACACTGCAAAAACTGATTTCTAAGAAAGTAAAAGAAGTCTTAAAATATTTTATCTTATTTTTAGTTAAAAAAGTGTGTGTGTGTGTGTGTGTGTGTGTGTGTGTGTGTGTGTGTGTGTGTGTGTGTGTGTGTGTGTGTGTGTGTGTGTGTGTTCTCCGTCCCCAGTGAGTCGTGGAGGATGGCTGCTTATACTGAGCCAGGATCCTCTGGAGGTTTCTTCCTGTTAAAAGGGAGTTTTCCTCTCCACTGTTGCTAAATGCTTGCTTAGTATGAGGATTGCTGTAAAGTCACTGACACAGACTCACCCATCTCGACTCATGACAAGGAAGGCTAGCTGTTGGTTTAGCGTCCAGGAAACAGCAGAGAACGTCTTAGCTAGTAGAAGCCAGCGTTAGAATTAGCAATTCCACCACACAGCATAAGTTCCTCCAGGCTTGTGTTATTTGCGGAGATAAAACATCAATGTTGCAAGTCAGTGGTAGAGTTGCATTGCTGTCATCCAATCTCAGACAAGATGTCCAAATATCAGGAAATAAGACTCCAGATCCTGCCGTCTGAAATTCAGCTGTGATGTGGCGCACCAGTGATTTTCTTCCCCAGAGTACGACACATTCATTCCTACTAGAGACCACTGCAGATGTATTGATTAAACAAGTGTTCAACACCTTAAAAAAATGTACCTTTTTTAAGTGCTGATTTAACAGATTTAAACATGTTTTCTAGACTAAAAATACAATAATACATCCAAACACAAGGTTTGCATGTTCCTGAAAATCCGTTTTTGCAGTGTAATGCTTTCCTTTATTCATAAAAAAGTCAGAATTTTAGGTTTAGACAGATTTTTTTAAGCTTCTGGAGACTGACAGCTGTCACCTTAATATGCATTTGTGTAATTTGATGTCTAGTTTTCGGTTTGTTTAGTCAGAAGCTGATTTTCTGTGTAAGAAATAAATAGTTTCATCAAAGGGAAACAGTGCTTTGTGCAGTCACAAAGAGGAAGTGATAACATAACCAGCTATGATTTTAAACTAAAACCTTCACCCAAGTTTTGTGAGTCATTCAGAACCTTTTTCATGCGAGTCACGCCTCAGAGCCCCTCCTGTTTTGCAAAAGAACGATGAGATTTTATCTTTCCTATCTGTAACTATGTTCATTTTTTCCTCAGCTAACTTTGTGACAGAGACCAACTGTACCTCCACCCGTAACACGGTCTGCAAGTGTCAAACCGGCTATACGTGCACGGACGAGACCTGTACCAAGTGTGAGCTGATACCGACACCCACCAATCCCACCCCAGCTACAAACACTGCAGGTGAGACACACCTGCTCTGCACACTTTTACTACCAAATGAAACTTTCTCTAAATCTAGTTGCTGCTCAAATAAACTCGCGTGTTTAGTGGGACACTACTTTAGGACCAGCATGGAGGTGGAGCACTACAGAGGTGGTTAAAGTTGTATATTTTTTTACATTTGTGGCACCGCACCCAGAGTGATTATTGGGTAGGAAATGTGGTAATTCTCAGTCATGAACCCTGATAGTATTTAAATGTAATTAAAAATCACTCCAGAATATAATTTAGAAGCTGTTTTTTTTTTTATGCTTTAAAGTCACGTGCAACAAAAAGAAGCAGCACAAGTTTTAATCCTGCAAAAATAACTTCTGGAAACTTCTCCAGCAGATTCATCAAATCACTGTTTTTGTTTTCTGTAAAGTTTTGCCAAGTAAAAAACATTCAGTTATGTTAAACTGCTAAATGGATTAGAATTTCTCTGACATTTTAGCATCTTTAAAGAGTAAGTCACTCCCAAATCAGCTTTTTTTCCTGATAAACTATATAAATGCGTGTCTAATCATGCTGCAGACACGCGTAGTCAATAGATTAGCACTGTACTGCATTTTAGTTAAAATTTAAAATTTCTGCCTGAAACTGTCAGTGTTGTGTCGTTGTCAGGTAAAAACTCCGCACTGCAGTTGAATTTAAATCTGCCATCACTATTGGCTAAGAGGTACCTTAGAATGTTAGCTGGTACCATATGATGTCACAATGTCGCTGTGAGCCTATGTGTGCGTGTTTGTTAGCGGCTCCGCCCTCTCGGTCTGCTAGGCAACAGCATTTGTTGCATTTTTCAAACAGGAAGTGGGAGTGGAGTAATACTCTGGTAGGGGGTGACTCGCTCTTTAAGCTCAAATTTTAATTTCATTTGTTACAATTTAGGCCTTTGTTTTCAGTCTAATAACTTCCTCAAGCTGACAGTGTAGTTTAACTTTTTCAGACACTTTGCATCCCTCATAGTTGGTGACAAAAATGAGTAAATACTCTGAAAATATAACAAGAACATCTAACTCTGTGTCTAAAGACACAGAAATTAAATCAGGTTTGCAAAGTTGTTTGTTACACAACAATGAATGAATGAATGAATGAATCAATCAATCAATACTTTATTAATCCCAGAGGGAAATTAGAGTTTCAGTACGCACAATTCAGAGATCAGACATACATGGGCAAGACACATGACAAGAATTGGTGACTGTGGTCATTCGCAACCCGAGTCGCGCTACCTTACTAGAGATAAGAGGATCACGTGAGGATTGGTTCAGGTGGAGGGAAAAATGCACTTCACAGTTGCCCTCCCACCAGGAGGGCAACTTTGCTCTGCAAAAAAACACCTCAACAAATATGCAACAGACTTCAGACAACACAACATAACATGAGACTCCAATAGGAAGGGGGGGGGGGGGGGGATCCTGTTTCCCCCAGCGAGAGCAGCCACCTGGCGCTCATCTACTGTACAGTCACAGGTGGGAGGGAGATCTTGGGAGAAGCGAAGAGCACATTGACTCCTGCAGATTGATGACCTCGCCAGGCTGAAGTCCACCAATACGAAGGCGGGGAGTGTAGGTCAGGTTTTCACAGCATCTGTCTGCATTCCTTCATGGGGGTTTGTTGTTTGCCGCTCAAGGCTACCAGGGTGTCAGATTCAGATAGCAAGAATTTGTTTGGGTCAGCCTGAGATAATTTTCCTCTCTGCCTTCAGTCTTTAAACTGATCATTCCAGTCCTTCAGTGAAGCCAATTTTGGGTTTTTAAACCTGTCCATACCGTCTGGTGACTCTCTCCGAGATGACATCCATTTAAATATTCAGATATGTACTTTATGTTTTATTTTCCTGATAAGAACCTTAAAAGTCAGAGTCTTGTACTGGCGTGAAGAAGGTCACGAGGTCATGTGGTCAGTACAGTCGTAATTCCAAAGAGACCTGGTGTGGTCAGATGACCCGTTTATAATAGATAACAATTTTATCAGCGATTGGGCAACAAGATTTTGTTATAGCTGCTTTTCTGAATGTAGGGAAGAAACATTAACAGATCTAACCTCAATAGTCACTGAACGTGAGTGAAACAGCAGCCAATGAACACGAAAGGCTAAAAGTTAATTGGAAGTGCCATTGGAGTTAGAAAGAGACACTAAACTGAGAACATTCTAAAGAATATGAAGGATAAAGTTAAACGCTATTCTATTACATCGTACAGCAAACAGAGGGGCTAGCTGCTAGCGCTGACAGATAATCTGCTCCCTGTCAATCAAAAGAACACGCCCCTAAATAGTCATGATTTCAAGCTTTACATCATTCATACCATCCCTGTCAGAGATGTCATGACAGTAAACCTAAAATAGATTTTTATTTTATGTAAAGTTGGCATTTTCAACATGGGAGTCAATGGAAACTTACTTCTTTCTGGAGCCAGCCCCTCGTGGATAAGGGGGGAACTGCATTTTTTGCCAATATCGCAAATTGTCTTCACTTTTGGTGGGCGGAGTTTCCCCCTTAATTTTTACTTATAGGGCGGGACTTCAAATGTTACTCTTTTGCCAGCCACTAGAGGGCAGAATACAAGTTACTCTCTAACTTCATGCACTGATCAGCTGTTTGTCCTCCTTTCAGCCATGAGATCCACCACCTCCCGAGTTCCAAATCAACCTATCAAAGGTGAAGAGATCACGTTAGCGTTGCATCAAAACGATTTCAGCTCTCCCTTGGCTTGATACTGACGGCCTCATTCAAACATCCACAGATACGGTGCTGTTCCTGGTGATCGTTGTTCTTCTGTGTGCTGGAATAATTCTGGTTGCTCTGACAAAAATGAAGCCCCTTCTGCACTGGGTCCGGTCCAATCACGGTCAGTACAAAGGCAGCACAAATGAAATAAAGCTACAGCAACATGAAAGAGAGGAGTTTAACAATCCTGATCGGTTTTACACATTTTGACATCATTCAGTTCGTGCAAGCATGGTTGAGCGTCACGGCTAGCTACATTTACCTGGAGAAGAAAAAAAAAAGTGCGAATGTTTTAAAGATCTGAGAACTTAAAGAAACACAGGGCAGTTTCCCTCTCCTCCATCCTACTGGTTGAAAGTGGAATTACAACAGTTTTAAACAATACTGCTCCCTGCTGTAGCTAGTGCTAACAACGAGCTAACACTAACATGAGCCAACTAATACAAAAATAAACCACGAAGAAAAAAGATTCACACAAAAATATTACAAGTCCCATAGCAACAAAGCCAGGTCACCATCAGTCCATAATTTTGTAGCCTCCTTTAGCTCTCTTAAACTAGCGTAGGCAATGTTCACTCTGGTTTTAACTCTTTGCTTTGACTCCTCCTTGAACCGTCACCTTATCGTGGTGGAGGAGTTTGAGTGCCCTAATGATCCTAGGAGCTATGTTGTCTGGGACACTTAGTGCCCCTGGTAGGGTCTCCCATGACAAATTGGTCTTAGGTGAAGGGTGAGACAAAGAACGGTTCGAAGGATCTTTCATGGCGGTTAAAACGAAGAGTCTGAGTACCCGGCCCGGAGGGTTACCGGGGTCCCACCCTGGAGCCAGGCCTGGGGTTGGGGCCCGTGAGCGAGCGCCTGGTGGCCGGGCTTTCGCCCATGGGGCCCGGCCGGGCCCAGCCCGAACTGGATACATGGGCTCGTCCAACTGTGGACCCACCACCCGCAGGAGGAACATGAAGGGTCCGGTGCAATGCGAATCGGGTGGCAGACCAAGGCGGGAGCCTTGGCGGTCCAATCCCCGGACAAGAAAACTAGTTTTTGGGACATGGAACGTCACCTCGCTGGCGGGGAAGGAGCCGGAGCTTGTGGCAGAGGTTGAGCGGTACCGGCTAGATATAGTCGGACTCACCTCGACACATTGCATTGGCTCTGGAACCCGAGACCTGGAGAGGGGTTGGACACTCTACTTTGCTGGAGTTGCTCCGGGTGAGAGGCGGAGGGCTGGGGTTGGCTTTTTGTTAGCCCCGAGACTCTCTGCCTGTGTGTTGGGGTTTACCCCGGGGGACAAGAGGGTAGCTTCCTTGCGCCTTCGGGTCGGGGAACGGGTCCTGACTGTTGTTTGTGCTTATGGGCCAAATATCAGTTCAGAGTACCCACCCTTTTTGGAGTCCCTGGGACGAGTGCTAGATAGTGCTCCATCAGGGGACTCCATTGTCCTGCTGGGGGACTTCAATGCTCACGTGGGCAATGACAGCTTGACCTGGAGGGGTGTGATTGGGAGGAACGGCCCACCTAATCTGAACTCGAGCGGTGTTTTGTTATTGGACTTCTGTGCAAGCCGCAGTTTGGCCATAACGAACACCATGTTCGAACATAAGGATGGCCACCGGTACACTTGGTACCAGGGCAGCCTAGGTCACAGGTCGATGATAGATTTTGTAGTCGTATCATCTGACCTGCGGCCGTATGTTTTGGACACCCGAGTGAAGAGAGGGGCGGAGCTGTCAACTGATCACCACCTGGTGGTGAGTTGGATCAGATGGCAAGGGAACATGCCGCGTAGACCTGGCAGACCCAAACGCATAGTGAGGGTCTGCTGGGAACGCCTGGCAGAAGAACCTGTCAAGACGGTCTTCAACTCCCACCTCCGGCAGAGCTTTGACCACGTCCCGAGAGCAGTGGGGGACATTGAGTCCGAGTGGGTCTTGTTCCACTCTGCGATTGTCGAGGCGGCTGTTGCTAGCTGTGGTCGTAAGGTGGCCGGTGCCAGTCGTGGTGGCAACCCCCGTACCCGCTGGTGGACACCAGAGGTTCGGGGAGCCGTCAGGCTGAAGAAGGAGGCCTACAGGGCGTGGCTGGTCTGTGGGTCTCCGGAGGCAGCAGACAGGTACCGGATAGCCAAGCGGGGTGCAGCAGTGGCAGTTGCCGAGGCAAAATCTTGGGCGTGGGAGGAGTTTGGTGAGGCCATGGAGAAAGACTATCGATCGGCTCCAAAGAGGTTCTGGCAAACTGTCCGGCGCCTCAGGAGAGGAAGGAAGCAACTCGCTCACACTGTTTACAGTGGGGATGGGGAGCTGCTGACGTCAACTGAGGCTATAGTCGGACGGTGGAAGGAATACTTTGAGGAGCTCCTCAATCCCACCAATGCGCATTCCGAGGAGGAACCAGAGCTGGGAGGCCTGGGGATGGACTGTCCGATCTCGGGGGCAGAAGTTGCTGAGGTAGTCAAACAACTACACAGCGGCGGAGCCCCGGGGGCGGATGAGGTTCGTCCTGGGTATCTCAAGGCTATGGATGTTGTAGGGCTGTCATGGTTGACACGTCTTTACAATATTGCGTGGTCATCGGGGGCAGTTCCTAGGGAGTGGCAGACCGGGGTGGTGGTCCCCATCTTTAAGAAGGGTGACCTGAGGGTGTGTTCCAACTATAGGGGGATCACACTCCTCAGCCTCCCTGGAAAGGTCTATGCCAAGGTACTGGAGAAGAGGGTCCGATCGATAGTTGAATCTCAGATAGAGGAGGAGCAAGGTGGTTTTCGTCCTGGCCGTGGAACTGTGGACCAGCTCTATACCCTTGCAAGGGTGATGGAGGGGGCATGGGAGTTTGCCCAACCAATCCACATGTGCTTTGTGGATTTGGAGAAGGCTTATGACCGTGTCCCCAGGGGCACCCTGTGGGGGACGCTCCAGGAGTATGGGGTGGGTGGCTTTCTGTTAAGGGCCATTCAGTCCCTTTACCAGAGGAGCGTGAGTTTGGTCCGCATAGCCGGTAGTAAGTCGGACCTGTTCCCAGTGAGGGTTGGACTCCGCCAGGGCTGCCCTTTGTCACCGGTTCTGTTTATCACTTTTATGGACAGAATTTCTAGACGCAGCCGTGGTGTGGAGTGTGTCGAGTTTGGTGGCAGGAGAATCTCGTCTCTGCTTTTTGCGGATGATGTGGTCCTCCTAGCTTCATCCAGCTCTGACCTTCAGCTCTTGCTGGGTAGGTTCGCGGCCGAATGTGAAGCGGCTGGGATGAGGATCAGCACCTCCAAATCTGAGACCATGGTTCTCGACCGGAAAAGGGTGGCTTGCCACCTCCGGGTCGGGGGAGAGGTCCTACCTCAAGTGGAGGAGTTTAAGTATCTCTGGGTCTTGTTCACGAGTGAGGGTAGGAGGGATCGGGAGATCGACAGGCGGATTGGTTCGGCGTCTGCAGTGATGCGGACGCTGAGCCGATCTGTCGTGGGGAAGAGGGAGCTGAGCCAGAAAGCCAGGCTCTCGATTTACCGGTCGATCTACGTCCCAATCCTCACCTATGGTCATGAGCTTTGGGTAATGACCGAAAGAACGAGATCGCGGATACAAGCGGCCGAAATGAGTTTCCTCCGTAGGGTGGCCGGGCTCAGCCTTAGAGATAGGGTGAGGAGCTCGGACATTCGGGAGGGACTCGGAGTAGAACCGCTGCTCCTCCGGATCGAAAGGAGCCAGTTGAGGTGGTTTGGGCATCTGGTCAGGATGCCTCCTGGACGCCTCCCCGGGGAGGTGTTTCGGGCATGTCCTGCCGGCAGAAGGCCCCCGGGTCGACCCAGGACACGTTGGAGAGGTTACATCTCCAATCTGGTCCGGGAACGCCTTGGGGTCCTGCCGGAGGAGCTGGTGGACAAGGCCGGGGAGAGGACGGCCTGGAGCTCCCTAATTGGGATGCTGCCCCCGCGACCCGGACCCGGATAAGCGGAGGAAGACGAAGACGAAGACGAAGCTTTGACTCCAAAGACATTACTCTTGCAGGCTTCGCCGTGATGCCAACGGAAAAAAACAGACTTCTTTATTTTCCCTTCTTCTTGTGCTTTTAATTGACGATAGGCGAACTGAAAATGCTAACCACAAGCATTACAGTTAACAGCCATAAAGTAGGTGAAGAGATCCCCCTAGGACACCTACCCGCTCCACAAAACTATCGAGTGTGGTTTTTGGTCAGCAGAGGCTGCAGAATGGTGTCAAATGGGAAACTGGTCAAGTTTCTACCTCAACAATCACTGAAATCACTGTTAAAACTCTAGCTTAAAGTTTAAAAAAACTATCTGTTGTTACTTTAACTGAACATTTTTTATTTTTTCTTGCTGCTCAGGTTACTTTCTGGCTAAAAAACCCTCCTCAGGACCTTCAAGTTCAGAGGATGTAGACGTGTCCAAGCCCATCCAGGAGGTTTGTGGGAAATGTGACCAACCTCTAGAAATATGTATAAAAGACTAGAACCTGAAGCCGGATGGCTGCAAACTAAACAGAACGTTCAGAAACGAGACAGGTGCAAATGGAGAGAACCGGCACTCCAATCCGTTTAAGGACAACCAGGAGGACTACACGTGGTCTGAGACGGAGACGTCTCCTCAGACGGGACGAAGGCAGACGTCTCTGACGTTATAACAAAGAAAAGCACAAACTGATGCTCTGGGAAAGTTACATGCTCTAAATGTAGAGTGGGACGTTTTATTTAGTTATGCATGAGCAGCTTGTAACAAACAACATGTATTTTCTATGGCAGACAATATTATACATATTTGCACTCATGCATATGAACAATACTAGTACCGAGATTCTCATTCAACAAAAAATAACTACATGTGTTCAATCGTTAGACCTGTGTGTACATTTACATATACATCCTAAAACAGACATATGTTTGTATGGTTACGCACGCACACGCACACACACACACACACACACACACACACACACACGCATTTGTAAAGTGTACATAGAGTTCTAAGCAGCAGTATTTTTATCCACATTATGAATGTGAAATGTAAATGTTTTGTAATGACTTACATCGGTTTGATTCAGTTTTTTGAATCAAATTAAAATTGTATTTCGCCCAAAAAGCTGATTAGTCAGAACAAGGATCATCGCTGACGAAGCTCTATTATTTACAGGATTTCTTAAATTATAACTTACAAAATAGATTCACTAGGATAAGTACAATAAAGTTTATCTTTCACCAAATAGAATATTTACTAAGACATCACAATATGACTAGACACATTGTGTGTGTGTGTGTGTGTGTGTGTGTGTGTGTGTGTGTGTGTGTGTGTGTGTGTGTGTGTGTGTGTGTGTGTGTGTGTGTGTGTGTGTGTGTGTGTGTGTGTGTGTGTGTGTGTGTGTGTGTGTGTGTTTTCTGTCTTCTCGATCCCCAGTGAGTCGTGGAGGATGGCTGCTTATACTGAGCCAGGAATCTCTGGAGGTTTCTTCCTGTTAAAAGGGAGTTTTCCTCTCCACTGTCGCTTTATGCTTGCTTAGTATGAGGATTGCTGTAAAGTCACTGACACTAGTCAATGACTTGATGCAATTTGCTGGGTTCCTTATATGGGAAACATTATTGCTGATTGGCTTAATGAACTGACCTGAATTGGAATGTTTATTATGTGAAGTGCCTTGAGACGACTCTTGTCGTGATTTGGCGCTACATAAATAAACTTGAATTGAATTGAAATTGAAAAATAAACAACAAAACAAAAGATCATATTCCAGGGAGTTTTCCAGAGTCTGAAGAAAATCTGTTCTATAGAGAAAGATGAATCACCTCCACCTTCGTCCGGTCGTTTCCACAGCTTTAAACCTCTTTACACGACTGGATCTTCTGAACACCAGCTTGTCCTTCATAAACAAATCCTTAGAGATCATCACACCCCTCCTCCTTCGACACGTGGCAGTCCTTTCCCTGCTCCTGGGAGGGGAAGAAGATGTTGTCGATCTCTCCGCTCCTCTCCTCCTCAGAGAGATGAATGCTGGGAGAGGACGTGGGATGAAACACGGGACGATCTTTATCGTCCTCCTCCTTGTTGCTCGCTCTTTCGGCTCGTTTCCCGCCCAGCATAGTTGGCCCGACCTGGCCTGTGAATTGACTGAGCAGGCTGAATATGACGGTGCCCGGATTGTGGACGTGAACCGGTCCTGTGGCGAAGATAATGAGCAAAGAGATCCGTCAAAGCCATAAATATATCTGTCTTAATCGTAAATCAGACTTAGTGAAGATCTATCTGGGTGCTTCAGCAAGGCTAATGCGTGTATTAAAAAAATGGACGGCAGTATTTCGGTTTTCTGATGCACATGTAAACGCACTGAATGATTGGATTTGACAAAGTACAAGTACTGTAATAAGGTCAAATTTTTTTAGTATCTGCATTTCTACTTAAATCTTTTTCTTGAGGCATAGTTTTTACTTTTACTCCAAGCAGTTATCTGTACTTTCTACTCTACTACATTTTATAAAAATTAAAAAAAGGTAAAAGTACTTTAATTTGCGTGTTTCTGACCTTCACCCCACCACCGCTCTGACAGAGACCGGCAGCACACACTCTTGTCCGCACCGGACTGCAGTTCCAAAGGTAAAAGTACTTTCATCTGTGTTTTACTCCCTTTCCCCCGATCAAACAGCTAATTTCCACACACCCAACACATATTTAAACGTTTACCATTTTACTGATAAAGACCAAGTTCACTTGTTTTTTAAAACATTTGCAGTGGTCTGTAGTATGAATAAATGCATTGTGAGTTGATTTCTGTGGGGGAAAAAAGCGATTTTGAGTCTTATTTCCTGATATTTGGACATCTCGCTTCTGATTGGCTAACAGCAACGTGACTCTACCACGGACTTGTTTTATCTCCACAAACAAAACAAGCCTGGATGAATTCTGCTGTGTGGTTCTACGACCCCCCAAGGCGCTTCTCAACACAGTCAGTCATTTACCCATTCACACACACATTCACACGCTGGTGGGAACGAGTTACGATGTAGCCACAGCTGCCCTGGGGAGCACTGACAGAGGCGAGGCCTGCTGCCACCAGTCCCTCTGACCACCATCAGTAGGCAAGGTGGGTTAAGTGTCTTGCCCAAGGACACAACAGCAGCATTCTCTGTGCGGTGGAGTTGCTAATGCTAATAGTTAGCTTCTACTAGCTGTGATGTGCTCTGCTCTCTCCAGGCCATGAAACCAACAACGGTCTTCCCTGTCGTGAACCAAGATGGGCGAGTCCATGAATGTTCATTTACCGTGTGACATAGACCTGACTGGCTTTTCTGACCCGAGCATTTTTCTGTTGGTGGCTAACGCAGGAAATCGGAGTAGAAGACTAATTTTAGGCTCAGCTTGCATGTGAACCTCAGAGTGACCAATCATATTTAAAAAATAACAAGTAAAAAAAACGGTTTCTCAGTGAACTTAGACTTTAAATACTTTTACTTTTTCACTTGTAAGTACAGGGGAAAGGCATACTTGAATACTTTTACTTTAGTCAAAAATTTCTTGGATACTTCCACTTTTAATTGAGTACAGAAGTTTTTTACTCCTTTATCTGTACTTTTACTTAAGTACAACAAATCAAGTACTTCTTTGAACCACTGGCTAAAGACCTTTAAGAGATATGAGCACAGTAATAACACTTACTACAGCTCTTTGTAGTAGTACAGCTGCATCTTTACTCCTCATTTCTTCTTCAAGATTCAATGTGACTCAAGTATTTCACGTAAAAAGATCTTTTTTTACTCAGCGTTACCTAAACTTGAAGCTGAAAGGGGCGACGGCTGCTGCTTTGCACTGAATGAGTCTCCGGGGAACGGATGAGTCGACTCGTTCGACCTGTGAGACGCATCTTGCCCTTCCTAAAGAAGAAAAACATTGTTAGCTTGTGAGAAAATACATAAGTAACAAGCTGTTTACAAACACAGAGTCCTTAACTTACCTCATTACACAGCTTGGCGATAGCTGGAAAACAGAAGGTAAGTGATGAGTAACAGAAAGCTAGTTTCAGACATTCGGCGATGACTCATCATTTACATCATTTATGTAGCAAGAAAAAAAGTCAGAAAAGTCTTTGGCCGCTCTCATTTCTGATCTGTTCAGTTGAAAAGTTCATTTTGAGATGATTCTGTTTGAGTTTAACTCCAGAGACGGTCCGGGACATAAAAGGCCGTCTTACTTTGCCTGAAGCAGGTCTCGTCTCGTGGACGATGGATGCAGAACAGGATGGCCAGGGCCACACATCCGATCAAAACCACCGGAATCAAAATGGCTGCTAGTAGAGCTGTGGAGGTAAAAAATAAAGGGTTAAGGCTAAGCTGGAAGAGCTGACAAACAAAGACTGATGGTCCTCTTAACATTTTGTAAGTTGTCAGTAAAATAAAAAAAAACTTTGTATGAAAACATCTTAAAGGCTTATTATTACTAAGCCACCGTGGACTCCCAGCTGATTCAAAAATATTTGTACGTTTTATTCTAAATGACTCTTTTCCCTAAAATTTTTAGGATTGACTGAAACAAGCTGAAAACCCTCCGTCTATTTTTCACAGCGGAGCTCAGACATCACTCTCCTCTGTGATGCTCTACAGCTCCTCCTGGTGGATCCCAACACATTCCCCCTGTCAGAAAAGATCCCTTCAGGCAAGTCTGAATGGTCTTCCCCTTGTAGGATGTGCCCGGAAAAGGCGACTAGGAAGCATTCTAGTCAGATGCCTGAACGACCTAAGGCAGGGGTAGGCAACCCCGGTCCTGGAGAGCCGCAGCTGGATCAGGTGTGTTCAGCCAATTAGAAGCTGCAAGTTCATGCATGGCTGGAAAACATGCAGGACTGCGGCTCTCTAGGACCAGGGTTACTTACCCCTGACTAAGGTGACAGCGTCTGATGAGGAGGAGCAGTGGCTCGAGCCTGGCCCCCCGTCAGGGTGAAGCTTATTCCGGATCCAAGACCCAAATCTCATGATGTCAGCTGATGGCTGGAACGAAGATGGACTAGTAAACTAAGAGTCCCTTCAACCACCAGCGGCAGGTAAGGAGAGGGAAGTGTCTTGCCCAGGAACACAACATCAGAATTCCCTGCAGGAAGATGGGACTGATCCTGCAGCTGTTACTGGACAACCTGCTCTACCTCCTGAGCCACTGCTGCCCCCAGCCTGTCCAAAGGACTTTCTCCTGTTAGTACAACACTAGAGGTCAACAATGAGGTTATTTTATTTCTACTATTCAAGTTTGGGAAGTTTTAAAATATCAACACAGAACATTCAGCTCCCTTCATTTGGTGGCCTTATTATTAAAGGGGGGAAAACTTTTTACTGCTGCCTCCGTAACTTTGGAACTATAAACATTTTTAATTCCAATAAAACTCATTTTTGCTGAATCAAAGAGCAACAAAATGGACTGAAAAATTAAAATCTATTTTTTGGGAGATTCCTTACCAGAACATATGATGGAGATCCTAATTATGACAATAATTGCTCTCCTAAGCTTCATTTGCACTAAGATGCTGCAAAGATGGTCCACATAAACCCAGATGTTCAAAATTCACACGTTTGAATAAGTGGAAATAAGTTGTTGGACCAACAGACATCATACATGTAGATGCCCCGTTCACTAGTGCTGCCTATTGGAGCTGATGTAGGAGTGGGCCACCATCTTGGATGGGTCTTCGTTTGCCCCAAAGCATTTATTTCTACTGAGGAAGGTGTTTACTCAGCTAAAAAAAACACACACATTTTATGATGTTTTTTTCACAATATAGACATATAGTACGGCATGATTGTTAAAATGTTAATAATTTAATCATTTTATATAAAATTCCAACAGGTAGGCTAGTAAAGTCAATAGTAATCTCCTGTGATCTATTTTCAAAAGTGCGCCAGTTGTTCCAACTGTAGGATGCACAAAAAAACAAACCAGACATAGTTGCTCACCCTGCGTTAACTCCAGCTGGGTTTGGAGAGTGACGAACCCACCCAACATGGCGGCAACGCTGTCACCTTCAGCACCCAATGGGGCAACTATGTATTGATGTCTATGGTCGGAGTCCTAACACGATCAATAATGTTGCAAAAATGATCCTAAATCTTAGGTGTGTTCTTGCTGTGTCTTTGTAAATCCATGCTTTTGTTCTTTTTTAAACACAGAAACAGTTTTGTTTACCTGTTTGTAGCTACGGTTTCGCCGACAGCTGCCGGCTTCTTCAGGCTGACGCTGATGGTGGCGCGTCACTTCCTTCTCCGTTTATCTGCGGGCAGCAGAGGACGTTGTCGCCCTCTACTGCCCGCTCTCCCCTCTCCGACGATGCAGTCCCATGCGTGGTCCAGCGTGTAAACTCCGTCGTCCCTGTTCATGGTCCCACATCCACGTCTCCTTATCTCTATTGCTTCCTTGATCCATCTTTTGTATTTTTGTTGTTCAGTGGTTATGATCCGTGTGCTGTCCCAGTCCATTATATGGTTTTCTCTTAAGCAATGTTCTGTTACGGCTGACTTTTTTATTGTACTTTCTGCTTCTTCTTTTGCTGCTCTTGTGTGTTTACGATTTGCCTCTTTCTCACACTCCTTTCTGTGTTCTATTGTCCGTGTGTTGAGTTGGCGTCCGGTTTCTCCTATGTATGTTTTATTGCATATTTTGCATGGGATTTCGTAGATGACGCCACATTTTTGTCCAGCTGATATTTTGTCTTTTGGGTGTACTAGTCTGTTTCTAACTGTTGTGTATGGCTTTGTTGGTGTGTTTATGTTGTGTTTTTTCATTGTTGCTCTTATTTTTTCCGTTATGCCTCTGATGTATGGTAGGGTTATCACTGGTTTTGGTTCTTGTCTTTCTGGGTTTCTGGTTCTTTTTTTGGGTTGTTCTTTGCTTTCTGTTTTTGTTTGTTGTTTTCCTTTGTTTATTGCCCATGTCGGGTATCTGCAGGTCTTTAAAGCGTATTGTATGTGTTTGTCCTCTTGTTTACGGTCTCTCTCTTCTGTTATTATGTTTGCTCGGTGATATAATGTTCTGATTACTGACCACGCATGGGACTGCATCGTCGGAGAGGGGAGAGCGGGCAGTAGAGGGCGACAACGTCCTCTGCTGCCCGCAGATAAACGGAGAAGGAAGTGACGCGCCACCATCAGCGTCAGCCTGAAGAAGCCGGCAGCTGTCGGCGAAACCGTAGCTACAAACAGGTAAACAAAATTGTTTCTGTGTTTAAAAAAGAACAAAAGCATGGAATGATCCTAAATGTTCGACACGTTCAATGGTCCTTTTGCATGTCCCCTGTTCTCATTCATACGCACCTCCTTTGGGATTTGAGCTGGACTTCGTTGATTCAGGCTGACGGCCACACCTGAAAGAGATAAAAGTAAAAAATCCCAACAACTCTCTAAACATTTTAAACAACATCCAGGTAAACCTCTGACTCACCTGGGGTACCTGCAGGGTTCTGTTTGACCCGGGGGAGGGATCGGTTTATCATTGCCTGAGCTTGCTGTTGCTGCAAAAGCAAAACCACCAGGGTTTAAATTTGATCAGAGAAGGAATGCATGAAACGTTGCTGGATTTTATAGGAATTTAATAAACTCCAGTTTTGCTTCTTGGCTGTTTTTAATCACATTTTATCTCTCACCCACACATGCACACACACACACACACACACTCTTGAATTTTAACCTTTAACGTTTCATTTTTAGCCACCTGGGGTCGGGGAATAATTTGTGGGCACAATAAACCTAAAGAACAAAACAAACGAACACAAAAAAAACAAAAAACAATCGTGTTTGAAGTCTCTGTGAACCAAAACAGGAAGTGTGCCGGCAGCAGAAGAAAACCAATAAACTCAAACGTGAGATTATTCACATGCTGGGTCAGCAACTGTAGATTTCATATTTCAAGGTTTTTAAGAGAAATCAAAAAGTCAAATAGTGAAAATGAGAGACTTTAATAACTGGGCTCAGGCTTCTAATTATGTATTATTGTACCCTGTTTATTACGGAGGTGGAACTTATTTATTTTTTGTCATGTTTGAACTTTTAAAAATTGCGATCAGACTCTGTTTTGTGAAAAGCTCAATCCCTTAATCCCAAAACCATCTCGTCTCAAACCTAAAAAGGCGATTTTATTGGTATTTACCATTTGGATGTTGTTCTTGTTCACACTGCCTGCAGTTGCTCGACAAGAGGACCGTGTCTGTGCATCTGAAACCAGACTCACACTCACACAGCAGAGGGGTTTTACTGGTGCAATTCTGAACCACTCTCAGATGATTTTCTGACAAAAACAGTTTAGGTCAAAGCAGACATTCGGGTCTGAGTGTGCAGAGACCGAGCAGATTCATGCAGATGTTTGTACCTGGTGAGCAATCTCTGAAGCAGGTGTGACAGTGCTCCTCTCGGTTCCAATCAGTCGTGTAGGATCCATCAGAACAGGGTGTGCAAGCGTTGCAAGACCTGAAGTACTCACCTGACAGAACAGAAAGAAACAAAATCTGATCAACCGGATGGAAGCAGGTGCCAGGAAAGCCTGCAAGCCCTGAGCACATATCAATTAAGGAAGTGGTCAGCTTAAAGTGAGCATGCAGAGTGCGTCATTTTTCATCCAGAGAGCAAAGAAACGCTGATGCCTTGAAGGAACTTTCTTCTGAATTGTTTAAATGGTTAATTGCATTTGATAGATCGCCTTCTATGGTTCTACAACCCCCCAAGGTGCTTTACTACAAAAACAGTCATGGCCATGCACACACATTCAGACGCGATGAGCTACAGCGTAGTCACAGCTGCCCTACGGCGTGCTGACGGAGGCGAGGGTGCAGAGCACTAGCGCCACTGGTCCATCCAACCAGCACCAGCAGGCAAGGTGGGTTGAGTGGCACTTCCTCTGCCACTGTCGCCCGGTATTTAGGCATAACAGTGAGTCAAAACATTTTTTTTTACCTGCAGGACATTCCGTACACATTCTGTCTCCATCCATGAAGCTCCTTGGTGGCTGATGGTGTGAACACAAATAAAAAGATCTTCATGCAGGATCCATCACTTAACATGACCTGTATTTAATATCAGAAATATGAGCTGTAATGTGTTTACCATGGGAGAGGTGAGAGTCAGCAGAGCAGATATCACCACCCAGAAGTATTGCACTAATCCCATCCTGTTACCAGAAAGAGGTAGAAAAATACATTTTAGTACTCAAGAAGAGTTTATTTTATGCAAATTGTCTTCAAACATCACTCAGGTAAAGCAGACGATCATCTGCAAACATGATTAAAATATTCTATCATGAAAAGATTTTACCTTCGATGTGTCTTGCTCCGCTTCTACTGTAAAGTCAACGTCTTCTAGTCTGCTTCTTTCTCTCTGTCTTCTTGCTCACTCTAACCCATCCTATGAGTCATTATTTCCTTACCTGGTAACATCTTCCTGTCTTTCCCGCCCCCTCTCACCATCAGCGTGCTGCCGTGATGTTTGTACGTTCAGCTCTCTTGCGCGCACAGAAAACCATCATCTGACTAACTTTTGAGGATCAAAGTCTCACCGTTTTCCGTTGAAACTGTAATTTTTGACAAACACTGCAGACAAAACGGCCGTTTGCACGGCAAACAACTCGATGGAAGAAAAAAAATCATTGTGACAGTTGTTTTTTCTTTCAGACATCAGCTGCTTTAGACTGGCTTTCGTTAAATTTCCTCTTGTTGGATTACTTTTAGCCAATTTTTAAATGCAACTGAAGGGTAAAGTTACTCACATTCTAAGAAAAGAGTGAAAATACCTAAAATATCTGTCTGCGCCAACAGCGAGCGGAGGAAAGTGGAGTCATAGTCTGAATGAACTGATCCTACACATGCATCAGGATTCACACAAAATAGTTATTTTAGTAACAGTGACACATTGACTACAGGTCACTGAGACAATGTAAGGATGGGGTCACCGGCCTGGAACTGGGCTGTCCCCCCAAGAGCAACAACAGTCACCCACAGGCATGGACGTAAATTTTTTTTTTGGGGGGGGGGGGGGGGGGGGGGGGACATGTTCCCCCCCCACTTTTTCCAAAGTCAAGTTTGGACCCCTGCACTTTTTACCATCCAAAAACAATATTACACTATATTAAATAGGCAGTGGTTGAGCTCTAGGACCAAGTAGAAAACAACCGTTTGTGTTAAAGCCTGTTTCCCATTAGAACATACTGTAAAGATCCCCCTCCCCGTCTCCCCCCCACTTCTAAAGTGAAAATTATGTCCATGCCCACAGGTCTAATTTAAAAATCAAAACTCACCACTGAGTATTGTTTAAAATGTTTTTTTCTGTCACTATTTAAGAACCACACTTGTGTTGATATGGATTTGAAAATTCTATTCCACCTTTATTATTGAAGCACTTTAAAAACAGAGTGCTGCCTTAACCCTAACCCAAAGATCTGTACCCCATATCACAATAATAACAACAAATGCAAAAGAGTAACCGTAAAAATCATTTCCAGCAACAACTGATCAGCTGACCTGAGAGAGCGGGGGAACATACGACTGCAACAGTTCAGACAGCTACGGAGGGGAGAAGCACTGAAGATATTTAAAAACAAATAGAAGAATTTAAAAAATCAATCCTAAAACAAACTGGAGCCAAGAATGAGACTTCAGACTGAGTAAGACACAAAGTTCATTGCAATAATCTAAACAAACGGTGATAGAAGTGTGAGTTAGTGCAGAAAAGGTTTTACATGGCTAGTTATGTCTAAAGAAAAAAAAACAAAGTTCACCAATGTCAACACCAAGGTTTGTTGCCACAGGTGTGAGTCCAGGTCTACATGAGGTTCCAAACTTTCCAGCATTACTAGACATCCAAGCCTTGATAGCCATGATGCACAACTATTTTTTTCCTGATTCTGTGGGACTTGAGTCAGCAGCGTAAAAACAGAAAGCAACGCCGTACTTCCTGAGAACTAAACCCAGAGGAAGTGGGTACAATGAAATAAGAAGAGGTCCCAGATTAGACCCCTGAGGCACTCCACATGTGAGAGTTCTGGGGAAGACTCAGCAGATCCAACACAAACAAGGATGACCTAAACCTCTCCAAAGCAGCTGAACCCCAACCCAATAACATACTTTACAGTGGATACCAGCTCAGTGGCCTAGTGGTAGAGTGTCCACCCTGATACTGGGAGATCAGGATTCAATTCCAGGTCGGGTCATACCAAAGACCTTGAAAAATGGGACCCAATGCCTCCCTGCTTGACACTCAGCAATGAGGGGTTGGATTTGGGGAGTTAAACCACCAAATGGCTCCTGAGCGCAGCTGTATCTGCAGCTCCCCCCCACCCCCCCACCCCCCAGAATTTACGGAGAACAAATGTCGCACACAACTAATGGGACTTTTTAACTTTAATTAAAAAGATTGGGACATCGAACTAATACAGCATTTGTTGGGACACTCAAAGACACTTTCATGCACTCTCACATTCACACACTGCTAGTGATGGTAAGCTACTTTCTAGTCACAGCCGCCCTGGGGCGGTCTGACTGGGGCAAGGCTGCCATTTGGCGCCGTTCGTCCCTCTCGCTACCACCAACACAGGCAAGTTGGGTGAAATGTCTTGCCCAAGGACACAATAGCAGAATACCCCTGGCGGGTGCTGAAATCAATCCCGGTCATGAGGCAACCCGTTCTACCTCCTGAGCTACTGCTGCCCCAAATGTCGCAATCGATTCAGGGAAGTAGCTGTAGACCAACAATCGTGCATTTAGCATGGGTGCTCATGGGTCTGAGTGGCTCTGATTGTCACAAAGCTGTAGTGTAGCTGTAGCAATTGCCCTTCCTCATCAAACGCCGTCAATGGAGGTGCTTCAGGTGTTTGATTAAGATGCATTCTGGTGCCAAGATAGAAAAAACTACAACAGTCTTATTTTTTTGCTCAGTTTATCTTTTATTCAGTCTCTCCTGACATGTTACATACTGCAGATCTGCAGGGAAGCTTTTAAGCCAAAACAACATCGTCCTGACACAAAGTCACACACTTGAAATTCCTGTTGAGATCTCAGGATTATTGCCAAATTGTTTCACGACACAAATTTGAACCAAACAGATCAAGGCTAGTTTCTCTACGACATCATCTGCCAGAATTCTCATTTACAATCAAAAATGGATTCATCAGAATTTCGTTGACCTAAGTGAAGGTTCCTGTTTTCAGGTGAGTGACTGTGGCCGGTCGTCTTTTGCGATCTTTAAACACAATTATATTTTCAAAGCTATATTTCATCATTTCAAAGCCATCATACAGTCACTTCTGCAAAAGCATTGGTTTTCATAGATTCATTTTATTATTCTATTGTTTTTAAATAGACTTTACTCGGCAACCACACACACACTGGTAAAGAAACGGCATGAGTGATATGATTTTAGGATGTAATGTTGTGCATCTGGCCCAGTAAACGTCTTTCTAAAAACACACACGAGACTAAAACAGACACACTGGCACATGCATACAAAGAAACTCACTCAGTGCTTGAAGGTAAAACGATATGAAAGAGAAACGTGGTGTTTTACGTCTCACACGACTCATTCAAACATGTTTCTTCTGAGTTCAAACAGGAGAAAAAACCCTGGAAACAGCAGATTTCTACCCACCCAACATGCAAAAACAATCATCTGTTAACATTCTGTCACTTTTCCTGAAAATTAAATGGAAAAATCTTTCTGAGAACCAGTAGCTGATTTTATAGAATTAACCATGAGGTATGTGTTCATCTGAAACGTCTAAGAGGAAAAACAACCATCTATTTCCAGTGTGTCTTTATTTTATTTCAGCTGATTCGTTTCGTGTGACTCATATAGTGCTGCTTCCTTTCTAAGTGCAAATGCTCAAAAATAGGTTTAATTATTTACATCAAGCACCTTGGTGAAACAGCTTCATATTTAGTCTTTTTTTAATCGGCCATTTCCTGTTTAGTCACAATCTCTTTTATTTTGGCACTCAGTCGCTAACATCCATGACTTTTTGTTCCTCTGCTCATTTTTAGACGTTCTGCTTCTTTGTGTTGCTTCTCTGGAACAACCTGCTCTCTCTGAGCTACAATAAACTGCAATAAAACTCATTAACAGCTTAAAGACACATCGGTGTGGTGACGTTAAGCACACGGTGCAGCTATCGACGGTGACTTCATATGACAGTCAGGAGGCGTAGGCTCTCTGCACCACTCATTTCTATGGCTAAATTTAAAAATCACAATTTTGCTCTTGCAGCAGGATGGTCTCTGGGTGTCTTTGTCCAAACATTTAATCGAGTAAATAAAAGAAAATATGAGGATGTTGCTGAAGTTAGCTGTTCTGATAGCCTTTATCCACACAGAAAATCAACAAAAAGTGATACTTCTGATCCTCTGAAGCAAGATTTTGTAAGGTTAAGAACAATTACCACCATGCATACAATAGACTCCCATTTGAACAACTTCAGTTTGGAGAAATATTAATTGGTGACTCCACTCTCAAAAGTTTGATCCAAAATCTGCTTTATACACGTTCATGTAGCTGTGATTTTCACAAAACATGATTATTTACATGGAATTTCGTGTTATTTGCTGTCGTTAGCAGCAGCAGTAGCTAGCTGTAGCACTTTTGGCGTAGCCTGGAGCATTTTCAAGAAGAAAATGTCTATCAGACAGTTTATGAAACTTTTAAAAAATGTTTTAAGACTGCTGTAAAGCGGGGGTAAGTATTTTTAAAATGACTATCGGACCCTGTTCTATGATATAAAGTAGGTCATCTTTCATAATTTATATTTTCCCTAAGCCCCTCCCCTAGCCTCTACAGCAAAATGAATCATTTATGCTAGGCCATAGACAAGAATACGTAGCCGCGTCATTGGGTGCTGAGGAGCATAACAGCGTCGCCACCATATTGAATGGGTCTCCTCACACTCGAAACCCAACTGGAGTCAATGCAGAGTGAACAAATATGTCCGTTTTTGTGCAGCGTACAGTTGCAACAACTGGCACGTTGTTGAAAACAGATCACGTGGGATTACATTTTATGCCTAACTGCTGGGATTTTATATTTTTACATAATTATATTTAGATTTTAACCATCAGGTCATACCATATGTCTGATTTTGTGTAAAAGCATAATAAAATATGTTTTTAGTTGGGTAAGCAGCTTCCTCAGTAGAAACAAATGCACTGGGGGGAACGGAGACCCATCCAAGATGGCGGCCCGCTGCTACACCAGGCAGCACCAGTCCACAGGGTGTCTACATATGATGTCTGTGTGTGAGCCTGCCGCGTTGACCAGTAGAATCCACAAGAGGGAGCTGTCAATCGACGAGAATGTGACCCAGTTCCCAGCATGCCGTGCAGAGGGACACGGATGTGGAACTCTAGCACATCGACCTAGCTTGAATGCTAACTTGATCTGCATTGAATTAATGTTAGTCTGTAAACTTCAAAAGCTGTGGAAGAGGAGGAAGGGGAACAAAAAGATATTTATCTTTTATGTTTTGCAGCTAAGAGATTAGTGTAGCATACAAACTTACACTACATCAGATTGTTTTAGCCCGTTGTAGCGTTAGCAGTGGTGCGCTAGCATTGTGAGTGCCGATTCCTGCCGATTTTAGATGTTTACCTGCTTGAGCACTGCAGATTTAGATTCAAATGAGTGATCAGCAGTTCTTGCAGAAGCTGATGAAGGCCGAGGAGATAATTAAGCAGTTAGAATCAGGTGTGCCTGAGCAGGAACATATCCAAAACATTACTTGTTTGTGTTCATGGCAAAAGGTGTGGCTTTCAGCTCCTTTCAGAGAGGGATGGGGAGCAGGGGTGGGGCAATAGCCATTCAGATCTCCTCCTCCTCTCCATGATGACATCACACTACAGACCCCAGCTTTAATTTACTTTTGTCAAAGTAGCTGTTGTGCATTATTAGGATGAATTAGTCAAAAGACCTGACCTATTAATATGAGCCATTGTTAATCAATAAAGCGAGTATTCTTGTGGACTTTACGCTATCCTCTAAAACATAATCTCACCATTATCTCAAGTCATTAAGATGATGTCAGCGCACAAACCCTTCCATTAAACTCCTTATTTTCATTATCTTGTACATTATTCACTTAAATTAATCTGGATCCAGATTCTCGGCTGGATTTTAATGTGAGCAAAACATTTTCTGCAGTCTGTCTTTAACATGCAGCTCACGTCGCTGCAGGCGTTTGCGCTGCAGCTGCACAGCATTCAGGAGCTTTTTCTGAGAGGTGCTTCAGGAAATGAGGCGATTCGCAGCTTATAAACAAGGGTGGACAAAACGGATGTTTACTGTTTTAGAGCTCAGCGCTCTGGCAGGAGGGAGAAGGCATGGCGGTCGTCCGTTCAGAACAATCGTAAAAAGTTTTTTTTCCCTTGATAATAGGCTGAATGATGCATGTGTGAGAATTAAATCTGACTTTTTATTTCATTATCGTGAACTATGAATGCAGCTGCTTATTAGTAAAGTGGAGTCTTTCGTTAGGATTTAGGTGTGAAAATAATTTTCTAATAAAAATCAACCTAATTAAGCAAATAAACAATTTTACACTTCTGTGATTTCTGCTCATGATCAGACTAAATACACAATAAATCATGTGGATTTTACAACTAATCACCCCAAAATGCTCAGACTGTTATGATTTAAAATGGTGGTATAAAGATTTCCGGTTTCCTCACTGATCACCTGGATTATTAGAATCATAACAATCCTCAAAATGTGCCACGCACCCTCGCCTCAGACTGATTTGCATAAACGCCACAACAAGAAATGAATAAATATGTAAAAATGTTGTTTAAGCCATTATAGGTGCATTGTACTGTAGCTGGATGCAGCAGAGGTCACATGATCACAGCCTGTCAGACGAATGGCTGGGATGAGGAAGTGTCAGGATCTGCTGGAACTTGAGGAAGACGGTGGAGATAAAGATCTGTCATTTTCTCTCAGGTCGCTCTCCTCTGCGGACCCGGCTGCTGAAGGGTTACTACACGGATCAGAGGAAAAAAAAGGTTTTACGCTGGTTACTTTTCACGGGGTGGACAGAAAACAACACTAACAGACATTTCTTGTATTTTTAGCGGTTTAATTGATAACAAGGATTTGAGCCAAAGAGCTGGTTCTAAAAGCTATTTATTAGCAGCTATTCAAAGTGGTTCAAAAACGTACATCTTGGATGTAGAAGGTTTTATTATGGGAGGCTCTGTGGGACATATACCTGAGCCCACAGATATCCGCAGAGGTTCTTTAGGTTCTGTCAAAGCCTCTCTTCAACGCTGCGGCTGATACCAGACAACCGGCTCTTCTAAGAGCCAACTAACTAACTAAGAGCAAACATCAACCTTAGTAAGTAAAGTAAGTAAAAGTTTATTTATATAGCGCCTTTCACAGATATAAATCACAAAGCGCTGAACAACATGATAAAGATCAGGGCAAATACCTCTAACCAATAAAAACATAGAAAAACAATAGCAGTGATAAAGTAGAAAATAAAATCATGAGTATAAACAAAGTGAAGGTGTGAACCCGAACAAAGCCATATTTTTGAAACATTTAGGGAGGGAACGCCTGGATGAAAAGGTGAGTTTTTAGATGATTTTTAAAGATCTATACAGTGTTAGAGAGACGGAGATTAGAAGGTAGACTGTTCCAAAGTCTGGGTGCAATAGTCTGAAAGGCCCTGTCCCCTTTGGTTTTCAGTCTGGTTCGAGGAACAGCCAGGAGGTTTTCAGATGTGGATCTAAGGTTCCGAGAGGTGGTGTGTGGGGATAAAAGCTCAGATAGGTAGCTTGGAGCCTGGTTGTTAAGAGCTCTATAGGTCAGGACTAAAGATTTAAACTGAATTCTATATTCTACCGGGAGCCAGTGGAGGGACTGTAAAACTGGAGTGATGCACATAAGCATTCCAGCTTCCTGCTGTCGCCTCAAGGGCTCTCAGGCTGGACGGGTCCTATCGTAACGGTCTACGTGTTCCAGACAGATTGCGCCTGATGCTGTTTTGAATAAACAACTCTCTAGTTTAGAACAAACAACAAATTCTTTTACACCCGGATTTCACAATTTCTCTCAGATACAAAGAACGGTTGCTACAACATCTAGCTTCCATCACATCACCTCACATTAGGGATGGCTACTTTTGACATTTGAATCGATTCGGTACTAATTCCCGGTACCTAGGAATCGATACCGGTACTTAACGGTATCAATTTTAGATACTTTTGAGTGTTTAATATTTTAATTCTCTTTTATAATACAATATATAATTTCTCTCAATTTATAACCATATTTGATAAATATCACGATAAATAACATACAACTGTTTGTATTTTAACATCGTCCTTGTAGTTTTATAAGCTGATAATTAAACTGAAGCTAACATCTTTACTGTGAACTAAATTTACTGTGTATCTTCATTCCTTTTGCCGTCCTTTTTCTTTGAGTTTTCCTACTGGGAAGTTAGAATTTCCGAGGAGAAAGCGAATGCACCATTAGCTGATAACAATGGTGGCAATGGAAGCTAATTTATCAAGCTAACGTTATCTTAAACAGTTTATTTAGCTGCTGGAGCAGATTAAAACGATGATGCCTCACACTTAGATCGCTGTCACTGGTTTCATCTTCACCCAATCACCCGTCGCATTTAGTAAAGTGAAGCCAAACTTTAGAGCGCATTCATGTTCTTCTAGTCAGAAATTCGGAGTTCCGAGGAGAAAACGAACGCACCATTAGCGAAACGGACACTAACAAATCAAGCTAACGTTATCTTAAACATTTTATTTACCTACCAGAGCAGATTAAGATGAGGATGTCTCACTTAGATCGTTGTCGCTGGTTTCATCATCACCCAGTTACCCATCACATTTAGTGAAGTGGACCCAAGCTTTAGCGTGCGTTCTTTCTACCATGCTGCTCTGTTTACAACTGGTTCGCCGCGAGCGACGACAAAACGCTCTTGCGTATGCGCAGCTGTCTAGGCAAGTTCTCGTTATGAAGGACGGGTACCGAAACGAGGCACCGTTTCAAATGACGTGAATCGGTGCTCAGTTGGTACTATGGAATTCGGTCGGTACCTTAAAAAGTACTGAATTCGGTGACCATTGCTACCTCACATCCACCACTCCACATCTCATTATTCATATCTTGTCATGCATAAATTATTAGTTTAGGAAAAAGAATTAAATTCATTTTATAAACTATATACTTGACTGTCTCTGAATTAATACGAAGTGTGTTTATGGTCCCTAAAGAAGCAAAGAACCTTGGAATCTTCTGATTAATCATTCAAAGATCAATCAGATTGATACTTCATATTTAAATGGACTCATCACATCTTATTGGTCAAAATTAATAAGTAATAATTGCTACAGACACGTGAAGTAATCTCAAAAGAACATCCAAACATATGCAACTATTGTGCAAATGTGGTTATTATATATTAATTATGGCTTAAACTTCTCATTTTATCTGAAAGTTGTTCTCCGACCTCATCCCAAAAAGCCGTCTTGTGCTTCTTGGACTTTTATTCCATGGAAACTAAACTGAGAAGTGTTTCAAGAAACCCTGAGACGGTTTCTGACGTTCAATGGAGACGATTTGGAGAAAACCGTATCTCAGCTCTTACAAAGTCCTGCAAATGCTTCAACTATTACTATTTGCAAATTGTTGAGTGCAGTTTTAGTTTTGCACTATGGGCGTGTGTGTGTGTGGGTGTGTGTGTGCGTACTTGTTGCCACTCTGTGTGATGAGCCTCCTGCAGGTCTCCATCTGCACATCCAGACCTCTCTTCATCGAGCACATCTCCATGTACTCATGCAGGTGTCGGTTCATGTCGCTCTTCGCCGTGGCCAGTTCAAGCTAAAGACACAGTCCAGATGTTGACACCGTCAAGGTCACGCAGGATCAAACACAGTCCAGTACCACCTCGCTTCCACAGATTTTCACTCATTGCTACGACCCCTCCATATTTCTAACAAACTTTCAACGAGAATTTAACAACAAAACAGAAAAATACATGATACTGAGCAGAACGCATGGGAACAGATATCTAGTAGAAAAAACGGCAACGCCTGTAAGAATAAGTCTGACCTCAATCTGGCCGATTGTCTCCTGATATTCCTTCTCTCTGGATTTGAACAGACACTCGGTGTCATTAATCACCTTCTCCAGACAGTCCTCCTGACAAACACAGAACAGAAGCATATTTAAGAACATCTAAAAAGGAAAAACAGATGTTGAACCCCAGTAAAACTTCTAAAAAGAAAAATCAGACTAAGCTTGCTTTATTCTCTCCTCAGATCACATTTCACCGACTGCCGCAGTTGTTCCCTCCAAAGGGACGACAGGCTGCTGAAAAACGAAGGAAAACAAACCCCTACATATATTTCTGGAAAACAAACACAAAGTACATGGGTGCAGGGTGTCGGTGTCTTTACGCAGTCCGGAAACATTCCCGCCGCAGAAAGCGACAGGGTCGGATAAAAACAGGATGATGCTGGAGATTCATACACTTTTAGACGACGGGCGTTCGAGGTCATGGTTCTGACTGAAAACAGAGCGCCGTCTCAGATACCAACACCATACCAACCTTTCTGCTCCGCATCAATCTGTTTAAAAGCAACAGAATATTAAATGTGACTAATTTAAACAAAAATCGCACAGAAAGCATTTTAAAGTCGCAAAGGTTTGATTTTCTAAATCAGTTTTTTTTTTTTTTTTTTTTTGCAGATAAGCAGATATCAGCCTACATCTGAAATCTGCGGATCAAGAACCAGAAATCGGTATCGGCCCTCAAACCAGAACGGTGTTTCTCTTTCCATTCCATTTATTTGATAAAGCACATTTAAAAACAGCATGTGAGCTGACCAAAGTGCTGTACTGGGGTAAAAACAAATAAGGTTTAAAGAATAATATAAAAGAATAAAACAGCTAGAGCATAGCACAAAGAACCAAACAAGAGAAGTCAATAAAATCGGTAAAAGAACAGAGTAAATAAACCATTGATAAAATAGCTAAGCAGTAAAAGCAAGGGAATAAAAGTAAGTCTTTAAGTGAGACTTAAAAACCCCAATGGAGGGGGAGAGTCTGATATCCAACGAGAGATCATTCCAGAGATTAGGAGCGCAGACAGAAAAAGTTCATTCACCACGGGTTTTGCAGCATAGACGGGGAATCTGTAGTAGGTGTAGGTCACCTGAACGGAGAGTCCTGCCCGGCATATAAGGAGTGAGTAACTCGGATATGTAAGGTGGTGCTAAGCCATTCAAGGCCTTCAAAACAAACAATAAAATTTGAAAACGTATGCAATAGTGCACAGGAAGCCAGTGAAGTCTTGCTAAAATTCGAGTGATGTGCTGCCGACGGCCCATACTAGTCTGAAATCTTGCTGTCGCATTCTGTATCAGCTGAACGCGGGATAATGCGGCTTTTGAAATACCAAACAGAATTGCATTGGAGTAATCCAACCTTGGGGTGATGAAAGCGTGAATGGTTGTCTTGAGGCGGCGCCGATTCAGAATGGGTTTTAGTTTGGAAAGAGGTCTCAACTGATAAAAACATGATTTAACCATGTGATTAACGTGAGGGTCCATTTTTAGAGCCGCATCCATTTTAATTCCAAGATTAACAATTGTTTGACTAATTTTAAAAGGAAGAGCAGAAAGATCAGGAGCGGAGGAAGACGAGCCATTAGGAGTAAAAACTATAAACTCTGTCTTAAAATCATTCAGCAGCAGAAAATTTGCTGACAGCCAGTTTTTAACCTCACTATCAAGGAGCGGCTGGATGGAGGTAAAAGTCTTCAAGGGAACATAAATCTGGCAGTCGTCCGCGTAAAGATGAAAGTTAATGTTGAACTTCCTAAAAGTCAGTCCCAGTGGAAGAATATAAATGCTAAATAAAAGGGGGCCGAGGATAGACCCCTGTGGCATGCCCCGAGGAAGAGCAGCAGAGGGAGATGAACAGTCGTCCATTCTAACTCTAATAGACCTGTTGTCAAAATAGGAGTGGAACCAGCCAAGTGCAGATCCCTTAATGCCGACCAAATTCTCAAGGCGGGACAGTAAAATGTCATGATCAACCGTGTCAAATGTAGCTGAGAGGTCCAACATCACCAGGGCAACATGAGAACTGGAATCGGTGGCTAAAATACTATCATTAAAAACCCTGATGTGAGCGGATTCTGTGCTGTGATATTGTCTAAAACCAGACTGAAAATATAAATGCTCAGTTATGTAATAATAAAAGACTATATACCTTATAAATCATCTTATGCTGAGATTATGACGAGCTAAAAATGCACAGTTCACCTCTCCTGGTGGGTGGGTGGGGTCTGGAGGCAGAGTGCATCCTGGGAAGTCCTCCCAAAGCAGCAGTGTCTCTTCCGTCTCCTCCCAGGCCAGACTGTCACAGTCGTCTTCAAACTCACACTCACGTCTGTGGTGAGAATAAAAACACGCACGTGCATTAAGAGGCTGCCGAGGCAGGACTGGTCCTTCATGTTTGTAAGTCAGACGACTCACAGATGGGTCAGCATCCTCTGCATCTCCTCGTTGATCTGACTGGCCGATGAGCCAAAGCGCTCCTCGTCTTTAGCCACTCCGGCGTCGCTTTCGGAGGTGCTGATGGGTTCGTCGCACTCGCTCCCGTTGAAAGACAGAGGGGTTTGTTTACGCCGCAGACTCAGGGACGATTGGTTGTTTGGAACCTGCAGAGATCGTTAAGATCAGACTTGGCACTCGTTCACGCCGAGTACGGAACGGATGCGGTCCAGAATCCGTACGCCGATCAACACTCTGATTGGACTCGGCGACTTTTCGGCGTGGTGGAAGCCGTAGGGAAACCGGACCACATCGTTTCTGTGCTCGGTGTAAATGATGGATGATTCAGACATGAACACCTGCGGCGGGTTCCCTGGTACCCGGTACATCTGGATCACATCTTCACAGTTTCTCTGCTGGGCCACGTCACACAAACGAGCGGTGATGTCAATCCTACGGCAGATGTCCATGTCCACTTTCATGGCCTTCTCCTGGATCTTGCTGTCCAACTCTGACAAATTCTTCAGAAGCAGAAAAAAGAAAAGTTCCGAAAGTCACAGAAACTCTTTTTTTCTAATCTGTAAAATCTTGTTTTCCAATAAAAACCCATTAAACCCTTTCTATCAGTTTTACAGAATCCACAACATGAAGCTGAAGCATCACTCAGCGGACGTTAGATTAATAACTAAAATGCAAAACTGTGTTTAACGTAGATCTGCATGAGCTAGACTCTGCTCACATTGCTCATGAGGCCTTTGAAGAGAACCAGCTCTGCCTTCAGCTGCTGCACTCGGAGAGCCAGCTCATCCTGACAGCCTTCGCTCTCCTGCAGGTCCTGCACATTAAAACACCTGTGAACAAGTACAAACACTCCAAACCCACAAAGATGACCCTCTAGGTTAAAGCTCTCTCATGTCTCTGCTGATCTATGCTAACATCCTGTCACACTGGCTGGGGGCCTGCACATTCTGCATGATGTCTGCGGTCACCGGGCGATGTGGTGAAGTCACCTAAACAGGGTCAGGTAAAGATTCCTGGCAATGCTGCATGCGAACGTTACAAGAAAGAAAAGAAAAACAAACAGACACGAATACAGGAAATCGTGAAAAGTGTTGCTGTCAGGACACAGTTGCAGGAAGCACAAATGAGGTCATCTGATGCTCTCTAAGAAGGAAGCTGTCTGCAAAACCGTCACCTTTTCAGGGTTTTTTTAATTAGCATATTTTACTGGTTCACCGCGACATTCACGTTCAACCACAGTCTTTGTGTAATTTAATTTAAACATCAGAGCTACAATATTAATTTAAAAAGAATCAAATTTACCTCTTGCAAGTCCACGATCTTCTGCTGCAGATCCATCCTCATGGTATATTCCTCCTCCCATCTAAGAGACCAGTAGAAAAGGTTCAGTCCTTTCTTTATTGTTTCAGCATCAATTAAGGAAAAAAATGGAATATAGGACTTCGCTGGTAGACAGTGGTAAGCTGGGGATGGGTCTTTAAACGGGCTAATAAAAGAAATGTGCGTAAGTCAAGTTTATTTTTGCAAGCGAGAGATTTAATTACGTTAAGTTTGCATTTTAAAGCAGAACCAAACTATAAACCTATTATTTGTATGTTTTCACTTACTCCCATTAAAGTAATACTAAATTGTTTTTTTTAACTTTAACTTTGCGCTTTATAGTTGATCTCAGTGATTGTGGAGTTAGGAAGTTGACTAGTTTCATATTTGACACCATTATGCAGCCATCTGCTGACCAAAAACTGCACTTGATAGTTTAGTGGAGCAGGTAGGTGTTCTAGGGGCCGCTCTTTACCTGCTGTATGGCTGTTAGCTGTAATGCTAGCAGTTAGCACGTTCAGTTTGCAGATTGTCAATAAAAATCACAAGAAGTTTGCTTTTCTGTTGGTATCACGGTGAAGCCTGGAAGTACAAGTAAGACAATAATGTCTTTGGAGGAGAAGCATAAATTTAAATCCAGAGTTAACATCAGCACAATCTACGCTATTTTGAGGAAGCTACAGAAGGCTAAGAAATCACGGACTGATGATGACCTGGCTTTGTTGCAAATGGACTTGTATTTTTTGTTCAACCGTGTGAATCTTTTTAATTTCAGGCTTTTTCTAGTATCAGTTTGCTCATGCTAGCATTAGCTCATTGTTAGCACTAGCTACCCCCAGCTGTTGAAGAGTTGTTTACACTTGTAATTCTGTTTTCAACCAGTAGGGGGAGACGCGGGAAACCTATTTAGTGTTGCCTTATGTGATTTTTATAAATGAAACTCATTTTCATTTAGAAGACGAGCAATAACAGATGGGACGTGCACAGCTAGCGCTTAAATAGGAAAAGAGTGAAAGTGTGAGCGAGTGACTTCCAGAGTTCTCTTGTGATTTGCATGCTCCTGTAACGCAGCTGCTCACACGATTGGCCCATAAATCTGAGGCTTAATACATTTAAAAGCCTGAGCACAGACTCCGAATGAGATGCACGACTTATGCCGCACATGCCGCGGTGGTGGCGGGGGGAAATCCACGTACTGCAATCTGCTGAAACGCTGCCAGAAAGGCAGAATGCTGCAGAACACCGACCCCCTTCAGGGAATACTGAAAGAAACTGAGTCATGAAGCAAGGGGAGGGAATGATTGTTTGATCAGCGAGCTGCACACAAAGTGAAGAAGTGCTTCCTTCTGCAAACTGGGCCCTCCCTTCCCCTTCCTCTTCCTCCAGCTGCAGCTTGCAGTGCATGCTGCATTGCAGATACAGGGGGGGGGCTGCGCAATGGAAGAAAATGTGAGCAGGAGACAGGAAGTGGGGGACCGGGTCTGGTTTGAAGCAGAGATGGAGAATGTAGTGGGCAAAGGGCATGTGTGTGTGTGTGGGGGGGGGGGGGGGGGGGGGGGGAGTTGGAGCAGAGGATCAATCAATCAACTTTATTTATATAGCACTTACTCCTGCAATACATGCAAGTCAATGTGCTTAACAAATTAAAAAGGCCCCACATACCCTCCCATCCCCAGAATTTTAAAAACAGTCTGACAATAAAAAACCCTCACAACACTCCTCCACCGACACACACACACACACACACACCCTTCCCCATGGTAAAAAACAATTAAAAAAACACGATTGGCTGAGATCAGATGAGCCAGACCAGCTAAGATAAGGATAAGGAAACACCATCAGTGGAGCCATCTGACCCGACAGCAGCAGATCCACAGCAGCAGCCGAGGCGCCGACACCGGGCGCCCAGGGCAGGGAGGGCAGAGACCCCCACCTCCACCCAGGCACACATGGAAAGCACCCAGGCCGCCACAGCCGACCACCGCCGCCGGGGCAGAGGGCTCCCACAGAGGAAGCACTGGAAAAAGGTTAAAGGTTAAAATATAAAATCCAAAGAGCTAAAATGAGAATTGTAATCTAAAATTTTATATAGATATTAAAATAATGTTGATCATAAATCATGGTAAAAAAAATTGTTTAAAAAGCACGTATAAAGAAAGAATACATTCAATCAATAAAACAAATAGACAAAATAAATAAATAAACTAAGTAATAAATTAATTTAAAAAGTGAGAGTATTCAGTTAAAAGCTAAGCTAAAAAGATGGGTCTCCAGCCTGAACGTCCTCATAAACAGAACACCCTAGCTTTTCTCTAACAGGTGCAGCAAAACAAGCCTGGTTCCGAGGAAAGGCTGGGATGGTGAAATGCTGAGCCAGACTAACGATCCCACATATTTCAGCGGGACTCAGGACTCCCGGAGTTTCCATGTGCAAAGGACACGTATATCTGAGCTGTCTCACATTCTTCGACCGCTGGAGTCGTCCCACAGATAACCCTCTATAATGTGGTCCAAATGTCCTCTGTTAACTATGCCAAACTGCTCATTTGGACGTAATGCGGGGGAATGGAGGGATGAATGTGCAGGAGCACAGGGCCTGCTGAAGGTCATTCAGGAGCGATAAGTAACTGTGCTGGAAGTAATCCGTATTTTCAATAAGAGGCGTTCATAAATCAAGGACTTAAAGGTGAAATCCACCCTAAAAAATTGAGTTTGCGTCTCTACTGTGTGCGTGTAAAAATGCCCGTCTACAGGAGCGAAGGTCACGTGAACTCTGCAGCTCTGAGCCCTTGTTCTGAGGACAGAATGACATCATCTCACTTAGTCAAACTACTGAGGACCAGATGCAACCCAACATCTCTAAATTGTGAATTTTCACAAATAAAACCAACTCAGTTTTTATTTTCAAACTCATGCTGAGCTTTGTGGCGCCCTCCCAGTCCCTTCTGATGCTCTGAGTGTCATTCATGTTTATATTTAGCTCCTGGCGAGTTCTTTTTCTCTGTGGGTCTGTGGCGGCAGCACCTGCCTCTGTGGTCAGACGTGTCAGACATGACTGCACAACGGAGCTGGAGGTGCAGAACTGAGAGGGTTTTTTTTGTGCTGACTCTGCTCCTGCTGACCGGCTGCAGCTCTGCTCCTCCTAAAACCCTTCAGAAAATATCAGTTTCATTTCAGGACTTGTAAAAAATAAAGGGGTTTCATTGATTTACCTGCATTTATACTCATCTCTCTCCCTCTTGACTTTAGCCAGAACATTGTAAAGGGCTCGGATCTCCGGGGTGATGGTGTCGATCTGGACGCCGACTCCATCCGGGTGCATCCAGGACACTCCTGGACTGGTCAGGCGCTCGGCACCGGCTCCAAACTTCCGGGTGTGGTTGTATGACCAGATGGTCCCGGGGAGGAAGCGTGGAGGAGGGTTGGTGGAGTTCCCCGAGCCTTTGCTGTTCTGGGTGGTTTTATTAGAACCGGGCCCTGGGGAGTCCACACAGGGGGAGGACTGGGTGATGGTGATGACTGGGTTGCAGGAGGCGTTGGTTTGGGTTGAGCTGGAGTTTTCAGAGGATGCTGGTGAGAAGGATGCCGCCAGTGGAGGTGTGAACAGTGTTGTCGGCCTTCTGGCAGAGTTGTTGGTGTTGTGGAAGGGAAGGGATCCCGGTCTGAGTGGAATGGTCCCCACAAATCCCGTCTGCACGCTTGCTTCCTGGGTGTGGGACTTGTTCTCGCAGCTTCCACCTGGACAGCCCTTGCTGGCCTCCAGGGCCTGCTGCAGCTGTTTCTCCAAGATTTTATTCCTGCGCTCCAACTCGTGCACTTTAGCCAGGAAGCACCGGAACCTCAGGTTGAGGGTCTTCAGGACGCTGATGTTGGATCCCAGGTCGTTTCTGAGGGCCATGGCTGCGGGGGGGTGCGGCACCGTGCGGTGCTGGTAGGGGCTGCTGTGGGTGTGGTGGAGGAAGGGCGCGGGCCCCTGCGGGTCAGGCCCCAGCTGCTCACCGAGGAGAAGAGTCTCCGGGTCCGGTCCACCGAACACTGCGTCTGGGAGGAGTCCTGAGGGGGAGTCCGGGTGTCCTTGGCTCTGATGCGGGTGCTGTTGTTGGTGCGTGTTGGCCCCCAACAATGGATTCATGCTATGGTATTTAAAACTGAAGCGCTGCAGATCGGGCATGAACACGCACGGGGTTGTCCTCTCGCTACAGCAGAAAGATGGGTCCGAATAAAGCTCACGTCACCGGGAAACGAGCGGAGGAAGGCGAGCGCTTCATCCGGTTATATAACAGCGTTTAAATAAAAACCTTAAAGCCCACAAGTCCCGCTGATGGATCCCTCTCGGCGAGCCGACAACAACAAAACAAGCGAGCAGAGGCGGGTTAAAGAACATAACACCGATCCGGGCTTCAACGTTTAACAAAACAAAGGCTTAAAACGAAGAAAAGACGCAGAGCATGAACCAATAACAAAGAAATCCGGCGGCACTGAATCCAGATCGGAGATGTGACCGCAGACCGGTCACCGGAACCAGCGCTGCGGGATTGGATCCGCCTACCGTAAACACCACAGTAAGGGCGCACGCGCTTCTCTCCTCTGAGTGGATTGTTTTTCCGTTTCATCATAACAAGCGTTTCATTTGTTAGTCCACGTGTTAGGGTGGAGTATCAATTAGGACACATTTGGAAATTCATTTTTTAAATAAAAAAGGATTGTATTAATTTGCAGTTGCTCCTACAACCTGCCTGCCGGTAGTTTCAGCCAAAATGAAACTTTTAATTTGTTTTTATTTTCTCTGTTATGGCTGATTTTAATTTTAAATATATAAAAGACCCAATGTATGACTGTACCCAAAGCATGTTTGCTTTTTTTGTTGGCTTCGTTTTCTCATTAGTAAATGATAAAATTAACTATTTTTAAATAAAACTGTTCATAAAACAATAACTCAGGCATAACGATCATCTTATGGAAGCTTTAAGCTTACAAATATAGTCAAGAGGTCTTTTTGTCCTGTTTTTTTTTAGTTATTTACCTGCTCCAACGCGCCTGATTCAATGAATTATCCTTTCAGTAGGTCATTGAGCTTATTACCTACCTACAGAAAAAAAATCAAATATGTTGAAGCAGAGAAACTTCTAAACAATGCAAGATTGTGGCTCTGGGGGACCAGGACACCACTGGTTTTGAGGGATTTTGACTTTATAAAAGATAAAAGGAGACAACAAACTTATTTTATAAAAATGAAACAACCAGCATATTTAGAGATGTTGGCAAACATCAAATGCATCTGTGCTTTAAAGAGACTCTGTACACTTTATCATTTTAAAAATATTTATTTTATTAGACAAATCATCCTGATGATGGAAACATTCCTCAGCGGATGTTTCATCCCCAACTCTGGTGTCCAGTTTCAACTCAGTCTTCATCCTTCTGAATTACAGAAGGGGGAGCGTGGGGTCTGAGTTTGGAGTATCCGGATGTTCCCTGGAGGTGGGTTCACTGGGGTGTCTGGGACTGGGGGGCCGTTGCCCCCCTCTGGAGGTGCTTGGGTTGCCTCGGGGGGTGGACTGCTGGCGGTTGTGAGTGGGGCCCCTTGGGGATCTTGGCGGCAACCATGGGTCACTGCCTGGCAGCTGCATTGCCCCTGGGCGGGTCTGGGTGGGGGCCTGGGGGCTCGGGGTTTGGGGGTGGCCGGCTCCATGTGGGGATCTGGGTGGGGCCTTGGGGGTCAGGTCCTGACATGTATGCTGCCGAAGAAGGCAGGAACATGCAGCAGTGCCTGGCCCGGGTTCGGGGGCCTCAGGTAGGCCTTGGCTCCTCTGCCGTTCCATCACAGGGGAGGGGGAGGTCTTATATATGTCTTATATATTCTGGAAGTTATGCAAATGCAGGGATGGGCATAGATATTCTGCTGGGGTGGGGCTGGGTTGGTGCCCTCGGACTCCGTGAGGCTCTGTAATGCTGCTGCTTTGGGCCCTGGCAGGATGGGCTGGGGTCTCCATGCCCTGGGTGGCAGTTTGACAACAGAGGTGCCTATTGGGGCCAGTAGGGGAGCTGGCTCCCTGGAGGGCTAAGCCCAACCAGCCATTCCTCCCCATCCCCGCATATTTCTCTCCTCCTGCTCCCTCACATCATCACACAAACATACACATAGGACCTTGTGGGGTGGGCAAGTCAGGGAGTGTGGGTATGGACCCCATTTCCGTATTCCTGTGGCAACCTGCCCCCCAATTTTATTTGCACCTTATACACTTCCACCGACAACATTCCACGCAAACACACACTTAGGGCCTTGGGAGTGAGCACATTCAACAGCATTTGGCAGGGGGATATCTCAGCCTCCTCCCGGGTGCCGGTGCCCACTTCCAATATTAAACCGCACTTAGACACCGAGGGCTGAGGGTGTAAGTGGGGTGGTGCGGTGGCATCAGCTGGCATAGGCCGGATGATGCCCGCACTGCCCGCTCACCACAGCCATGGAATACACCTCATGATCACACAACACTATATTGGAGCAGGCGGAGGGAGACTAGGGGTCTTAGCCACCTCTGTTGTTGCTTGGCTTCCTGGGGCTGGAGGCTAGGAGGGAGATCTGGCCGTCTGGTTGGGGTCTGGGGTGGTGGGTTGCTGTGCTCAGCGTTGGGCGGGGGAGCCTGCTCATCAGCGCCCCAGCAGAAAGGGTCAAACTCTGGTAACCGGTGATGGCTGTACCCAATGCGCAGCAGTACCGGGACCAGAGTGAATAGGGCGTGTATGGGGAGCATGAGTGGGTGTCCGGCGTGCATTTTTTTAAGTCTTGGGTTGTATGTGCATGTGTGAGCCTGAGGGAGGGAGTGTGTGACTGTGTTTGTGTATGACTGTATATGTCAGGTGGGGCCTTTGACTCCTCCCCTCTCCTGGAACTTCTTTTGATGATATAGATCTTCGTCCCCCCTCCCCCTGCCACACCTGGTGTGAAGGGTTGTGTCTTGGTCTGCCTGAGTGTTCGTGGCAACCGGGTCGGGGGGTTTAAGATTTTGGCATCTGCCTGATAGATCCCGGTGGCTGCCTGGTGGGGTCTGGGTCTCTGGGCTCTGCTGGGTCCCCGGCGGGGGTGGTCGCCCTTGGGTACCGGGTCGCTTGGTCCCGGGCTCGGCCGGCTAGGGGGTGGGAGGCTGCGGGCGGGCCTGAGGGCTTGCCGCTGATGTCTCCCGGGACTCTGCCGGCTGCTGGTTGTGGCCCTCCGGGGCGATCCTCTGTGGCTCTCGAGGGGGGCGGGGGCCTTTCTGGTTGCAGTCTCCTTGGGGTTCCTGTGTTCTGGGGCAGCGCCTGAATCTCTGGGACTTGGAGCTCCCCCCGTCTCCTGCACATCTTTGGGGGGCGGATCTGTGGTCCCTCACACTCTCTGTTGGACGCTCCTATAGAGAAACCTTACATAAACAAGCGCGTGTACACACACAGGTGCTCACATGGTGCTCTCAAAATTATGGGCTTGGGCACGTTCAACACAGGTCTTAAGACTATGCTGGGCACTTCATGCACTGTGATTTATTATCATGTGACTGTTCAGTTAAACAATGTTGATTATATATTTCTTCATCAAGTTGACGCAGTGATAGCTTGATCTTGTTGTACTGTTGTTGTGTCCCTTTTTCTTTTTTTTTGTCTTTTTCTGCAGGTCTAGAAGCAGACTCTTGTTCATTATTGTTTATTTTTGTGGAACCCCCCCCCCCCCCCCTCTCTCCCCACCTTTTCTTTTCCTTTCTCTTTCACCTCTGTCTCCATGTCTGGTCGGAATTAAAAGCATTCAAAAACAACAACAATAAAGTTTTAAGTATCAGGCGTGACATTAAAAGCAGACGCTTTGATGCTCCACCTGAGAGTAAATCTGTAAGGCTTGTTACCAGCATTCAGACATCAATTCTGCTTGCTTCACAGCCAGACAGGACACGGTAAAAAAAAAAAAAAAAAAAAAAAAAAAAAAAAAAAAAAAAAAAGAACTGCAGGCCTCACTTGCCTCAATTAAGGTCAGAGTTCACGACTCCACCATAAGAAAGACACTGGGCAAAAATGGCCTGCATGGCAGATTTCCAAGACGCAAACCACTGTTAAGCAAAAAGAACATCAGGGCTCGACTCAATTTTGCTAAGAAACATCTCAATGATGGCCAAGACTTTTGGGAAAACACCTTGTGGACTGATGAGACAAAAGTAGAACTTTTTGGAAGGCAAATGTCCCGTTCCATCTGGCGTAGAAGTAACACAGCATTTCAGACAAAGAGCATCATACCAACAGTAAAATATGGTGGTGGTAGTGTGATGGTCTGGGGTTGTTTTGCTGCTTCAGGAACTGGAAGGCTTGCTGTGATAAATGGAATCATGAATTCTGCTGTCTACCAAAACATCCTGAAGGAGAACGTCCGGCCATCTGTTCGTCAACTAAAGCTGAAGCCATCTTGGGTGCTGCAGCAGGACAATGACCCAAAACACACCAGCCAATCCACCTCTGAATGGCTGAAGAACAACAAAATGAAGACTTTGGAGTGGCCCAGTCAAAGCCCTGACCTGAGATTGAGATAATATGGCATGACCTTAAAAAGGCGGTTCATGCTAGAAACCCTCAAATAAAGCTGAATTACAACAATTCTGCAAAGATGAGTGGGCCAAAATTCCTCCAGAGCGCTGTAAAAGACTCGTAGCAAGTGATCGCAAACGCTTGATTGCAGTTATTGCTGCTAAGGGAGGCCCAGCCAGTTATTAGGTTCAGGGGGCAATTACTTTTTCACACAGGGCAATGTAGGTTTGGATTTTGTTCTCTCCCTAAATAATAAAAACCGTCATTTCAAAACTGCATTTTGTGTTTACTTGTGTTATCTTTGACTAACGGTTAAATGTGTTTGATGATCAGAAACATTTTGTGTGACAAACATGCAAAAGAATAAGAAATCAGGAAGGGGGGAAATAGTTTTTCACACTACTGTAAAGATTTCGGGTGCAGAGGTTTTTTACAAGCAATATTTTTTCTCATCCTGTTCTGCGTTAATGGCATTTAGTGTTTTGTGCCAAATACAGTAAAAAAAAAAGCTCTTATTATTGAGTTTGTTAGATAATGGCCAATTTAAAACAGTCTGCTAAAATTGATTGTACTAAAGTACTTTTTTTGCCAATTAACACCAATGTAATCCTGCAGGAAGAGAACAAACACAACAGACTCATAATCCACCTAAAACCAACAATAATCCCAGTAGAGCCACTTGAATATAAAAACCATTTTATCACGTGACAAGATGGAAATAAGACTCGAATCTCACAAACAAAAGGACTTTATTCTACCACTGACTGCAGCACCTCGGTGGTACAGACAGAAGATTTCACACCTTTGCTCCACCCAACACAAGAACAGAACAGGGAGTTTAACACATAAAAAAAGAATTGGTCAGTAAATTGAATCGTTTCTTATGTGGGACATTCCTCAGGCGTACAATGACGGTGTCGACTATCTGATGGAGCCGGGCAGGGTAACAAACATCTTGTATGTTTCCGACTCTGGATCGAGGAGAATGGAGACGTTCATCCAGCTTTACTCCTTGGAAGCCATGTGGGCCATGAGGTCGCAGACGCGATTGCTGTAGCCGAACTCATTGTCGTACCTTATGACGGGAAATTTAAAAAGTTAGTGGGCATCAGTAGAAGTGTGTGAACATAAAGTAAACCCTCGTTGGTGGCGTACCATGAAACAAGCTTCACAAAGTGGTCGTTGAGGGCGATGCCAGCACCGGCGTCAAAGATGGAGGAGTGGCAGTCGCCGTTGAAGTCCGTGGAGACGACCTGCGGGGAGACAGGAAGTGCACCATGTGAGCAAGCAAACCTCTCAAGATTTACTAAAAAGTGACATAAGTGGGTGCACACCTGGTGATCGGTGTATCCCAGAATACCCTTCATGGGTCCTTCAGCAGCAGCTTTCACAACCTTCTTGATGTCGTCGTACTTGGCCTGCACAAAGATAAGACTCGCTTTTGAAAGTCTGTTTGTACTTTGATAAATGCAATGTTTGTTTGGAAGCACACTCGTAAGAATAAAACACGTGGCTCATCACAAACAGAAGCTAATAACGTAATTCCTGTATATTTTACGGCTGCGTTAGTTGTGACCTACTGGTTTCTCCAGGCGGACGGTCAGATCCACCACTGACACGTTGGGGGTCGGGACACGGAAAGCCATACCAGTCAGCTTGCTGCAAATATTGTCAACATTAAAAGTTATTAAAATCAAAGCAGACCACTAAAATGTTTACAGTACAGCGATCTAAGCACTGACCCGTTGAGCTCAGGAATGACCTTGCCGACAGCCTTGGCGGCACCGGTGGAGGCGGGGATGATGTTCTGGCTGGCACCGCGTCCGTCCCTCCACAGCTTACCGGAGGGGCCGTCCACCGTCTTCTGGGTGGCGGTGATGGCGTGAACCGTGCTCTGAAGGATTAAAAAAATCAGGATTGAATAGAATTTAGCACGTTTAATATGTCATTTCATTCAGGAGGACCAGTTCTCACCATCAGGCCCTCAACGATGCCAAAGTTGTCGTTGATGACTTTAGCCAGGGGAGCCAGGCAGTTGGTTGTGCAGGAGGCGTTGCTGTGGAGGAGAAAGTGTCACTATCCTCAGAATCCTAGAAGTGAACTTGATCCTTTTCACAAAGTTAAACATAAAAACGTAAGACTCACCTGACCACCTGGAGGGATTTGTCATACTTCTCGTGGTTGACACCCATGACGAACATGGGGGCATCAGCGCTGGGTGCAGAGATGATGACTCTCTTGGCACCTCCCTTCAAGTGAGCCTAAAAAATAAAAATAAATGTAATCTTTAGCTCATTAGAGCGTTTTTAAAGTGCATGTCTAGTGATGGTGCGGCAGGACTGTGCACGTACGGAGGCCTTCTCGATGGTGGTGAACACCCCAGTGGACTCCACCACGTACTCGGCTCCGGCCTCACCCCATTTGATGTTAGTCGGGTCCCTCCTTTAGAGAGAAATCACAACAAAGGTCAGCTTTCACCGTCTGGATTAACGGGCCGATCACTCAATCTGGACAGCAGGTGAACCGACTCGTGGAAGACACTGATTTTGTGTCCATCGATGACGAGCTTGTCTCCCTCAGCCTTGACTTCACCGCGGAAGCGCCCGTGAGTGGAGTCATACTGGAACATGTAGACCTAAACAGACAAGAGGGTGACACTCGTTAAAACGGACATGTAGGGGCAGAAATGAAACGTTTTGAAACTCTTTAATCTTTTAATCCTAATCCCAACTCCTGTGATGCTAACCATGTACTCCAGGTCGATGAAGGGGTCGTTGATGGCCACAATCTCCACCTTCTTGGAGGTGACAGCAGCACGGGTCACCAAACGACCGATACGGCCAAATCTGAAACAAGAGCAAGCTGTTGTTTCTTATTTTGGCCTCTAGATGGCGACAACACAACACGCGTCTACTCTCTGGTGCCTGAGGTTCATTAAAAAAAATCAAATAAAAATGAAATTCATCAAATCAAAGCTTGAAAGTCGTCTATGTAAATGCAGTTTGAGATATAATTGAAAATCAGAAAATCAAGTTTATTTCAAGAGGTTTGCCCTTTCAGGAGGGAATATACGGAACACCCTGGGGATAAGAGGAGAAAGGGCAGAGTTCAGGAGGAGGGGCAGAAGGAGGAAGGTTGCAGGACTCCTACTCTCCTTTCTGGTGACGAAAGTCAAAATCACAAATGTGGTAATCCTTGTGATGGCTGTGCAATGTTTGATCAATGGGCAGGGTTAATTTTTAACCAAGGGTCCAAAACTCTGATGCAGACACACCGTCAAACACTGCAGGGAGCAGGAAGGTTTGCACGTAGAAAAATACTATAATCTCAAACTGTGTGCTCTGTAAATGTGCTTTCAACCACAGAAAAATCGAAGCCGCTGCACACGTTATCGGCAAAGGGTCAAAGTTCAAAGATCAGGAAAAACATGAGGCGTTGGCTCAGGGTTCATAGTTTAGAGCACCTGTGCGTGTCTGCTGTTAGGACATTTGTGGCTCCAGCTGCTCCGCGGCGTCCAGACTAATCAAACACAAAAGATCTGCAGCTCACCTTCAGAGCAACAGAACAGGCTGAATGTTCAATAAAGGCGCTAAAAACCAAAGATGCTGCAGATTTATAAAAACTAACAACAAATTTCCACTTTTCTTTATTTTTTTATCTTGAACCCCATCTTTACTTAAATAAAGTTCTTTTTGTGAACCATTTCACAACTTCCACACACTTTCAGTCCAACTTTGCACAAATGACACATCTGGCACCAGAACTACACTCAGATAATGATGGTTGAAACAGTAAAGGAGCGTGGAGGCTGAGTTTTTAAAGTAAAACTGTGATAATGACATTTCCTTACCCATTGATTCCGACTTTCACCATTTTGCCTGGGTGGGTCTAGTCCTCTGGAAAAAGAAAGTTGGATACTGAATTAACCCACATTTACGACTCATGTTAGTGTTATTAGATACGAGGGTTTTGCTGCGTTCAGGTGAGCAAAATGCAGACTTCTACAACAATAACTAACAAGATTAAACTTTTCCAGCTTTCGCGATTTAGCGTTAATCCCGCCGTCGTGTTCCTGAGCGGGTAAAGCTAGCTGACCACGCGGGTGTTTTTAATCACGATGCAGCCTGAGAGAAACAGTTTAGAAGGTTTTACCGTTTGTGAGACGACTCAGTCTGTCCTGGGACTCTGGATGTGAGTGGAGGAGAGCAAAGTCTAACCGTGAGATTTTATGATTGACCAGAGCACGAAGCCACGCCCCTCCCTTGTAGTCACAGATACCGGCTCCTCCCACTATTTGAATGTCAAGGTCGTCCCTGCAGAGTAACTTCTGTAACTCTTCTTTATATCAAGCTCCTCTCCTCTCGTCTCAGTTCTGCTGCTGATTTTGATCGTGAAGTTTTAAATTTTTCATAATTTTTTTCCGACTTTAAGAGGTCTGGATTTAGATCCGAACGTCTTGGAGGCCTCACGTAGCGGAGTGAAAAAAGAGAGGGGTCCCCTGTTGACCTTCTCACTGAATGCAGACACATGGAGAGGGGATCAAATCTCTGTCTTACCACTGCTGACATTTAATGTCCAAAGACCATGACCCTTCGCTTAAACTGACTCTGCTGCAGCTATTCTTTCCCTGTCGCTCCATTCCGCCAGCAGAAGTCAAAAGTTGAAAATCAGTGGCTCAGTCTGACGTAGATGTGTGCAGAGGAGCGTGTCTGAGTCCATTTGTGCAGCTGAATTGTGGCCATGTGAGGTAATTTGGAAAAAAGCTAAAAGGGTTTGCTGCAGCGGAGGTGTGAGCACGCTGGCAGAGGGGGTGTCACACTTCTGCTTCGAGATTAAATGCCTTCAACTTTTCTCCCCTGCACACAAAACACTACAAGGTCCGGCCGTTCAGCTGCTATTTCCAGAGCTATTTTGGACTCTCGTTCCTAGCAACATTGTTGATGTGAGAAAAGAAAGCACTCTCGAGGACATTATGAAATGTCAAACCTGAATCAAAAAGCCTGCCGGATTGTTTTTGGCTGACGCCGAGTTGAACGTTTTCCGGTGATTTTTGCAGCTTGTCTTCAGAGTTTACCTTCAATTGGAAAGGTTAAGAGCTTACGTCTCTCTGCTCCAAAACCGGACCGCTACGGTGGGCTGTGGCAGCTGTCCAGTGGTCCCCGCATAGCTGAACTACCATAACCCTGGGTGCACTCATGCCAGGCCCAGGCGCTGCTTTGCAGCTTAAGGTCACCGAGGGGAATTAAAGGTCAGGCTAAGATTAGACTCACGGCAGCGGGCCAAGTTATCCTCTGCACTGTTAAGTGCTGCTTCACACAGATCACATGCAACATTTCAGGAAGAGGTGCAAGAACAGGAATTTTTTTTTACTTTTTCAACTTTTCTACAGAATAACTAAAATGTGCTTTTTGTGGTCTGTGCACAGCCGTGATTTCACGTAAAAGGTGCCTTCAGCTCTGATTAAACACGCAGCACAGAGTCCAGGTTGCAACACTTTAAAACAACAATCAGCTGTGCGCAGATTGTCTAGCAGTGCCATCTTGTGTCATGGCATAAAACTGCCCCATATGTAAACTCAAAGCGACTTCAGATTATAGAAAAATGGATCAAACTTTCCAAAACACTTTCTGAAATGTAAAAATACCTTCTAAAAACAGCAGTACCGATGGGATTACTTTGAATTTCTGGCAGGCCAGATCTAATTGTTGATGTTTGAGCAACTTTCAGTCATTTTTCCAAAGCCTCTAACCAAAATCATCTTACTTAAAGAGACAATGTGTAGTTTTAACCATTGATTTCTGGAAATATGCATCAAAAAGTTGTTGAAAATGAATGAAACGATGCCCAGTTGTTGTAAAATATTGGCGGCTTTGTAAATTGTAACCATTAAAATCAGGTCTAAAATTCATGGGAGCGGGTCTAAGTCTCTGGGCGACGCCATATTAGGTGCCATGTTTCCTTCTTTGGGAGTCCTTGAGGGCAAAATGCATTTAGTGATTTGTAACAAATGGTTACAAAATTTTTGTCATTCTTAAATGTTGTTTTACACATTTACCTCTTCACTTGTTGCCAGTGATGAAAGGATGAGCTTGTCATTTTGCTAAAGTTTGCACTCCCCGGGGCTTTTTGACCCTAATGGGCATCCGTTGGTAAGGTCTTACTCCAGCACAAAAATACTGCTTGCTTGCAACGATTTAAGTATCTACTGCCCCCTATCGCCAGAAAAAATACACACTGTCACTTTAAGCTAAAGGTCAAGAAATGCAAAGACAAAACCTTGAAATTAAGGGTAGGACTCAAAAATAAATGTATAAAACCCAATCAACGACTTTGTGATTAGTTAATCTTGATTAATCGCATTTTAATTGTTCAAGACAATTTACACCTAAATGATTTTTAAAATAAAAAATAATGTTAATGAAGCACATATGGCATAAACCAGGGGTGCCCAATCCTGGTCCTAGAGGGCCAGTATCCAGCAGGTTTTATGGTTTCTCTGCTCCAACACACTTGATTCGGAGGTTGAATCACAAGTGCAGCAGCTCACGAAGCTCTGCAGAAGCCTGCTAATCACCCGCTGATTGAAATCAGGTGTGCTAAAGCAGAGTTCAAACTAAAACCTGCTCGATGCCGGCCCTCCAGGACCAGGACTGGACACCCCTGTCATACACACACTTTAATGAGGATGTGACAGTGTGAGCACCCTGTCACTGTGACCCGATTGATCATGCACCCTGGCTACTTGGCCATGGGGATGTCCCTTTGGCTGACTGGTTAGCGCGCGTGTTACCCGGAAGTCTGGGGATCGAATCCCGCCCAGGCCCTCGTTTCTCCACCTTGCCACAAGTATAATTCTGTAACCACAAGGTCTATTTGATTACTTTTGTCTCAATATAAACCATTATGGGATTTGTTGTGTAAATGTAAGTATATGTGTTATTAATTAAGTGTAAATAGACATGGAACATTGTAGATGTTGTGTACCAAACTGAACACTAGGTGGTAGCAGAGCACTGCTAATACACATTAGTGTAGTGTAGAGTTCAGGGGGAGTTCTGCTGAGGGTTACAAGATGAATGTCCCTCCTGCTGTAATAGAGTTCATATGCCTGCCTGCTTTCTACCAACTAGAAAACATAACAGAAAAAATGCAGATTTTTTTCCTTTATTTTCTTTGTGAGCGATTAGTCATGATTAATTTATTTGTAGCTTTGGTTGAGTTTGGAGCACGGAAAAACAGTTTAAATGGTCTTGTTAGAGGTGCAGCTTGATGATATTTATTGGTATATAGGGCATACATTGTGATGCTAAACTTTGAATGTGTTTTTTTTTCTAATTAAAAGTAATCAATGCATTACCCCCCACTGTCCTAATGGGTGTGACCGCGCGAGGAAAGTTGACCATTGAGCAGGATTGATGGTTTATCCCTTGAGGTCCACGTGGACCGCAAGGGATAAACCATCAATCCTGCTTGGTCAGCTTGCTTCTCACACCAAACCTTCTGTCAGGAATCTTGGCGTGACCTTTGACCCAGCTCTCACCCTGGATTCTCATGTCAGTTCTCTTGTTCGCTCTTCCTTCTTCCATCTCAGGAACGTTGCTAAGCTGAGTCCCATTCTGTCCCGCTCTGAACTTGAGACAGTTCTCCACACCTTCATCTCCTCACGCTTAGACTACTGTAACTCTCTTTTCACGTGTCTGAGCAGAACCTCCCTGAACCGTCTACAGGTGGTTCAGAATGCCTGTGCTCGGCTTCTGACCAAGTCCTCCAAACACACCCACATCACCCCGCTACTCCTCCAGCTTCACTGGCTGCCAGTCAACTTCAGGGTTCATTTCAAGATCCTGGTTCTGGTCTATAGGGCCTTACATGGACAAGCACCATCTTACAGTGGTGATCTTCTTAGTCCCTACACCCCCAGCAGGTCCCTGAGGTCCAGTGACCAAAGCCTACTGGTTGTGCAGCACCAGGCTAAAGACCAAAGGTGACAGATCATTTGCTGCTGTGGCCCCCAGACTCTGGAACTCTCTCCCCCTGAGCCTGAGATCAGTGGACTCAGTGGTCTCCTTTAAAAAGCAGCTAAAGACACTTGTTCAAGCTGGCTTTTGTATGACCTTCTTCACCACTCTCTCTTTATTCTGCTCTCCCCACCTAGTCCACCTTCCTCAGGATCCACTGATTTCCCTCTTTCCTATTCACTCTCTTTCTTTTTTAACATTTTTTTAATCACAACTGTCTATTTTTTGCTCATTTTGAATATATTTTTAACCATTTTCTAAATTCTTTGTTATATTTTTACAGTTTTTGTTTTTGTGAAGCGCCTCGTGATTTTTCCCTTGAGAGGCGCTTTAGAAATAATATTTTCTTCTTCTTCTTCTTCTTCTTAAAAATGTGATCTGAAACCTGACATGTGCAGCCATACACTCATTTGTTTTCATTTATCCAGATACATTACATACAACTAATCATGCATGTCCCTGTAATTCCAACTGTAGGTTCCTTTTCTAGAAAAGTACTGTGTGGCTGTGATTTTTTGCAACGTGTTTAGTAAAAACAGTCAGTCAGTTATTAGAGCTCCATCTGCCTGAGCTCATTCTGTTCTTATTTCAGGGATTATAAGATGAAAAGTTGCTGTATTTGACTAAAAGTTTAGCTGATTGCCTAAAAAATAGGGGGAAAATAGGCTCCAACTTTTAGGAATAAAAAGGGGGTGTTTGATTTTTTTGAGCCAGGCAACAGGGCCAGAAACGTGAGCTGTGACTAAATAAACTTCTGTTTTTCTCAAGAGGATGCAAAATGCCAGATAATAGACAAAAAAATTATCAAAATTCCTTAATTATAAATGACCTGTATTTGATATAGCGCCTTCTAGAGTCATTGAACCCCCCAAGGGATTTTACAACACAGTCATTCATCCATTTACACACACGTTCACACCCTGGTGGTGATGAGCTACATTGTGGCCACAGCTGCCCTGGGGCTCACTGACACAGGCGCCGCTGGTCCCTCCGAGCACCACCAGCTGACAAGGTGGAATAAGTGTCTTGCCCAAGGACACAACAGTGACAGACTGAGCGGGGCTCTAACCTGCAACCTTCCAACTACTGGGTGAGCACTTAACTCCTGTGCCACCATCGTCGTCCCATAGTTATAGTTCTCTGGTCAATTCAAAACACGTCTATGAAGTTCTCACATAAAACAATTTTAGCTGGTTGAATCATGACATTTTTAGTACCTTCCAGAATTAGCTATTTCTGGGCTCTGTCAGATTAAAGTAACACTAAATAGTTTTTTAAACTTCAAGCTAGACCTTTAGCATTGATCTCAGTGACTGTTGAGTTAGAAACTTGTCGGTGTTGAAACCACAGATTGGATGACTCTCTGCCAGGGATTTGAAGAGGACATCAATGCCACGACTGGATGTGTCACTGACTATATAAACTTCTGTGTGGACAACATCATACCCACCAGAACAGTGAGATGCTTAGCTAATAACAAACCCTGGAACACCAGTGAACTGAAGAATCTGCTAAATGAGAAAAAAAGAGCCTTCAAGAAGGGAGACAGGGAATTATTGAAGAACCCTCCTCGCCTGTCCCCAGCTAATCAGACATCCCATCCTCCTCTGATCCAACATTTTACTGTCACACGCCAGCTCTTTTGTCCTCTAACACAGTCACGGACTCTTCTGGTTCTATAAATTTGTCTTCAACAAAGTCAGGAGATGCTGCTGCCCCAGTTACCTCCCCCTCCCACCTATCTGTCTCTAGAAGTCAGGTAAAGAGGCAGCTGGAGAGACTGAACAGGAATAAGGCTGCAGGTCCAGATGGTGTCAGCCCCAGGGTACTGAAGGCCTGTGCAGAGCAGCTCTGTGGGATTCTGCAGCACTTCTTCAACCTCAGCCTGGCCCAGGCGAAGGTTCCAGTCCTGTGGAAGACATCCTGCCTTGTTCCAGTTCCAAAGAAAACTCGCCCATCAGTCAATGACGACTACAGACCGGTTGCCCTGACATCCCACATCATAAAAGTCCTATCGCCATGGAGCTGGAGTTGAAGATGCCATCATCCAGCTGCTTCAACCAACCCACCATCATCTGGACAAAGCAGGCAGCACTGTCAGGGTCATGTTCTTTGATTTCTCCAGTGCATTTAACACAATCCAGCCTGATGTACTTTGCCAGAAACTCCAGAAGACACTGGTGAGGGCCTCAACTATCGCCTGGATTACAGACTACCTGACAAACAGACCACAGTTTGTGAGGCTGAAGAATTGCACATCAAACCAGGCGATCAGTAACATTGGAGCACCACAGGGGACTGTACTCTCACCATTCCTTTTCACCCTGTACACCTCAGACTTCCAGTACAAATCAGAGACCTGTCATCTACAGAAATACTCAGATGACTCTGCAGTTGTTGGGTGTATCAGAGATGGACAGGAAGCTGAGTACAGAGAGCTGGTGGAGCGCTTTGTGGCATGGTGTGGAAACAATCATCTGACCTTGAACGTGAACAAAACAAAGTAGATGATTTTAGACTTCAGAAGAAACAGGGTGGAGTCAAACACTGTTTCCTTCATGGGAGAAGAAGTGGAGGTGGTTGAGGAATGCAAATACCGTGGAGTTCACCTGGACAACAGACTGGACTGGAGAAGGCGATGGACTAGAAATCCATTGGGGTCTCCCCGCGCAGGTTCGAATCCTGCCGACAACGTGTATTTTTTTAGTTGTGTTTTGTGCAAATTATACACAACACATTCTGGTTACCAACTATACAGTGCTAACCGGGAGGTTATAGGTCCTTCAGTGTCTGTAGCAAGATGTTGCAGATCTTCTACAAGTCTGTTGTTGAGAGTGTAATCTCTTCAGCCATCGTCTGTTGGGGTAGCAGCATCAGAAGCAGGGACCTGAAAAGGCTCAACAGCCTAATAAGAAAGGCTGGTTCTGTTCTGGGGACGACTGTGGAACCAATGGAGGAGATAATGCAAAGAAGGATTCTCCAGAGAATCAAGAAAATGATGGACGACCCTGAGCATTCTCTTCACAAGACTGTCCGACAACAGAAGAGTGTCTTCAGTCAGAGGCTTCTTCAGTTTGGCTGCAACACTGACCGCTACTGGAGATCCTTCCTGCCAACAGCCATTGTAATATACAATAACTCTTTGATGACTTGATTATTATTATTCTGAGCTACTACAGCAATCAATTTCCCTCTGGGATTAATAAATTGTTTTTGAATTGAATTAGGATGCAAAAGGTGGGTTTTGCTTTTAAAAAACACACCATTTTAACCCTTTAAGTATTCATAATGTCAGAAGAAAGCACATTTTGTTGATGCAGTCTAGAATGTTTTACAGTAATTTATTTATCTAAATATACTTATTTTCATTCCTCAAAATCATAAGACAAGTCTACAATCCCAGGTGTAAATTTTCTTTAAATCCAGTCTTTGCTAACCCTGTCCATGTAGACTCACGTGACAAACATGAAATGGTTTGTTTTCCCCAACATCACCCCCTCCCCGGGGGATTTCTGCCACGCTGGCGCAGCAATGCGTGGTTTTGGCCACAGCAGCAGGTCCTCGCTGCAGATTAACGGGGGAAGGGGTTAACTTCTTCCAACTGCCAGAAGAACATTCAATAAATCATCAAGTTGTAAAGGATGTCATGAGGTTGCCAGGCTCCCATTTGAGGGAGAAATTGAGATGACAGGTGTCAATAGAGGGTGAACCATGTGGGATTTGAGAGTGGGCAAGAATTGAATTTCTATGAGCAACAACCAGAACATCACAAATGTCAAATCCATTTATTCATGCAAATCATAAGTGAACATAGAAATAAACTGCAGGGATTACAGGTGCTACAGCCTTCACGGATGCTTTTACAGAGAAATCCCAAACACCTCTACGGTCACGGCACACGGGATGATTATGGGAACAGATTAAACATCCTACTTTTGTGTTTGGAGTGAAGTGTGAAGAATCTAATCTACGCTGGCCGAAACCACAACACCAAACTATAGAGGAACAACACGGAAACATCTTTCTGTGGGTGAAGTGAGGTTTTCTTTAACTCAGACATCATCAGTCTCTCCACTAACAGCCAAGTCCACTCATGGACCCGATCCGATCCAGTTTCAAGCCAAAGCATCCTCTGTTCCACCCCCTCCGAGAGCGTTCCGGCTCCGCTCTCCTCTGATTGGCCAGAGCCCCCTTCAGCAGCCAGACCCAGGGGTTCTCGGGCTGCGTCTGCACGTCCCCCCATTTGGGGTTCTCAGCCCCTTTGACCCCAGAGACCGTGGACTGCTCCTCCGTCGTCCCGCTGTTCAACAGGTTCTCCAGGTCATCCAGAGTCAGAAGGTCGTTGTAGCGCTCCAGGAACTACAGTAAACAGATCAAGTGTAATTGTTAGAGTGTACAAGAAGGGTAATTCAATTTCATCAGCCTGCGCTATCCGGTCACCCCCTCCTCCCTTAGGTACCTGCGCAGCATCGGGAGAAGGATGCAGAGCACGAGCCTCGGAGATCTCAAAGGGAGTCAGGAGGAGCAGAGCGGCACAAAGCAGCACAGGACGCAGCATGGCAGCGAGGATGTGGAGCAGCAGGAAAACTGGGAACACGGCAGCTGCAGATTCCAAAACTAATCACACGTTTACAGGGAATGATTTTTACTTTCAAACAAAAGTAGAACACCCCCCCCCCCCCCCCCCCCCCCAAAAAATGAGAAAACAGGTCTCTGGAAGCCCGATCTGAGTCGAGTAATCTAACAGGTCACGCAGCTGAAAACGGCAGCTGGATCAACACTGAACTGTTTGTCAGGAAAACAGGAACATTTTTAAACTAGTTTCATTCAGTAAGTTTCAATGCAGATATAGAAAATTCCTCTATGTAGTTTAGACGTGCTTTAAATAACTCAATTATAATGAAGCCGAATTAGGAAAGAAAACCCACTTTAAGTGTTTTTATAATGAAATGCACGGGATAAAAAGAGGCAATTCCAACCATTTAAGTGAAAACCAGTCACTAGAAAAGAAAAGCTCACCCGTCTTTTCCAAGCTCAGGTTGTCTTCTGCTCTCACAGATTCTTCTCCATCTCTCCGCTTCCTCACTTGTCGGCACCTGCTGGGAGCGTCGGCTTCTCTCTAGGCTGGCTCCTCCTCCTCACTTTCGCTCGTGATGGAACTGGGAGGATGATGATGGTTGTCCTCTCCCTGTGTCCGTGGTGGAGGCTGAGTGTTGGGGTACCTTCTGGGATGCTGCAGGGGTTTTGTAGAGCCAGCCCCCCCCCCCCCCCTCCACCATCTTCCTCCTCCTCATCCCATTTTCTTTAGTGATGTCATAGCCTTAGAGACCGATTGTCATTGCCAAGGTGACTCCGTGTGTGGTGAGCACTCTGCAAACCAACATTTGCTGCTCAAGCCAAGGTCAGAGGTCAACGAGGACAAGATCAGTGACATGTTTACACATTTCAACCACAACAACCAGAATCATACATTTCCCACATGGGAACCACGCTCGAAGCTAGTTAGCCTCGTTTTTGTTTCTCCCCGTTTGTCTTTGTGGTTTTTCCCATCATGCGCCGACCTCCCTGCTCTGCTGGGTAAGTTACAGTCTGTCAGTGCCATCTGCTCCTCATACACCCCCCACTGTCAACTTACAACAAGCAGGAGCTGCGTGGTCCAACACACTGGCCTTAAAGTTCAAAAACCTCCAATTTACACTTAAAAAATAAAATTAAATCAGTAATCAACCTGCAGAATTCCTTCTGAAGAGGAAGCCAACTCAAACCATCCTCGAATAAATATACATCGAGTGTCTTTACATAACATCAGTCACACAGAAAACTCACCCTCTCATCGTTTTGGAGAGGACAACATGTGGGAGTGGGCGTAGAAAAGAAAAAAAAAAAGGGGGGGGGGGATTAGTGGGGAGGGGAGGTGGTGATGGTTCGGAGTGGTTGAACTACTGTGTGTGATGTCAGTGGAGCGCTGGAGGAAAAGTAGGCAGCAGAGAGTAGGAGGAAGGAAGAAACAGCAGGCAGAGAGCGCAGGGACATCTACAAAAGAGATTGATTACAGGAGAACAGAGACGACCAGCTAGGCAACGGATAATCTATCAGGAAAATAAATAAATAACACACAGCTGTGAGTCTCCTCTGGAAAAGACAGAACTGTGATAGAAAGGAAAAATAAAAAGCGAGTGGATGTGAAGTAGGGCAGTAATCCTGTCCGAGCAAGCTGTGGCGGCCCTGTCCAAACACCAAACACAAGCCGGCCTTCAACCAGCCTGTAATGTTTACATGATGACCCAGCAGAGACACATCTGCCGGGCGTTCTTCAGCATGAAGGAAGAGACAAAACCTCTAATTAAGACCAGTTTATTAACATGGCTTTAAAGCGGATTCGTAAAATACAACTCGGGTCTTGTGCTAGACACCAAAATGGGTTTAAAAATATACAAAAGATTAAAAATAATAAAAATACTTGACAAAAGTTTAAAAGAGACAAAAAAAATAAAAATAAACTTAGTTTCTGAGGCGAGTCCGTCGAGATGAGCGTGAGATCGGTGTCAACACTTTAGGAGTCTCGCTCTCCGCCATGACCGCATCTAAAAGGACCAAGAAAAATAAAACAAATCTTACTGACAAGTGGTCAGGAACAAGATTATTCTGACAGAATCTCCAATTTATTCTAGAGGATTCATTTTAAAATAGGATTTGCGAGTTAAATGTGTATATCACAATGACATGTGATCAAATGTGGGTACTGCAGCTAGTTGCTAGCTACGGGTCAGCACCAGAAAATTCTAGAAAACAAAGTTTATAAGCAGATTAACTGTAATAATGAGTCATTTGTAATTTAAAAAGTAGCTTGATATTTTTAGAGCCGATTGCTTCCAATTCATCGTTAGCCCATAGCCTTGTTAACCTGATATTAGCGTAAAACAAAAAGATGCCGTAGCTTCTTAGGGTACAAGGAGTAACTTCAGTGTCGCTCCTGTTACACGATTAAGATTTTTACAGAACACTGCTGCGTTTTGCCAGCCGGTGAAGAATTACAAATGCCGGTGCAGCAGCGTTAGCTCGGCACAGACTCTAGAACCCCGTCAGCTCACAGATCATCAACAAAGACTACGTCCCTCTTTAGACTTTTAGGGAGGAGGAAAAACTGGCAACCTCCCAGCCGGCTGAGAAGGAAATCCATTTCAATGTAACGTTCCTTCCAACATGACTGTTAGATAGTTCTGGGATTATTTAAATTCTTACATATTGTACCTTTAAAGCCCTATTTTTAAAGTAACTTGTGCACTTTTTTGTTTTGTTTCCAGCCTAATCCATTGATTTTTTTTTTTTACACATTAGGACTAATTTGGCTGCCATACATTCTGGTTAACTGGTAACATTCAACAAAAACTAAATGTGCACCATTTGCAAAATAAAAATAATTACTAAATAACAGAAGAAAAGTTCTTTTCGAACGGACGTCATTTTAAAAGTATTGAAGAATCGCTGAAACGTCACATAAACCTTTAAAACCCTTTTGTTAAAGTTAGCCGTGTTTGATGTTCCAGCTGAGATGTTTTCCGTCAAATCCATCTACAGGTCCAGGATTAGTGCCGCGGTCATGCTCCGCTCACTTTATCAGAACTCAGGTAAAAAATAATAAAAATCCATCCATTTTCAGCCGCTTCTATCTGGAGTCAGGTCGCAGGGGCTGAGAGGTCCAGATTCCCCTCTCCCCAGTCACTTGGCCCAGCTCCTCCGAGGAAATCCCAAGGCGTTCCCATGCCAGCTGAGAGACATAGTCTCTCCAGCGCGTCCTGGGTCTTCCTTTAGGTCTCCTTCCGGTTGGACATGCCTGGAAAAACCTCACCAGGGAGGCATCCTAACCAGACGCCCGAGCCACCTCAACTGGCTCCTCTCGATGTGGAGGAGCAGCAGGTCTACTCTGAGCCCCTCCCGGATGACCGAGCTTCTGAACCTCTCTCTAAGGGAGAGCCCAGCCACCCTGTGGAGAAAGCTCATTCCGGCCGCTTGTATCCACGTTCTCGTTTCGCCTTCTGGCTCAGCTCCCTCTTCACCACAACAGATCCGTACAACACCCGCATCGCTGCAGACGCAGCACCAAGCTGCCTGTCGATCTCCTGCTCCATCTTTCCCTCACTCGTGAACAAGACAGGACCTCGTCCCTGACCCGAGAAGGCGTTCTACCCTTTTCCGATTCCAAAAATATTAATCTAAAATTCTCTTTGAATCCCAAGACTGGCCTAAATAATCAGATTTACTGATCTGAGAATTTGTTTCAAAGTAATAAAACACTTTACACGCTTTAACATCACCTAATTAACCGAGTCTGAGCTCGGTTAATTAGGTGACAACAGCTCAGGAACACATCCGCTTTGTTGTTTTTAAAAACACAAACAAAGATTTGCCTTCGTCTAATTTGAGCCAGCGGTCTTTGGTTTGTATTTAATAACTAGAGCGAACCTTCGTCACTGATTCCAGGTGTTGGGGTGACACTTTTGAGAAGGTTTGGATTAAAACAAATTTACATTTTTAAATAAATGTAGAGATTTATTTTCATTTAAAAATAGAAAACGCGTGCCTTCGTCCTCCTCTTCATCACTGCTGAAGGTAACCGCAGGTTTCCTGGACTTTCGAGACTGTCGAGGCGTTACGAACGCGTCGTCGTCGCAGCCGGAAATGGAGGACTTTGATTGGCCTGCAATAAAACCAAGAGGAAAATAAACTAAAATAATTCATCACTAAACATCATTTGTGAAAAAAGTTACACGAGGTGAACTCTGACCCCTTTTGGATTTCTGACGACCTCTGGTGGGCCGAGGCGTACACGCCACCATCCTCTTAGTGGATCCTTCTGCCTTTTGGTTCTCCTCATCCATCTCAGGACTTTCCACGTTCTCCAAACCTCGAGTGTGAACCGCCGTCAGCCGCTTCTCAAAATCATCAACCTGAGCCTGAAAGATTTGATCATAAATAAAAGTCCTGTCCTGGCCTTTTGCACACGACTGACCTAAGAACGAGCGCCGGTACCTTAAACTGAGGCTTGGCTCCACGGCGGAGCTTGCCGGTGATGGACAGGAGGGGCTGGTAGACTCCAGGTTCGGTCAGCTTGTCGCTGTAACACTCCCAGCTCTCCTGCAGTCTCTTAAACCCGCGCTCACACATGGACAGCAGAGACAGAGAGATGGCCAAGTCGCACCACTGTCGCTCCGTCCTGAGGAGAACATCAAAGGAGAGTTTGAGGGATTTGAAAACAAACCCGATTAGCAGCAACGAAAGGCGGACATCCCAGAGCCAAATAACTTAAAAAAGCTCATTACTCATAAACATGGCATTGCTGTGACATTTGGACCAAATCTCATTTCCCAGGATCCTCTTATGACTAAATTCACTTTGCCATACTATAATTTAAAATGCCCTTGCTTTGAGCTCCGTGTGTGGATGAAGAATGAGTCAGAGGCTGAAGTCTGGCCGGCCCATTCGCTGCACAAACTCAACCAGAAGAGCGTTTCCATGACAGAGTGAATGAGACAGCAGTGCAGGTGACAGGTGAGCTGAACTTGACTCGCTCTCTTCTGTGAGTGAGAGCGCCCACTAATTACCCACACAGCCGCCCCATAATGAAACGCTGCAACAAAAGCTCACAATTTAGACGCAAAGCTGCTGGGAAGAAAAACGATTATGTGGGTCCGAGACGAGGGAACAGATGCACTCACGTTGCAGTCCTGAAGCGCTGACAGAGTTTCTCTACCAGAGACTCCGTCTGCCTCTCTTTAGTGATGTAGGAAAACAGCTGTCTGGAAAAAACACAAGGACAAACGTTACTTTGATTAGGGCGTAAACGAACTCCGAGCAGCTGCGAGACTCACTTCATGATGGTGTTGAAGTCCTCCGAGCTCATGCCCCTCTCTGGATCAGACAGGCGGCTGATGATGTCTGGGAGCAAGTTGTAGATGGCATTGTCCTGACGGGAACGGAAAGAGCAACGTCAAAAACCCTTCAAATGACTATTTTCTGTGTGTGTGTGTGTGTGTGTGTGTGTGTGTGGTGGTGGTGGTGGTGGGGGGGGGGGGGGGCACCTTTGAGGACAGCTCATTGAAGAAGTTCAGAGCCAGGCTGCTGATGTGCACCTCCGGGTCAATTAACAGCACAGCGACCTCGCTGACTTGACCTTTGACCTTGAGCACATCCTTAAGCACCAGCTGAGTAAGAACTGTCACGGCGGTCTGCCTCACTGAAGGAACCTCATCGCTCAGTCTGGAACAAGAAGAAAGAAAAGAATCTAATTAGCGGCTACTTTAGTAATAGAGTCTGGCCACGTCCTGCTGCACAAAGAACACCGAGCCAAATATAAACAAGCACAATACAAACATGGAGGTTTAACCCCACAGAAACACCTGCAGACAGGTGAGTCGCACATCCATTATAAATACAACCATTATAACACCAAAAGCACATTACATCATACTTTCTAAAGGGAGACTTTGGCCATCAACGTGTTTTATGTGTGAGGAAAAATATTTTTCTTAAATGTTGTAGAAAGCTCCTCCGATCGGCCTCTGTTCAGAGAAACAGATCTCAGGACTGAGGAGCCATTTTGATTTCCACAAACATTTGTGTAAAAATTGAGTTTGTAAACTCAACACAGAACCTCAAATTCACCGAGCAGTTAAACACTCCAGGCTGCTTCTTTTACAGCGACGTAAAGGTTTATTAAAGGGACATTATGGACGTTTGACAGCCAAAACATGTATAGAAATAATACATTTCTTCTTCATACATTCTCCTGCAATGCCCTGGTCCTGTAGAATGAGCCCTGGCATTTTTACTGTGATTGCCTGTTTTTCTGTAAAATCACAGAAAAAGAGAGATGCTCGGGTCGAGCAGGCTGCTTCATGCGCGTTCACGCTCAGGCATCGCCCGTAGCATTTGCTATCCGTAGCTTTAGCAGCAGAGAGAGAGGTAGTGCCACTTTGTCGCTGTTCCTAACGCCTAGTGACAAAGCTAGCTACATTTCTGAGGACCCTTAGCTACTTTCTTCTAGATATTTCCTGCAAATTAGCAACAAAATATCCATTTTCGCTCAGAACCGTTCTTTGAATGTTGTTTCAGTTGTCAAAGATATAAATGTTACAGATACAAAGGACGTGACTGGCGCTTTAGCTCACTTAGTAAGACGTCAGACTCCCGTGCAGAAGATCTGGGTTAGATTCTGGGTGTGAATTTTTTTACAGTAAGATGCCCAAATTTTTATTTGAGACTTGCCAAACGGCACTGAATTCACAGATAAAAACGATGTGGGTTCAACTTTCATTTTTGAACAATTTTTCAAGCAAGGGAAGGGAATGATCTGAGCATGCAGGAGGACTGACCCATCTTAAACCTTTGTCGGCTGTGCTAAAGAGAAAGGTACAGAACCAAATATTTAATTAATTAGCTGCATGTTCTCCTGTCCTTCGGGCCACACACACACACACACACACACACACACACACACACACACACACACACACACACACACACACACACACACACACACACACACACACACACACACACACACACACACACACACACACACACACACACACACACACACACACACACACACACACACACAAACACACACACACGCACACGGGGCTGTCTCAGCTGTTAATTTCGTTAAGGAGTGTGCACATAACGTGGCTGACTGTTTGCTCTGCAACATTGACATTTTATGTTAAGTCTGGAAGAGTTCTGCTTTTTAGTAGAGTAGCTAATGCTAATGATTAGCTTTCGCTAGTCGGGACGCGCTCTGCTCTCTCCTGGATGCTAACAATTACAACCTTCCTGGTCACGAGACAAGATGGGTGAGTCCATGGACGCTAATTCCACCGTAAGATGTGCAATTGATTGACTTTTCCAATCCAAGAGTTACCATCAGCAGCTAATGAAGGAATTAGGGGTGGTAGATCATTTTCATGTTCAGACACACGTTTCATATTTTGCCATTTTCCTAAAGTAAATAAAATATTTTTGTACATTACTTTTGCTTCAAATATTCAGATTTTATTTCTGTAGCAAAATGCTAAAATGATTAAAGCTAATAATCAGAGACTTTTGTGTTACTTCCGTTTGCTCCAGGAATCACTGCTAACTGACGAAGTGTACCATGTAAGCTGCAGTTTGAGCCGTCAGCCTGAGTTCTGTTACATGTGGGTTTAAGTAAAAACAAACAACCAAGACTACAGAAACCAAGCAGTCACAGCCTCGTCTGCATACGGTGGACTGGACAGGTTGTGTTGCACCCGAAGGCCAATTTAGATTCACCTTCTCCAAAAGCGACAACAAAAGAAACTCATTAACCATTTCTCATTTGCACCAGAGCGCAGGAATACTGGCAGAGGATCACACACTAGTACATGCTACTTCCACATGCCAATGCAGAAGCTTACAACAGCAATTAGCAGGGCAATTAATTCTTAATACGCTTATCAGGAGGCGGCAGGGCAGCAGCCTCGACAACAGCGGAGGTGTTTGTGTGTGGGAGACAATTAGGGAACGCTTAAAAAATGCTTATCGTGTAGAAAACGCTACGAAGGCGGCGACGCATTAAAGAAAATAATGTTTTACATGTCCAGAAAACCTCAACGTGAACATTATCTTCCATAATAATTAAAACAGAACTTCAGCTGCAGCTGGAAACCCACACGGTTAAGTGCTTTTAAAACAAAAGGTGGCTATAAGCTTGAACCTTTGCAGAATCTCAACTCCATCCAATAATATTCCTCTCCCGCTTTCCCAGCCGCACCATACAATTACAGGAGAGTGGCGGCTGGTTGAAGTCACAACCTATAAAACAGCAGTAATTAAAGTGTTCGTCTCCTGATGTGGTCCAGGGCTCCACCCAAGTTCACGCATCGTAATACTTTCAAGTGATGAAAAAACGTCCAGTTCCCATAGCAACCAGAGGTTAGAATCGGGAGTTTGCCAACAGATGGATCATCTCAAAGTTTGTGCCCCCTCCATTAGGGGAGTCGTGACGAGAGAGTAAACTTTTCCCATCATGTGGCTCACTGGAGCATTCTGACAGCGGCCACACTCCACCGGCTGAGAGGAACGTCACGCTGAGCGGTGGTGGGACTCCGACAAACATGGCTCAAGTGTACAAAGATGGGGGGGGGGGGTGGTAGATGTTTGCTGGAATTAAACTTCACTTACAGTCCGCCCACTCAGCTGAGGCTTTTTTCTTATGATGAAACCAACTTATCTGAGGAGGATACGATGATGATCTAGAAAATTAAAGCTTGTGTCGCTACAGGAACAATGACAAGGTGCTGACACTGAACAGATTACCGCACGGATCGAAACGGGCTGCGCCGAATTACCTGGCATAGAGATTCTGCGTCCAGGGCTCCAAGATGTTTGGGAAGCGGACTGTGAGGTCACCCAGGGCTATGATGGCGTTAGCCCTCACCACAGGGAGAGTGGACCTTTCCAGCACCGTGAACATGAGACGGACGTTTTCTTCACACACCGATGGGCTGAGAGAAGGGAAACGTAGAAAATTACAACATTTAATTATCAAAAAGACGATGAGAACTTATATTTAGGTGTCTGGAGTCATTTTAAACTTAAAAACTCTTTAAAACTTTTAATAATTCAGCCTTTTTATTGTTCCCGTGGCAACAAGTTAATTAACCCTAATGGATAAGTGCTTTTGATCTCTTAAACGACCATGTGGGAAAACACAATCCGAACAAAAAGTTATTCTGATTCAAATTATGTTCAAGAAAATGAACAATTTAATTGCTTCAGGAGGTTTAGTGAAGTTTTGAAGGAAAAAGAATCACCTAAGAATGAATAAATTTAACAATCTGCTGCTTTTGTTCACCACAGAAGGCTGCAGGAATAAAAACAATCCGCTGGTGTTTATGCTCGGCGCTGGCCTCGAACTGGTAATCTTTACATCAAGCGATTTCATCACTGATAATAAAATAATCATGTACCTTATCATCATGTATTGTGAGAGCGCCAGACACGCAGCCGTGGTGAGCTGAGGGTGGGAGTAATGTCCTGGGGAGCTGCAGACTTTCACCAGCAGAGGAAGGAAAGCACTCAGCAGGTTTTCCTCTAAACAGATTTAGGAGGGATTTTAAATAAACCAATATAGAGATGACTCAGCATTAGAAGTGAGCATTTCATTGTTTGCATCAGTCGTATATTATAGTTGCTGCGTGTCGGAGGTGACTGAACAGAGAAGCTATAAATGAACTGCCCACAGAGACTTATTAAGAGTTTATTTACCAGCCAGTAGCTCCGTTTCACAGATTTTTCTGATGAGTTCAGCTTCTGTATCCTCAGCCGAGGCACCGATCAGCCCAAGCTCCTCCTCCATGGCGCTTTCACCGACCACCTGCTGATAAAAATTAAATCCCATTAATCCAATTCAACAAAACCTTTAAATACCCCATGAATAAAAATTTGAGCACCTTTTTTTGCTTCAATTCAGGAAAATTTGCACGAGAGCGAAAGGTTGACGACTACAACTCCTGCAGCTCATGGGGCTGATTGCTCACACCGTGCACCGAGTCCCGCACTCATCAGTCTGAGTCTGACTCCAACTAAAGTCATTAGATGTTTCACATTTTAATCATTCCTCACCGTTTCTTTTCATCCACTCTCACAACACCCAGAATAGCTAAGATGCTTTAGGCTTCATGACTAGAGGTCGCTAGCGTCGACCACGTCGGACAGAAAGCCTCTTTAGCGGGCCGTCGTGGCTTCCAGCCCAGATAAGTAGTTTGTGGCGACAAGGTCGCAGATTCCCATCAGACTGTCTGAGAGAAAAAATAAAAGAGGAAAAGATGTGGGCACGAAGAGTAAACGATCATCTTTAATATTCAGAGCTGAAGTAGCACGACGCTCAACCCTCTGACTGCCTCTCCGTAACCGCCCACAGCGGACGGTTGTCGTCTTTAATGCGTTTTTCATTCCTCATACTTTACTCAGGACCAACACACACGATCAACTCCAAACCCTTTAGTTCAACAAAAGCACATCAGAGTGATTTATGAGCCCAACGCAAGAGATGTGGCTGAGTGAGTGAGTGAGTCCACCTCTGGCTTTCAAGATGATGAGAAAAAAAGAGAAAAGGATAATAAATAAACAAATACAAATAACAGTGATGAACATCCTCCAGAGGTGATTAAGGGAACATTTATCTTCCCTTCTCCTGATAGGCTGAACAATTACGTGCCATCACTCATCTAACTCTGTCGAACACGAATCTCATCATGGAGGCATTCTGCTGAGAAACGTCCCGAGCATCGAACGCCTCAGCAGACAGTAGGTGGTTTGGGCTCCATGTTTAATCTCCAAGTAACAGGGAAGTATCTGTTTAGTTCAGTGACAACACTCGGGCTTACCAACGTATCCCATTTAAAGTGACGGTGTGCATTTTTCCTGGCGATAGGGGGCAGTAGATACCTAAATCATTGCAAGAAAGCAGTACTTTTGTGTTGGAATGAGACCGTACCAACGGATGCCCATTGGGGTCAAAAAGCCCTGGGGAGTGCAAACTTTAGCAAAACTTTCATCACTGGCAACAAGTGAAGAGGGAAATGTGTAAAACAACGAAGAATGACAAAGGTTTTGTTACCGTTTGTTACAAATCAGTAAATGCATTTTGCCCTGATGGGCTCCCGTAGAAGGAAACATGGCAACTAATATGGCCTCGCCCAGAGACTCAGACCCGCTCCCATGTATTTTAAAACAGATTTTAATGGTTATATGTTACAAAGCCACCAATACTTTTCAACAGCTGGGCATCATTTCATTCATTTTCAACAAAATTTTGATGGATATTTCCAGAAATGAAAGGTAAAAACTAAACATCGCCTCTTTAAAGGGACATTATGGATGTATGACAGCCAAAACATGTATAGAAATAATAAATGTCTTCTTCATACATTCTCCTGCAATGCCCTGGTCCTGTAGAATGAGCCCTGGCATTTTTACCGTGATTGCCCGTTTTTCTGTAAAATCACAGAAAAAGAGAGATGCTCGGGTCGAGCAGGCTGCTTCATGCGCGTTCACGCTCAGGCATAGCCCGTAGCATTTGCTATCAGTAGCTTTAGCAGCAGAGAGAGAGGTAGTGCCAACTCAGCGACTTTGTCGCTGTTCCTAACGCCTAGTGACGAACCTAGCTTCAATTCTGAGGACCCTTAGCTACTTTCTGTAGAACTTTCTTCTAGATATTTCCTGCAAATTAGCAACAAAATAGCCATTTTTGCTCCGAACCGTTCTTTGGTTTGACGTTTCAGGTGTCATCAAGGATATAAATGTTACGGATACTGTAAATGTTACTGGAGTGTGGCTCACCTAGTAAGATGTCGGACTTTCATGCAGAAGACCCGGGTTCGATTCTGGGTGTGAACATAGTTCATTTAGAGTTTCTTTTTTACATTAATGGTATATTTTTTTTACAGTAAGATGCCCAAATTGTTATTTGAGACTCGCCGAACGGCATTGAATTCACAGATAAAAAGATGTGGGTTCAACTTTCATTTTGGAACAATTTTTCAAGCAAGGGAAGGGAATGATCTGAGCATGCAGGAGGACTGACCCATCATAAACCTTTGTCAGCTGTGCTGAAGAGAAAGGTACAGAACCAAATTATTTAATATTGATTTGCTGCGCGTTCTCCTGTCCTCCGGGCCACACACACACGGGACTGTCTCAGCTGTTATTTTCGTTAAGGAGTGTGCACGTACAGCATGCGCGTCTTGTGCACGAGCCTACTATTGAAGCTGCCATTACGCTTTTGGCCTGAGGGGGCAATCGCGAGCATAAAAATTCAAACTCCGTTAAGTCCCTTTAAAGGTAGACGCGTGCATAAATTCAAACTGCACCTATGGTGTGATCTGTAAGGAAGAGGATTAAGCCTGATTCATGCTTCTCCGTCTGCGTCAGTGCGGACACACGCAACGTCCTTGCGGGCCTGCCGGAGAGCTCCACAAGGACGGACGGAGTCGAGCTCTCTTTTCTAAACATTCGTCAGTCGAGACGGAGAACGCAAGCTTGTGATTGGTCAGGATGCCGCTGTCGTCTACACCGCCACCATTGCGCCCTCAAAAACATAAAGAGAGCTGAGGATACGGAGAAGACACGGAGAAGCTTGAAGAATACCTTGCGAAAAAACTCTAAAAACATGAACATTTAATTCCCCGTGACTGGAGGAGTGAAAAGATGCGCAGCAAGCGTTTTATTTGTGGACGGAAATGACAGGAAACGTGGGTTTAGAGGTGGCGAGTGCATGAAGAGGTGGAGGAGAATGAGAGAGTCTGTTAAAAAGTCTCTATATTGTGTGTTTTTTTTTTATATAAAACACACTATCTTGGACCGGATACAACAGAACAGCACTACGCCCTCTGTTGTCCTGGCGGGGAATTGCTTTGCAACACTCCCCAGGAGACGGAGAAGTATGAGGGCAAAATGCTTCCGTCAATCCGTGCGTGTCTGTGCCTTGCGGAGCTGATGGAGAAGCATGAACCAGGATTAAGGGTCACTGAAAACAAAATGAGACCGAATTCTGTTTTTCTTTTCTCAGTGGCCCTAAAGGTTGGTTTATGCTTGACGCGTCCGCAAGGTCCGCACGGAAAAGTTGCGTCATTTTAACAACCACACCCCTCCACCGCGTCTCCGCACGGCCCAAGAGTTCCGCAACGCGCACCTCGGAAAATTTCTAACCACGCGGACAGACGGACGCAGAAAAACATGGCGGACCGGCAAGAACTAGTATGGCAGAGGTTCGTAAATACAGACATTTGTATGATTCAGCTCTCAGAGATCACCGTGATGAACATGTAGTTAATAATTCTTGGAGAGAAATGGCTCGCACTGTCGGAAAAGACGAGGGCGCTGTTAAAAATGCTGAAATGCCATGTTGTAAACAACAGTAATTTCTACTTCTACTATGGTGTAGTTGGATGCATGCCGTAGAGCTCCATGCTGCCCCCTACAGTTTGGGAGAATATTGGCTCACCGCAGAGACAAGCCGCATGAACCATAAAAGCTGCGAGTTGTGAAGCGCGTTCCATCCGCGAGCCGCATCACCGCGCGGACAGTGAATGCGTCAAGCATAAACCAAGCTTAATCCTCTTCCACATAAGTAAGTTTATTATTAGCTTTTACATTTAAATCATTAATAGGACACAGATCTATTGCTTGTCCAACCTGTACAGCATCTTATTACCTTAGCTTTACTGGCCGGTCCTTTTTCCTTCTCCTCCCTCTCCTCGGTCTCCCCTCTCCTTCTCCGCAGCTCAGCGCTCACGCTGCGCTCAAGGTGAGAAACCTGCCAAAAAGCCACGCATCCACAGAGAGCCAAAAGCTGGGCCAGACACACACAGTTCACTGCAGGAGAGAAAAGAACCACGTGGCGATGTTTAATTACGCGTGTTAACAAATCGTCAAGACGAGCCACGCGGCATCGGCCGCTAAGACAGCAGGGCCGACCTTGCTCACTGGCCTCTAGAGATCCATCCTGCAATTGGCCAACGTCCTTGTTGACTTCGCCACCTTCTGCAATCTGGTCAAGCAAAAGGCGAGCGCATCGCTGGAGCAGCCGGGAGCACAGCTGGTCTGGGGATTCAGCCAGGAAGTAGATGAGACGAACAGCCTGTTCCATGAAGCTCTGCCAGTATGGGTCTTCCATCACCACACCTGGGGCGAATACAGAAAAGACATCAGAGGATGAAACCACAGGTAGCGGAAACTACAACAAATACATCTAAAGAAAAGGTCCCATTTTGGTCGTTTACCTTCTGCAACAGCCTGAGTCAGGCTGCTGAATAGCTGGTGCTCCTGAGGAAGCCTGAAAGGAGCCCCTTTAGTTTGCTGGTGGAAATGACAAAAAGGACAAAAACATGTTAAACTTTAATAAACTCGAGTTTGTCAAACTGATGCCTGTAATTGTAAATGTGTCAAAAATTAGGGATCTATTATGAGAAAAGCACTATTGGAAAACTATTTCATAATTTACATTATAAATCTTAGTTTTGAACCAGAGTGTTGGTATAATTGTGTCGAGATGCATTCAACACCAAAAACATAAACACATAGTCTTAAACTTTGTTTTCTCAGTGGTTAAGGCCGAAAAACGAACATTAAGTTTATTTTACCTCCTGATAAATAATCTACAAACCAAATGAAAGTAAAAAATATAGATGTGATTTATTAAAGGACCACGTTTTATTGTCATTTTCGCATCAGAAACACCTCCAAAGTGGTTTTTGGCTCCACACATGAACCTACTCCTGGTCTGCTATTGTAAAACAGCTGGATGGGCTTATAACATCTGACCTGCCACTTCCCATTGAGGAAGTTCCCAACCTGCCCCCTCCTACCCTGGACTGTAAACACTAACACCCAGTCTTTCTGTGTAGCAAGCAGGGAATTTAATCTCCAGTTATGAAGAAGTGATTTCTTTCTCATCTAGTCTGAACTTTAAATGCCTGGAACCCACAAATGGACTTTTGTCTGCAAGAGGAACAGGATACCTGTCCAGTCTTCCTGAAGAATAGCCAGAAATTGTTGGACTTTATCTTCAGGAGCTCCCAAAAACCAAGCCAGAATGCGACTGATTTCAGACTGCTCGATAAACCACCACCAGTAACAAAATGGGTTTTCAGATTGTTTACTTCTTCAAAATGGCGCCGTTCTAATGATGAAACAACCAGATGGAACGACCAGGGCGGTGAGTACAAACAAAATGGTTGCTTAGGTGTCGACAAAGCAGATCACTGTTCTCCATTAAGTCCCAGTTTTCCACTAAAAGCCACAGTTCGCTGCAGCACCTCAGACAGAAACACAGTAAATGGCCTGTATTTGGTATAGTGCCTTCTAGAGTCCTGGAACCCCCCCCCAATTCATCCATTCACACACACATTCACACACTGGTGGGGATGAGCTACGATGTAGCCACAGAGGCGAGGCTGCCGAGCACTGGCGCCACTGGTCCCTCCGAACACCACCAGCAGGCAAGGTGGGTTAAGTGTCTTGCCCAAGGACACAACGACAGCGACCGACTGAGCGGGGCTCAAACCTGCAACATTCCGATTACGGGGCGAGCGCTTAACTCCTGTGCCACCGTCTCCCACAGAGTCAGTCAACACTGAAAGATGCTCCAACGCCGGGGACACACCGCCCGCAGAAGCGCCGAGAAGCGAATTGCTCACGAAATTCGGCCGCTGCTCGCCGCTCCTCAGTTCAGATTAGACGCGCCCCAGTCGAGGCGCGCCTCGGCTGTAGTTTTTCTTTTTACCACTTGGTGTCCTCCATTTCCTCTCTGCCTTTTCTCAGCTCTTTTCCTCTACGTTTGAGTGTGTGTGTATGTGTGTGTGTGTGAACCTATGGTATGAACCTATGGTATGGTTGTTTCTGCCAGTTGAATCTCTTGGAACCCGCTCCAGTTCTGCAGCTGTATCCTAGCAGTTTCTTCCGACATGGGTACGTAAATAACCACGTTTTTCGGGGGTCGTACAGCTCCTTGTGTTTCTCAACTTCCATAATTAATTTAAAGTCATTCATATTAACTGCTTGCCTCAGACTTTCTGCCTCTGTCCCGTTTGCTCCGGTGAAAAGACACCCAAAACCACACCCCCTTCACGTGGTCACACACGCACACAAGTTCGATGTGTGTGTATGTGTGTGTGTGTTCGTGCGGTTTTTCTGCAGTATCTGATTACGAACACATTTGACTATTGCGGAATTTTATTTTGAAATGCTTTATTTTATTAAATTTACCGGCCTGCCTCTATGTCTAGGTTTGAATTCCTGCCAGAATTGACGCGATTCACCCGCGGCTCGCGAAAAAATAGAGCAGAAGCCGAAATGATCGCTGCACGGCGCAGGCTGGAGCGCCGGCGCGAGGCGATTCGCGGCGCTTTGGCGGCCCATGTGGTCTATAGAATAGCTTAACAAGGGCGCCGAATGAAGGCGGTCCCATTTTCGCGGCGCTTCCGCGGCCGGTGTGTCCCCGGCGTAAAAGAGAAAGTGCCACTGGACAGAATTACAGTCTGCTGTAGCCACGCTGCTACAGGTGTTGTGCAGAGAAAAAGGCGCCTGCCATGGCGCTGCATGCCTGCCCTTTCGAAAGGACGTGCATCACTCAGCTGCAATTTCGTGACGTGAACAATTTGAAATATGAGCAATGATGTCACTTCTGAATATATTCATATTAAAATATTTTAATTTGAACAATAAATGTACTAAATAAGTGAAATTTAAAGGATGTGTTTTCCTTTTTCCTTATTTTGATGCTTTGCTGAAGTATCTGAATGGGACTTGGTACTGGCAGATCAAAGTCAAATTGCTCGGACTCTTATTGGGAGCAAACAAATGTGATGGGAACATCCCTACCAATGATGCAGATCAAGTGTACTAAAACTAGGAAACATCTAAAACATGCTAGGTAGGGGTCGGGCACACTTAACTGAGATGGAAACAAAACATGGCTGACACTCTTACCCTGACGTGGTCAGTGATGCTGCAGATGGTCAGAACCGTGTCTCTTGCTAGAAGGAAGTCTTCAGTCACTTTTTCTCCCAGAGCCACTGAACAAAGTGTGTCCAAGTTACTGAGCACCACCTCTCGCTCCTCCCTGTTACAGTTGCACACAGCATACACACTTAAAAGAACACCACGCTAAAGCTTACATTTTTTATTCCCTAATGACCACATCTTTATGCAAAACCAGGTAATAACACTGCCCTCCATCACCCCATGGACTCCATGCTGGCCTCGCCTGTGTGCCTGGATAATGCACGTAGGAGGGCAGGTTAGGAAAAGCACGGAAGGTTTAATAGGTTATGAGTTCTGCCGATGCTGGATGAGGAAGCAGCAGTGTGGGCAGACTGCAGATACCCTTTACTCTCTCGCTTGTAATTTTTGAGGAAGATAGAAGGGAGAACACTATTTTACATATATAGTAAAAAAAAAAATAGTAAAGGTCCTGGCTAGAAGCCTGGTTATTCAGTCGTGACTTCGATTACAGCGAAGAAGAGCAGAGGCTGGGCTTGTGCTCTGCCTAATGAGGATTTGCTGAATTTTAAGTCGCTGAGGCCGGACTGAAACGGGTTATTATCAAGACAGCAACAGCACCTGATGTAGGTTTTTTCCCTACCAACAGGTAAAAACCAAAGCCTGTGGAATGTGATAAACAGAAATAATGTTCGGTGCCCAGATTAGTTTGTTTAAATGACTAATCAAGTTGGAAATAAAGTAAAGTTACTGATTCTGTCTGTTTAATTCCTTCACTAAAAGTCTTAATTGCCAGAAAGATTTTGTTTTTTATTTTGAAGGAAAAATGTAAAGACCAAGTTCACTGAAAAACTGTTTAGCTTTTTATAAATATGATCGGTGACTGAGTTTGCACGCAGGCTAAACCTGAAAACAGTCTTCTACCCCGCTTTCCTGATTTTAGCCGCCGACAGAAAAGACAGGAAAACACTCAGATCTACGCCGCCCTGTAAATTAGCATTCATGAACTCACCCAGCTTGGCTCGCGACAGGGAGCCGTTGATGACTTAGCATCTCAGCCAGTAGAAGCTAACTGTTAGCATTATCAACTCCACCACACACCAGAACTCCTTCAGACTTGTTTCATTTGTGAAAACGGAAACATCAACGTTGCAAACAGAGTCAGTTTGCCATGAATAATTCAGCAGCCATGAGTTTGTGAAGGTAAACATCGAAAATAGCTTTAGAGAAAGATTCTGCCCTCAGATTACCAAAGAAGAAACTCATCGTTCACGGAACGGCAAAGAGGGATGGGTGAACTTTTTGCCTTTTGCAAACACACACACACACACTGTCAGCATCACCCCAAGAAATGACTCCTCTAAGACTGTAGAGGAATAATTTGGGTTGAGCCAAGTTGCTGTCGGCAGGCCCTTACAGCAGAGCAGAAATCCTCCTCTGCACTACCAAGATTACCCGCCAGTCAAAGCAAAAAGGACCCAGCTCTCGTTCCGTGAGCTCGTATTCGCCTTGGTCTCATCACCGGGCAAAAGGCAAAGGAAACATCAAAAACAAACAACGCTTTCTCAAAGCGGAGCACAGGAGACGCTTGAAAAGCTAATATTTTAGCTTGTAGTCTGTAATGAATGAAATTAAACTAGAACCACTTTTTATCCATATGCGAGTCGTGTTGCTGTTAGCCAATCAGAGAAGAGATGTCCGAATAACAGGAAGTAATAAGTAAGAACCTTCACAGACAACAGGAAGTAATATGCCAAAACCTGCTGTCTGCTGCTCCCCTCTCTGCTGGCTGAATTCTACTTGAAACAAGAGCACCAGCTGGAGGATACACTGACCACTTTTCACACTTGACTAATTTCTTCTACAATCTGCTCTTTAACTGTATTATTTTCTGCAATTTCAGCTGTTAACTTTATTTTTTCTCCAAGTGTTTTTTCTTCCCAGAAGAAGCTACAATGATGTTCTGCTGAGCTGTGGTGGCCCCATCGTCTAACACACTGCTGCTAACCACTAAAACATTCTCCCTCTCCTGATAATAACTTTTTGCTTTCCTTGACGTTGGATGTGCTACTACTAGTTTATCCGTTTAATCATAGATCCACTAGGATACATACAATAAAGTGTATCTCTCGCTAAATAGAATATTTACTAAGCAATCACAATGTAACCATAGACACATTGCTGTGTGTGTGCGTGTGTGTGTGTGTGTGCGTGCTCGGTCTCCTCCATCCCCAGCGAGTCGTGGAGGATGGCTGCTTATACTGAGCTAGGAACCTCTGGAGGTTTCTTCCTGTTAAAAGGGAGTTTTCCTCTCCACTGTCGCTATATACTTGTTTAGCATGAGGATTGCTGTATAGTCACTGACACTAGTCAGTGACTTGATGCAATTTGCTGGGTTCTTTATATAAGAAACATTATTTCTGATTGGCTTAATGAACTGACCTGAAGTGAAATGTTTACTATGTGAAGTACTTTGAGACAACTCTTGTCGTGATTTGGCGCTTTATAAATAAAATTGAATTGAATCCTTCATTAGCTCTGCTACATGAACAACACATCACACTAAGGTCACAGTGGATGTAGTCACATTTGACAGTCTGAGCAGACTTAAACAAAACTTTATTTAGATGTTTTGTGTATTGCAGGAGGACAAAAGGCTTCAGGAGTTTACCGTGCAGCCATGCCCAGCAGCAGCACCGCAGCTCTCTTGTGTAAGACCGACGTTTCGCGTTTTCCGGTAAATCTCTCCCACAAGACCTGAATCACCGTGGACTGGAGATTGCTGCCGCTGCCAAAGAACTCCTGCACCTACGGAGACATGAATGCACAGTTACACCATTCCTTATAGGCTTCAAGCGTTTACATTCAAAACATCTCCATAGAAAATCCCTTTAGTGCACACTGTGGAACATTTAGATGCTCCCCAGCATTATGCAAAAATGTGCTTTTATAAGGGTGCAGAAATAAAAAAGATTTAAATGATTCATACGCGAGTAATTATTACTCACTATTTCCTCAAGACACTGGATGGTTCCCAGAGATGCATCCACCATCAGTTCAGAGAGGCTGTCGATGAGAGTCTGGGCTTTCATCCTAACAAAAACACCACAAAGACATGGTTCTCACCACGTACTACGTCCTATTTGATTTTCATTTTGGCCCAGATTTTATTCTACATGCTTGCAAAACAATCCAGAAGGCAAACAAAATGTTTACGGGTTTATGTGAAAGGTATAAGAAGTGAAGCCATTAACCAAACCTACTTGTTAAACCCAAGTATGAAGAATGTGAACACAGGGTATCTGCAGGTTTAAGGGAGCCAAATGTAAGACTTTTTAAGGACCCGCGGATACCCTGGAACAGGAACGGAACGGTTTCATCATTAAATAGTGAAAAAGCAGCGGAACAGACCTGATCGTGTCTCCCTGAGGGTTCAGATACAGGCGTCTGTAGGCCTGAACGACGGCGTCTTTAATGGCCGCATCAGTGGACCAGACCAGAGGTAGCATCTTCCTCACGCCGCTAATAGAGTTAGCAACACTGAACTCGCACACAGTCACACAGAACTGCACTGCTTCCTGGACCACTAAGAATAAACAAAAATTAAATCTCAGACTGTGCTACTTCATCTCTAGTACACTGAAATGACAAACGGAGACGTCAGTGGACGAGACCGTCTACCTGAGGTTATTTTCCAGTAGAGCATGTTGTTGATGACAGAAATTGCTCTCTCCACTTGTAAGGCAAAAGTTTCTGTGTCTCTCAAGTACTGCACAAGCATCTCCTGCTTTTTCAGCTCGCCATCCTCCCCCTCTTTCTCTTCCTCCTTCTGAGGGGTAGGTGGCAGATTCTGGCTGAGCTCAGAGGAATCTTCACCGGAGCCTGAGGGGAACACCGTGGATTAATTACTGACAGCGGAACCGCGTCAGCTGGCGCGTTAAAATAAACCCTCCACAACATTTACAAGCTTTCTGTAAATCTCACGCTTTTAGATCAAACTAAATACCAGCAGGAAGGAAGTGATCACTCATGTCAAAATAAAAACTCATTTACTTTTATGATCCATAACATTACGGCCACCTGGGAAGTCTAGAATGGAAACATTAGCAGAAAGGTTTTTGGGGTCATTGTGGAAGGGTTTCGGACTGAAAGTGGAGTTGGGATGGGGTGAACTCAGACTGTAGGGAGGTACTGCTCTGTGGTGCAGCATGGCAAACGTCAAGGCAACGCCCATAAGGAGAGTACGTCAACTCTTACCCGAGTCGAACTCCACACACACTGGTTTAAAAAAACGCTCCAAAAGGAGGCGTCGCCTGGCGGAGAGAGCGGTGCTGAGTTGCTAAATTTGGGGGGGCTTGCTCTTTAAAGAAACTTTACGGAGTTTTGAATTTTTATGCTCGTGATTGCCCCCTCAGGCCAAAAGCGTAATGGCAGCTTCAATGGTAGGCTCGTGCACGAGGCGCGCATGCTGTACGTGCACACTCCTTAACGAAAATAACAGCTGAGACAGTCCCTTGTGTGTGATGGTGTGTGTGTGTGTGTGTGTGTGTGGCCCAGAGGACAGGAGAACGTGCAGCTAATTAATTAAATAATTTGGTTCTGTACCTTTCTCTTCAGCACAGCCGACAAAGGTTTAAGATGGGTCAGTCCTCCTGCATGCTAAGATCGTTCCCTTCCCTTGCTTGAAAAATTGTTCCAAAATGAAAGTTGAACCCACATCTTTTTTATCTGTGAATTCAATGCCGTTCGGCGAGTCTCAAATAAAAATTTGGGCATCTTACTGTAAAAAAATATACACCATTAATGTAAAAAGGAAACTTAAATGAACTATGTTCACAACCAGAATCAAACCCAGGTCTTCTGCATGAGAGTCAGACATCTTACAAGGTGAGCTACACTCTAGTAGCATTCAAGGTATCTGTAACTTTTATACCCTTGATGACACCTGAAATGTCAAACCAAAGAACGATTTGGAGCGAAAATGGCTATTTTGTTGCTAATTTGCAGGAAATATCTAGAAGAAAGTAACTAAGGGTCCTCAGAAATGTAGCTAGGTTCATCACTAGGCGTTAGGAACAGCGACAAAGTGGCACTGCCTCTCTCTCTGCTGCTAAAGCTACGGATAGCAAATGCTACGGGCGATGCCTGAGCGTGAACGTGCAAGAAGCAGCCTGCTCGACCCGAGCATCTCTCTTTTTCTGTGATTTTACAGAAAAACAGGCAATCACAGTAAAAATGCCAGGGCTCATTCTACAGGACCAGGGCATTGCAGGAGAATGTATGAAGAAGACATTTATTATTTCTATACATGTTTTGGCTGTCAAACTTCCATAATGCCCCTTTAAATAAGACGAGCACTGATTTATTTCTGCCTGTCGGCCATAATGTTATAATTTATGGGAGCAATTTAAACAAGATTAATTGAACTGACATCTCATCGAGACAAAAACATGCATGAATTAAACTGCTTGCTTGTTTCCGCGGTTACGACTGAACAGTTAGGCACAGTGCTGGTGGACATCTGCGCCGTCTGACTAGATTAGTTTAACCACATCTGTAATTCACTTCATTAAAAAGACAAATATTATAGAAATGTCAACGTAAAAACATTTCATCAACCAAAGCGACCAGGATTACGTTTATTTGGCTAATTTTGCTTCCTCTGAGAACTCCAAGAGATCCATGTTTTACCTTTAAAAATTAACGCCATTGCATCCATCAGATTGTCAGGGGTGAGTGTAGACAAGGAGGCAAACATCTCAGATTCAGGAAAGCTACTGTGAGCTCGTATACACAGCTGAACAGCTTTCCTACAGAAAGATGGAGGTGCACAGATAATCACGTCAAATGTGTGAACGTGTGATGCTGGATAACTTTAATAACCCTGATGGGTCTGTTTTCACTCAGGTCTCCACAGGTGATTAGCATTACCTGTATTTGTTGACACGAAGGAACTGAGCTATCCTCAGTGCAGCTGCTCTGTCGTCTTCTGCTGGCTTTTCTTCCTCCGGATCCCCGTCTTCCTCGTCCTCTCGCTCCTCTCTCTCCGTTTCACTCGTGGGCTCCAGAGCTGTCCTGGCTGTTTCAAGGAGCTCAGGCTCCATGGCAGCCCACAGCTCAGACGCTTTGATCACTGCCACTGCAGGAAGAAAACGGAAAATATATATTCCAATACTGTGACAGCTACTCATGCTAAAGCTGCAAAGAAAATGTCAAACAATTCATTGACCAATTAAAATAGCAACAGGAGGCATGTGCCTTCACCCCCTAATTAATGACAAAGTGACATTTTTAAAGCGGACATGAACAAAATAGAAAAGACTTTATTTCCCCCCATTTCTGATCAAAAAACATCTCAACTAATTAATTGGACCGGGATGCTGAATTTAGATGTGAATCAGAATTGGAAAAAAAATATTTCATAGCATATCAGCAAGAGCAAATTGGACACACACACACACACACACACACACACACACACACACACACACACACACACACACACACACACACACACACACACACACACACACACACACACACACACACACACACACACACACACACACACACACACACACACACACACACACACACACACACACACACACACACACACACACACACACACACACACACACACACACACACACACACACACACACACACACACACACACACACACACACACACACACACCCCTTTCTACCATAGTGAGGACCCTCCATTGACTTCCATTCATTTTTGTGATTTCACCATGCCTAACCCTAACCCCAACGCTGATCTAGTCCTAACCCTAACCTTAAAGAAAACTTGGCTGCATGGTGGCACAGTGGTTAGCACTGTTGCCTCACAGCACGAAGGTTGCAGGTTCGAAACTCAGCTGCGGCCTTTCTGCGTGGAGTTGCGTGTTCTCCCCATGCATGCGTGGGTTTCCTCCGGGTGCTCCGGTTTCCCCCACAGATCACAACATGCCCTATAGGTTATAAATTGTAAGTCGCTTTGGATAAAAGCATCTTCCAAATAAATAAACATAAAACTTAATTCACATAATACCTCTAACTGGTAAAGTGAGCTTCTGGTACGCTTCTAAATAAAAGTGAGGAACAAAAAAATGTCCTCACTTTGTAGGAAAAATGGTCAAAATGGTCCTCAGTATGTACCACACACACACACACACACACACACACACACACACACACACACACACACACACACACACACACACACACACACACACACACACACACACACACACGGTATCTGCAGGTTTAAGGGAGCCAAATTTAAGACTTTGAAGACTTTTTTAAGGCCACTTTGACAAAATTGAAGCAATTTTTTTAAATTAAATTTAAGCTATAATTTCCAGCTATCGCCTGGAACCGGTGCAAACCACGTCGTGAACGTGGGATTAGCCATCCAGTCACCATTAAAATTGCACTTCCCCATGGCACAAGCTCCCTCTAGTTTAACCAGCTAATGTGCCCATCTAAAAATAGCCCCCTTTCACAACCAACTGAATGTGCACGGTTCCGCTTACGCCAACATCATACACAAAAATGCTGAACACCAACTAGAAATTCATGAACATTTTATAGAAATAAAAGAATCTTTTTTATTGGGTATTTGGTAATTTAAGACCATAAGAAACTGTATTTAAGGATTATTTGTAATTTTTAAGGATTTTTAAGGCCTTAAATATGGAAAATCAAATTTAACACTTTTTAAGACTTTAAGGACCCGCGGACACCCTGTTCTCCACTCTGACTCTAATGAATAATCTGGGTTGAGCCCGGTCGCCGTCAGCAGCCCTTACAGCAGAGCAGAAATCCATCTCTGCACCGCTGAGATTACCTGCCAGCCAAAGCCCAAAGAGCCCAGCTCTCCTTTAGCGAGCTCGTATTCACCTTTCTCTCATCACAGGGAAAAACCTAGTCAGAATGAATGAAGTAATCTGATTACCAGGAGCTTCCCCTGCCAGTTTCTCCCTCATCTCTTTGAGTTTAGTCGTCTCCTTCTCCAAAGGCGCCTTCAGATCGGCGCTGCTCAGCTAAAACAAACAGGATCAAGGTTAGTTTTAATAAAGTTTATTTTCCACCGGCGAACTTGTGCTTGTGAACGTTACCTTGCAGCTGTATGGATTGTGTGCGATGAATGCCGCCAACAGCTGGATGGCACTCTTCACTGCGTTGATGGATTTGTCCATCAGCCGCCCCACGGCGAGCTCCATCACCTCGCTGTACTTACACAGCGGCAGCGCCTGGACGCAGAAACTTTGTTATTACCGTTGTGATTCAAAAACACACCAATCACATCTTAGATTTAAAAAAACAACCTACTTTACTGTTAACGATGCGCGTGTAGACCTGCAGCACACGTGCTCTGACATGAGAGTGTGTGTCGTGCAGATGTTCCTGCAGGATGTCAAAGAAGCGGTCACGGTCAGCTTTGCCGGACTCGTCTAAGCTGTCGCCACACAGAACTCGCACGAGGATCTCGCCCAGCACCTCGCAGACGGCCACACGCATCGTGTGACTCTGGAAATAATTCAGCAGCCATGAGTTTGTGAAGGTAAACATCGAAAATGGCTTTAGAAAAAGATTCTGCCCTCAGATTACCAAAGAAGAAACTCATCGTTCACGGAACAGCAAAGAGGGATGGGTGAACTTTTTGCCTTTTGCAAACACACACACACACACGCACGCAAACACACTGTCAGCATCACCCCAAGAAATGACTCCTCTAAGACTGTAGAGGAATAATTTGGGTTGAGCCAAGTTGCTGTCGGCAGGCCCTTACAGCAGAGCAGAAATCCTCCTCTGCACTACCAAGATTACCCGCCAGTCAAAGCAAAAAAGACCCAGCTCTCGTTCCGTGAGCTCGTATTCGCCTTGGTCTCATCACCGGGCAAACGGCAAAGGAAACATCAAAAACAAACAACGCTTTCTCAAAGCGGAGCACAGGAGACGCTTGAAAAGCTAATATTTTAGCTTGTAGTCTGTAATGAATGAAATTAAACTAGAACCACTTTTTATCCATATGTGTCTAGGGATGGGTACCTTTGACATTTGAATCGATCCGGTACCTAGGAATTGATACCGGTACTTAACAGTACCAATTTTCGATACTTTTGAGTGTTTAATATTTTAATTCTCTTTTATAATTAAATATATATTTTTCTCAATATATAACCATATTTGATAAATATCACGATAAATAACATTCAACTGTTTGTATTTTAACATCGTCCTTGTAGTTTTATAAGCTGATAATTAAACTGAAGCAAACATCTTTACTGTGAACTAAATTTACTGTGTATCTTCATTCCTTTTGCCGTCTTTTTTCATTTGATTTTTCCTACTGGGAAGTTAGAATTTCCGAGGAGAAAGCGAACGCACCATTAGCCGATAACAATGGTGGCAATGGAAGCTGACATATCAAGCTACGTTACCTTAAACAGTTTATTTAGCTGCTGGAGCAGATTAAAACGATGATGCCTCACACTTAGATCGTTGTCGCTGGCTTCATCTTCACCCAATCACCCGTCGCATTTAGTAAAGTGAAGCCAAACTTTAGAGCGCGTTCATGTTCTTCTAGTCGGAAATTCGGAGTTCCGAGGAGAAAGCGAACGCACCATTAGCAGAATGGAAGCTAACAAATCAAGCTAACGTTATCTTAAACATTTTATTTACCTACCGGAGCAGATTAAGATGAGGATGTCTCACTTAGATCGTTGTCGCTGGTTTCATCATCACCCAGTTACCCATCACATTTAGTGAAGTGGACCCAAGCTTTAGCGTGCGTTCTTTCTACCATGCTGCTCTGTTTACAACTCGCTCGCTGGGACCGACGGCATAATGCTCTTGCGCATGCGCAGCTGTCTAGGCAAGTTCTCGTTATGAAGGACGGGTACCGAAACGAGGCACCGTTTCAAATGAAGTGAATCGGTGCTCGGTCAGTACTGTGGAATTCGGTCGGTACCTTAAAAAGTACCGAATTCAGTACCCATCCCTATATGTGAATACATTTTTCAGGACACACACCTCTCCTTCCAGGTGAGTGATGAGGACGCTGATGTTTGGGATCATTAATTCAGGTACCAGGGCACTGAGTTCTGACAGGAAGGAGGAGAAGGATCTCACGCCAGAACCCTCTCTGGCAAGCTCCTCGCTTGACCTCTGACCTATTTCCCTGTGAGGCACAGGGAGGAAGAGAACTCTGGTTGTCTAAAATGCATTTAAACAAAATCAATCAGTTTCATTTTATAAATCACAAACTAAATAAGCACCGACCTGATGACTTCTCCCACGATGGATCGGACTCCATACTCCGTGCTCCACACAAACACAGCTTGAGCAAACACGGACGACAACTGCTCGAAGTGCTGCAGCAACTGGATCACTTTCACACTGGCACCTGCAACAGTGTAGAGAACGCAGCTTCAGACCAGATGCTAACGCCGCGTCTGTTCAGAGCTCCGTACGAGCGCTCCACTAACCTAGGAGGTGATTGTACTTCTTGATCGACAGCCCCAGCAGGTGAATTATACCATCTCTTGTGGGTTTGCTTTTGACGTGCCCAATAGTTGGGTTCTCCAACAGCTTGTAGCAGCAACAGGTGACACAGCTACGAGGAAATTAAAATTCAAGTTTGTACGATTTTACAATCAGTGGGCGAGTTTCCATTGTCGGAGCTTCAGGGTGAATTCTGCGAGGGGTCGATTGACCGGGACATAAGGTGGATTGGTCTTCTCAGCTGCTGTGTCTCCATACAAACCCGGCACTTTCTGGACTTTCCACAGATGTCAGCATATCACAACCGCTTCCACAGAGGATGATGTCAGTGATCAGCACCAAAAACCAACCACAGTGAGATTAAAAGGTTTATTCTGTCAAAGTCCAGCATAATTTTATTTATCCAGAGGACGAGAGCAGCTGTGTGATGTTAACTGTGGCGTTCAATGACCAGAAGTAGCTTCGTTTTTTACAGGACTCCACTGTGTTTTTGTTGGGAGTTCAGTAACAACCATTTTTTACCAGCGCAATCGGTGCTCTTCTTCTTGTGCCTCCATTCTGCTTCACAAGCAACTCTTCTAATTTTACCAGTGCCAGTTGTTTTGGATGGCATCTGCTGATGTCACTTCCTACTGAGGTCCAATCAGTTAGCGCGAGTTAACCAAACATTCTGATCAGCCACTCCACCGGGTCATTTCACATATCTATCCCTGATCAGGTAGGAAAGTTCCTGAAAACGACCCGTTCGGTCGGCCCTGAAGTGGAGAAGAGCACATTCCAGCAAGTTCCAGTAAAATTACCCTGAAGTGCCAACAGTGGAAACACGCCTATATGAAGCATCGACAGCCGAGTACCTGATGAACTCCTCCTCCACCAGAGAGAGGCTCCAGAGCAAACGGATATCCAGCTGAAGGAGCTGAATGAGCGCCTGAAGTACCTTCTCTCTCTCCGAGTCCCACTGCAGCAGTCCCTCGGCACCACATTTGCCCTTTTTACTACCCTGGACCAAACAAACATTCCATTTAAGGAATCAGTTTTCAAAAAATATAACATGGAAAAAATAATAACTATCAAAAATAATGATTATTAGAGGTGCTGAAAAAAAAAATCGATTCAAGTCTGAATCGGGATTCTTATTTATAAAGATTCAGAATCGATTCCAGGAACTGAAATATTTGGCATGTTACAGGTTTGAGATGCACTTTTGTATGTTTTTTTGATCTTTGTTAGGAGAGTTAGTACTCCGTTTACTTTTTGATTTATTCTTGAATCTGCTGATAAATTGGGACTAGAATGTAATTTTTTCCATACTCAGAAATTTGAGATATTCTCATATTTATTTTCTAAGTTGCTAAGTGAGTACTCAGGATTACTCATGTATTTATTTGAAGTTATTGATAAATGAGAGAAAACATTTTCCTTTGCAAGAAATCTGAGACACTTTTCTAAATAGGTTGAGGACTCAAATGTTAAACTTGTTTCTACACATACTTGAAAAGTATTTGACCGTATTACTTTCAAAGTTACTGTTGGGTAACTAAAGAGTTGTTATATTTGTAAATTAGCTTTTTTTTAGCATGACCAGTTTAAAGTAAAATAAAAAATTCCCATAGCTTTAACTAACTTGCACAACAAAGTAGTTAATCCTGGAGCTGACACTCTTTGTTAATATTGACTGTGAATCGATTTAAATAGAGAATAGATTCTGAATCGAATCGGCACCCCGAGAATCGGAATCGAATTAAATCGTGAGTTGCTCTGAGATTCACATCCCTAATGATTATATTATTTCAAATTTCTAAATGTGTCCTCAGATTACCAAAGATGGTTATTCATACCAACCAAACCAACTACGTAGAGACGATAGCCTTTTGCCAGCTGACACAATCACACAAAACACAGAATCCACCCACACACTGTCTGACATCTATTACTATCCCACCCAATTTCTGTTGGGAGGACAGGCTGCAGAAGGTGACAGTTTGACTATAGGTGAGCCCTTACAGCAGAGTAATAACGCTTCATCACGCTGCCAAGACTACCCACCTCACAGCAGACTGAGGCCCTGTCCACACGTAGCCGGGGATCTGCCAAAACGTAGAAATTTTTCTACGTTTTGGCCTGTCATCCACACGAAAACGGAGTTTTTTTCACACGAAAACGGATCTTTTTAAAAACTCCGGCCAAAGTGAAGATCTGCGTTTTCTCCGTTTTGGGTGTCTGCGTGCGGACAGACACAACCGGAGTTTTAAGGTCCACAACGTCACTTTCCGCGACAAAAAATGCTGACATCACGTGTGCGACCTGTGTTTACACTAGCCGACAGCATGGATGCCCTCAGAGCTGCGCTCACTTTATCAATTGTCCAAGCGCTTTTTGCTTGTTTGTTTTTGCAAGCGGAATTACTGCTCCTTGCGGAAGACCACAGACGAAGGACGAGGTTAAGAACGGGGGAAGTACTGCCGCCTACAGGTCTGGCATGTCCTTAACAACGTATTTATCCGGGTATGTGTGGACAGAGTTGTTTTTAAAATGAGGTGGTGTGGATGCAAGTTTTTGGAGGGGCGGATATTCGTTTTTAAAAAAAAAACCGGCTACGTGTGGACTAGGCCTAAGAGCCACAGCCTCTTGGTCTGGTTGGATCATACATCTTGCCATAATCTCATCATGGGACGTGCATAAATGGATTTTAATTTATAATAAAGGGGGAAAAAAGCCTTTGGAGAGCTAATGATAATAATTGTCATACCTTTCCAGAAGCTGTGACAATATCCTGCCTATAAGAGACACTTTCAAGGTTTTCGGTGAGTTTGCAGAGCAGGAAGACGCTCATTTTAACGGCATTGAGGTTTTCTTTGCGTTCTGTGGCTGAGAGGGAGACAGAGCTGAGGAGTGTCGGCAGGGACACAGCCAGGCCATTAACCACTAGGGGAAAAAACAAAAAACAAAGCAATAGCTAAATATCAACATGTAAATATAGTAAAAACAAAAAAAGGCCTTGACTTGTGCATCTGAGGAGTCTGAAATTTTAATTTAAAATAGTCTCAAGCAACATTTCTTTAGTCTTAACTTTTATTTAAACATGAATTGGTTACTTTTTCAAACAAGTACCCAACTTTTTACAGAGAAACCTTCATTTTGATCACCAAACCTAGGAATGTTCAGGCACAAGGAGGACAGCCATTTCTTCTCTTTTCAGCCAATTCAAAACTGAGCCATTCAAGGCACTTTGCTATCGACGTTCTTTAATAATGACAATTTATTCACATTTATTTGGCTGCATTTATGAAACGTTCAGAGCTAATAGGACCAGTGCAAATAATAAGAATAATAATAAAATCACTATATTGTATATTTTTGCATTTTTAGTTTAAAAATGAATCGTGTTTTTGTGACCCAGGTGAATTTTTAACTTGATTTTGGCCATAATCTTCAAAGGTTGGGACACCCCTGATCTAAAGGGAAATGCATCTTAAGTGGGCAGAAAATTTGTGCAAAGCAACTCTCAGAAAGCCTTAGGAACTGTTGATCAAAACAACTTTACAGAATTAAAAGAAAACTATAAATTTGCTAAATCTGTTTTAACATAAAAGCACAAAGAAATAAGTAATGATGTACTTCTGTGTGCTGCATATGTTAAAAATGAAATCTTACCTTGCACAAGTAACTCCAGGGTGTCCTCTTTCACCCCCAGCTCCAATGCGTTGAAATGCCTGTGAAGTTAGACAGTAACTTTGTGAAAATATAACTAAAACATAAATAAACCTTGTACGTCTAACAACTTACTGTAGCAAGCTGTAGCCTGTGTCAAAATGTTCTAGTATGCATAATGGTCCATGGCTTCTCAGTGTAGACTTGAATTCTGATGAAGACATGAGAAAATCCAGTCAAACTGTAAAATAAAGTATTTGTGAATTTGAAATCGGATCTGAAGATCTGCCTTACTGCTCAGCTGGGACGGCAGTTGTTTTGGAGATGCCACATCTTGAACCACATACTGGTTGATGCCCCCAGTCTTCACCAGGTCCCCCACACACACAGGCACGATGAAGTCCCACGACATTTCTGTGGAAGCAAAAGCCGGGGTGGCATAACCATAAACACCTGAATTAGCTTTAGCATGGACGTGACAACACTCGAAACGTGGCGCTCAATTACGTAGTTTAGCTCGTAAATATGTTCGAGGAAGCGTCTCAAAATCCATCTAGATAAATGCTTTCACCTAACCATATAACTATTGACATTATATATAACTAGCATCAGTATAAACTACAGTAAAACAACGTTGTTGTGGCTCAAGAAGAGTTAGCATGCTAACAAACAAAGCTAGCAAAACTATTGACCAAACTTGTCGGCCGTTACATTCTTTTCACCGGTCACCGCAGCAGAAAAACAGGTTGATCACATTTCCTACTCGTTGAAAATATAACATTGGGTGTAAATGATTCACTCCCGTTCAGAGCAGCTTAAAGTGAATAATAAACGTTACGTTACCCCTTCCCCGTGTCCAAACGGCTCAAGGCTTCAGCTTTTCAAATTTAAGACATCGCGCCAAAGATGACGCAATGACGCAAATCACGTGGTTTAAAAAAAGACCAGTGTGTCTCAATACTACCACCTGCTGGAAAAACATGAACATTACAGGACAAGCAGGGTGCTTGCTCTTTTTCCAAAATAAAAATCCAGAAGTTTTCCAGACTTTTCCAAAACAGATTTTTGAAACACCCTCCTTGTGGGACGTAAAACCCTAGAAGGTGCTGCAAACAGAGGCATTTTTACATTTTAACCATAAATTATTATGAGTGAACTGTGAACGTACACTTTGTATTATATAGGGTTTTATGCAAGGTTGTATTGTTAAATTCTAGCGGAGATATCTGGGGTCACGTGTCTTGACAGTTGCTATTTTGTGTGTCTGAATTGGAAAGTTTGAGAACCACTGCTGTGACCACGTGATCACAGCTTGTTCTGGTTGGCCAGTTTCAAGGTCTTGTCAAGGGAATGGGTCTTCCAAAATAAATCCCTCTCCGTCTAACACACACACACACACACACACACACACACACACACACAGGGAGCAGACAGACAGGACACACGGTTGGGTGAGCAAACAGATCTGAGAGATTGCAAACGAGATGATGATGATGATGATGATGATGGTGGTGGTGGTGGTGGTGGTGGTGGTGAAGTACCCCCTCATTCTGTCCACCTCCATGTTGATTTTCTCTTCTCTGACAGTTTTGGCACAAGAAAACAGTAAGCTTGCTGCATTCATTGAAAAATAATTATATCAATTTAGTTTTACTGCATTTATTGACAATCAGACAAAATACTTTCAGTCTTTGTTAATTAGAATGAAAAAAATCTGCACAAATAAATGTTATTTAGGAAAAAGTCTAATTTACTTTGCATTTAAAGTAAACATTTTTAATCAAATACATTTTGGAGTGCTTTTTTAAACCTAATTTATCATCTTTTAAGAATCTTTGGGTCCAGATCACTGCTGCTTTCATTTCTACTCCAAACCACAGAGAGGTTCCACCGTGGTGAGCATCAGATGGACAGACAGTTTGTGTCCAAGGCTGGGTGTCCTGTAAGTGGATCCAAAAGTCAACTCAGTGCTTTTGTTAAGTTGAATTATGAATTTTGTAAAATATAAGAACCTGTTTTAACAATCTCACACTCAAATCTTTCGACATTTAAGAAAAGCCAAAGTAAGAGCAGTAAAACAAAGTAAAACTACTCATTCGATCAGTTACTAATTAAAATAAAATTTTAGAAAATCATTGTAACTTTTTTTTTTCAGATTTATGATGAAGAGAGGTCACCAGTTATGTGTCGACCCGTCCCATCAGTGGGTGCAGGACCACATACTGGTTGATGTCGGGAGAAGGGGCTTCCGGATGCCCCTCTGGGACAGAGCCAGCTGGGTATATCACGGACTCCTGGAAACATTGGAACTTGATCTGCCTCTCTCAACTGTCAGTAGAGGATTCTGAAGATGTTTGGATATTCGTCGTTTTGGTGTTGGGATTCCTGCTGTTTGGCCTGAGCAGTTACCTGGCATACCGGAAAATTAACGAGCTTTCGAGGAATATTGGCTCAATCCCGGAGCTCAGGGATGGAATGCACCGTGCTGTGAACGCACAAACTCATATAATTGACGAGATGAGTTGTGAGCTTGGAACTTTGGCTGAGATTCACGCTCTGGCACAGAAGGTTGATTCGATCAAGGAGAGAGTGGACGGATCAGCACGGATTGGGATAATTTGATAACACCATTATTGGACCTGGAGGGGTTGAAGACCAACAGAACTCTAAGGCAGAGAGGAAATGATCTCTGTCTGTCCCCAAAACAATTCTTATCTGAATCTGGTGCCCTTGGAGCCTGTGAGGCTGAAGTGAAAACTCTCCTCAGAAGAAATGTGGAATGCTGCTGTCGCTATGGAAACTCTTTCTCCCTATCCCAGCCTGGGCGGGACTGTGACCGGTGAAGGCCGTGGAACCGTCTCTTGGAGTCAATGTGCCCTCTAACGCAATAATATCCCTCCCCTGCCCAAACGGAGGTGGCGAGCGCTACTCTGCGGCTGCACGCACTGAAGTGAGTAGAGTCCCAGAACCCTCCATCCCCACCTAGTGGACACTTATGTTGTGTATCGTCTGAAGTCTGTGCAAATCTGTCTGAGGTGTGTTTTTTTTGCATCGCAAAGCTGCCCTCTCTGTCGGGGGTAACTCTGAAGTGCCTTTTTTTTTTACCTCCCCCTGACTGGTAGCGCGGCTCGTGTTGCAAATGACCACAGCCACCAATTCTGGTCATGTGTCTCTGTATGTATGTCTTGGAATTGTCTGTACTGAAACAATTGAATTTCCCTCTGGGATTAATAGTTTTTGAATTTGAATTGAATCATAGAGACCAAGTCAAACTGAGAAGGAAGAGGTGACTTTGTGTGAAAATGTGATACTTGTCACACACACACACACACACACACACACATTATATATATATGGGGTGGGACTTGATTAAACATAATCTTATTAATTATAGTCTTTGTAATTTATTAATCTTGATTAATCACACTTTAATCTTTCAAAACAATTTTTACCCAAGCAATTTTTAAAAATCAAAAATAATGTCAGTGAGGCACGGGTGACATACTCACACTATTTGATTGCTCTGGTCTCATTATAAAGGAAACCAAAGAAGTGTATTTTTAATGCCCTATTTTTGTCTAATGAATTAATCGTAACTAATGCGTTAAATTTCCACCGCTAATAACGGAGAAATTCAGTTTTAAAATGGCATTTGCATAATTTGATTGTAATAAAGTAATGTAAACAAAGCACAATGGTGCTGTTGCGTAGGAGTTGGACATATATGGATGTATAAGTATAAATTGTTTTTCTTTTGTTTGCTGTTTGCTGTAATTCAGCGTGTTAAATAAATGCGTCACTCATAGTAAAGCTGAGGCATAAACATTGGGTGTGACAGAAATTATTTTATCATACTTTGTGACCCTTTTCTCCTTGGCTAAGTGTTGAAGGCATGGATTTTATTTTGGTGACACTTTTTAAAAGATAAGTTATAATAGGTTTAGTGTAGGGTGGCCGGCCGGGCTCAGCCTTAGAGATAGGGTGAGGAGCTCGGACATTCGGGAGGGACTCGGAGTAGAACCGCTGCTCCTCCGGATCGAAAGGAGTCAGTTGAGGTGGTTTGGGCATCTGGTCAGGATGCCTCCCTGGGGAGTTGTTTCGGGCATGTCCTGCCAGCAGGAGGCCCCTGGGTCGACCCAGGACACGTTGGAGAGGTTACATCTCCAGTCTGGTCCGGGAACGCCTTGGGGTCCTGCCGGAGGAGCTGGTGGAGGTGGCAAATTTCTAAAATACGGATGGACGGACGCACGCACACACACACACACACACGAGCATTAGCAACTTCACTTGCTTTGCAAACTTGGAACCTGCAGGTGGACATAAATGGCGTCTGTTCACCTGGTTGTGACTGGACTTTGAACATCTGCACCCACTGTACTTTTACTGGAATAGCCAGGATGACAGTTGTTTGCTGTGGACGCATCAGGACAGCCCTTCTCTTCTGCACCTACACCAGTCCAGGTAAACACTCTCCTCTAACCCTGGCGGAGGTCTGTGAGACAAAGAGATCCTCTGAGATGAGCCATTTCTGAGATAGGTAAGAAGATCCGCCATCAGGGAGGGGTTTGGAGAAGATCTGCTGCTCCTGCACATCGAGAGGAGCCAGTTGAGGTGGCTTGGACATCTGGTGATGCTTCCCTGGTATATCCAAACAGGAGGGGACCAAAGGAAGACCCAGGGAACGCCTTGGGATTCCCTCGGCGGAGCTGTCCCAAGTGGCCGGGGAGATGGAATTCTGCTCATGATGTGACTACGCCTGAACTATTCCATATAAAACAGGAAAATAAAGCTTTTCTTTTAATGAACAAGTCCCTTTCTTCAGGTGAAGAGTGCAAATTGAGCTTGTGCAAGTTAAGTGAAGTTTACATAGTGCTCAAAGCTTGGTACGCAACCTATGTTCATTCGGAAAGTTAAACAGCGCCTCCTAGAGTCAAAGAATCTTACGAGCGAAGAAAATGGTGTGAAATCGGCGGTTTAATTTACAAATTAAGAACTACCCAAACTATTTTATTTCACATTACGTTTTAAAGACTTGCACACAAATTCAAGACTTTTCAAGGTCAGGAAATTATTGTCTCAAAATTCCAAGACTTGTGCAAGCGCCCTGGACAAAGTGAAAGCCACTTCAGCACAGAGGCTTCACTGATGACTTACGTTACAAGAAAAACATGAGACTGATGACTACACAGGTTGTTTTTGAGCTAGTGGCTGCATTGAAATGACTGACAACCCAATCATTCCCACATCCTGGAGCTGCAGAAATTAGCATACTTTTCACAAAATACCTCAACTTTTGGAACAGATGAATAATTTGTCTTCATAACTGCTCTTTTATCACACTTAGTGTCCTACGTCCAAACTATGATAAACATAAATGATAGGGTCTAAATCTGAGACCATGGTCTTGATTCGGAGAAAGGTAGAAAGCCTTCTCCAGGTGAGGGATGAGATTCTGCCCCAAGAGGAGGAGTTTAAGTATCACGAGGTCTTGTTCACAAGTGAGACCGATAGGCGGATTGGTGCTGCATCTGCAGTGATGCGGGTGTTGTACCGGTCTGTCGTGGTGAAGAGAGAGCTGAGCCAGAAGGCGAAGCTCTCGATTTACCGGTCGATCTACGTTCCTACCCTCACCCATGGTCATGAGCTGTGGGTAGTGACTTAAAGAACGAGATCGCGGATACAAGCGGCCAAAATGAGTTTTCTCTGAGAGCAGCTGGGCTCTCCCTTAGAGATAGGGCGAGAAGCTCACTCATCTGGAAGGGGCTCGGAGTAGATTCGCTGCTCCTCCACATCGAGAGGAGCCAGTTGAGGTGGCTCGGGCATCTGGTCAGGATGCCTCCTGGACACCTCCCTGGTGAGGTTCTCCGGGCACGTCCAACCAGGAGGAGACCAAAAGGAAGACCCAGGGCACGGTGGAGGGACTATGCCCCTGGGATACTTTTGAAAAACGCCAGAAGCTGTCAGAGCGAATCTGGCCAGGGAACGTCTTGGGATTTCCCCGGAGGAGCTGGCCCAAGAGGCTGGGGAGAGGGAAGTCTGGGCCTCTCGCCTTAGGCTACTGCCCCCGCGACCCGACTCCGGATAAGCGGATGAAAATGGACGGACGGATAGGGCTTGCTTTTTAGTGAGAATACATTTGAATAGTTTATTATAGAAGATACGTCTGATAATCCAGAGAGAGCTGTTGTAGTGTTTATTATAATTCATGTGAGAAAATGTACAAAATAAGTCACAATAAAAGCACCAGTTGTAACTTAAAAACCCTAAATGACTTTAAAGAACAAACTTCAAATACACTTGTAACCATCTGGCTCTGTCCCACACCGTTTCAGACCAAGATAAGGATGTAAACCAAAGAATAAAGCACCAAATGTAAAGATAAAAAAAATTATCTACTAATAGGTGATGAAATGTTCTGCTCCATGTTTTGTTCCAGAGTAACACGTGTTTCACTTTCTCTTCCTGTCCTGAGAGCACCGTGGGCAGTACCTTTATTTATAAAAAGACAAAAAAAAAAGATACTTTAGGTATTTAATTCACAAATGTAATAAACACACCAATGAAATACACGTAGCTGCTCTTCAACTTTGGGACTTCCTCACCATTTGCCTCGTGGTTTGGTTGTCAGGCCAACGCAGGCGAAGTGGAACCATTCAATAGAGCACTGGGGAAACACAAGCACGCATGAAAACTGCTGCTGCAGACAAACGACTCGATCATGTTTTCAATCTCAAACGCTCAAATTACTTTGAGGCAGCATCAATAAAATGCATATTAGAGGATGTAAACACACTGTAATTATTCTATATAACAACAATAAAATAAGCATTTAATAATTGTGCCATCATAAGGAGCTTCCATAAGACACGCCGTGACGTAATACTGCCGCCACGGCGTGTCTAATGAAAATGCCGTGGCAGCATGGCGATGCGAGACTTTAGCGGGACTCGTGCTGCCAAGCTTGGTAGTAATATGACTGCAATGCTGGACGTGAATGAAGATTACGGCTTGGCTCAAAAGAGGGCGGTGTCATGCAAGTGGTGCTCGCTGCAGAACCACAAAGGCGGAGCTGCACCCCGCCCATTCCAGAGTCAGTCCAATTTCTTCCAGTTGTCAGACTTGATAGCATTCTGGAACCAAAGAGGGTGTTGTAGTAATATCATCTAAAATGCAAGAATGAGGACGGAGTTGAGAGGTTAAATGAACAGGTTTTGTAGAGGTTTCATGTAATTAAAAATCTAACTTTTGGAACTTTTTACCATGTTATATTGTCATTTCCTCATAAGAAACACGTCAAAACCATTTTTGGCCTCAGTCACACATTTTCCTCCCATCTCAGCTTCAATTTGGTCCTCTCCCCCGAAGCGGGTCTGATCTTGGTTTTCAAATCTGGAAATTCTGTGAATTTTCTGACAAATTATTTCTGAAATGACTTCTACTGAGACACCGCCGAGAATCCATACATCCCATCTACAAAAAAACAAACAAAAAAAAACACTGGATGGCACAATAACATGTGACGCCACCAGCTTGTTATCAGATGCAGTGGTGAAGTGGTTATGGAGTCAGCTTGGCATGTAGTTTTGCGCAGGTTCGCCTCCCGGTAGCGGCGCAAACATTTTTCTTCCTTTCTAGCTACACTTGCCAGTACTATGTTTTTAACCATTTATTGGTATTCCGTTTAAAATATAATGACTAATGAGTTTTTTTTTTTTATTTATTCGTTTATTTAGCCGGTGTGAGTCCATTTGTGAGCAGAGTTTCAACTAAAACGCTGTTTAGGAACGACCACATTCAAAGAACTTTTAGAGACATAAATATTTGGCAGAAAATAAGCATTACAACTAAAATATAAACAAATTAAATGTTTCAGCTGGCTAAATAGATTGCTGCCGACCCCACCGAGAGTCGAACCAGCATCAGCAGAGGGGGAAGCAAAACTTAAACTTGACTATCTTGCCACTGGACTACCAGAACCCATTCAATAGCCTTAAAGGCTGTTGTAGCCCGGTTCTGTTGGAGCGGCTGTGGGCAGATATTTACTGGAAGAAACTTTTTCGTTTTGGGATATATGCAAGTTATATTTATCTTGCTTAATTGGAGCACAGAACATAGCATTAACATTTGTAAACTAGTAACAGCTGTAATTCTTGTGGGTCAGGTTAGTTTGCGATAAAATTAAATATAAAAAAAAAAAACAGAAGAAGTCAGTGGGCTAGGCTGTTTGCGTGAGTGGGCGGGGCTGACTCTGGTGCAGCTCCACCTTTGTGGTTCTACAGCGAGCACCCTCTCGTGCCATGACGTGTGGAACTCAGCCTAGTGTTTAAGCTTGGTTTATGCTTGACGCGTCCGCGAGGTCCGCACGGCTCCACTCGGCAAAATTGTGTCATTTTAACAACCACGCCCCTCCGCACGGCCCAAACATTCCGTACCGCGCACCTAGGAAATTTTCCAACCACGCGGACGGTCGGACGCGGAAAAACATGGCGGACCGGCAAGAACTAGTATGGCAGAGGTTCGTAAATACAGACATTTGTATGATTCAGCTCTCAAAGATCACCGTGATCAACATGTTGTTAATAATTCTTGGAGAGAAATAGCTCGCACTGTCGCAAAAGACGAGCACGCTGTTAAAAATGCTGGAATGCCATGTTGTAAACAGTCATTTTTACTTCTACTATGGTGTAGTGTTGGATGCATGCTGTAGAGCTCCATGCTGCCCCCTACAGTTTGGGAGAATATTGGCTCACCGCAGACAAAAGCCGCAGGAACCATAAACGCTGCGAGTTGTGAAGCGCGTTCCATCCGCGAGCCGCATCACCAAGCGGAAAGTGAATGCGTCAAGCATAAACCAAGCTTAAAGTGCTGTTTTTTACGGTGTGTGTGTGGAAGGTGGGGTGTGGGATGGGGGTGTAACTGTCATACTTGTTTTATATTAGCGGGGAAGGGATGGGACTATGGTATATACGGGGTCATTTTAATCTGTAAAGCACTTTGAGCTGCATTTTCATACAAATAAAGTTTGATTGATTGACCAAATTACCGCTGAGCTCCAGCCATCAACTGCACTGAAAGTGAAAGTAAACAGGGGCATACGATTCACTTTTGTAAACAAAAACAGCTGAGAAGGCCAACTGGAGCGATGCAGAGCTCCAGGAGCTTCACTCTGGTCGAGCTGAAACTCAGATTACCAGACAGTTCACGGGGACTCTGACAGACAGACACCTTTAGGGGCAGTTTATCGAAAATAAACGTAAGGAGCGTGGCTTCAATCGCAACAGGGAGCCGAAGTCTCCTCCCTTTCCGGTTTTTAGCCCCGTTGACTTGCATTCATTTTTTCATTCTTCTGGGGACCCGGGGTGCGGAAGCAGGTGGGCGCGACTTAGGCAAGTTACGTTCAAGCTTAAAAGAAGTTCACGACAGCGCAGAGAACACCCCCTTTATTCCACTATCTTTTGTGAAAAACACACAATCGCACCACTGTCTGACCACTGTTGATCAACCAAAGGCTACCTCAGCTTTGTGGCAAATTGGCTGCATTGTTTATTGAAAGAAATTTCCTTTAGTATTTCATCTTCTCGCTTTTATATCAGCATGCATCAGTTGTGACATTTTTCAATCTGAATGACACTTCCGAAAAATATTTAACCCACAGATCGGATGGCAACCATCCTTTTTTGTTTTCTACAACAAAATGAGATTAAGATGCGTATCTTTGCATTGTTTTCTTCTAATTAGGTCACTGCGTGAACATTTCCCACCACCATCATTCAAGTGCGCGCCTCCATTTTCTTTAGTAACAGAAAACTCACATCAGTATTGTCGCATCCGATCATTTCGCCGTAAGACACCTGATGACACAAACAGTAGGTGGGTTCGTTGGGGTCCACAGGCATGTCCAAGACATCAGAGGGGTGCACGTTACCGAAGTTGGTGGCAGGGGTGTTAAATTCTCCTCTGATGATACACAAATAACAAGAGATCACAACAGGACTGAAACCTGAAACGTAAGCTGGCTCAAACATTCAAAAGTAAACATACTGTTGAAGGAGTTTGACTTTCTTTTGTGCACTCTTTGGACTTCCATCTTCATCTGAACTCTTCACCTTAGATCTTGCTTTAGCAGCTTTCTTTTCTTTTTGTCTGGAATCTCCTGAAGATGCAAGAAAAAAAAAAAACACTCAAGTAGTCCAAAAAGTTTACTTTTAACAGCCCGGGTCATCCACCTAAAACAAGCAGATGCAGAACAATCATGGTGTTCATACACACCTTTCTTTCCCTTACTAGAGGTGGAATCATAGTCGGTGCTCTCGATCTGCTTTTCCTTCAGGTCAGCCTCGAATCGAGCCAGGTCCGTGTCGAGACGTCTGATGTGTTTGTCGACCTGCGAAACAATGAAAAGCTTCACCGTATTAATAAAGTACGGTTTACGTTAAAGCTTCCTTCCGGAGTATTTCTCTTATCCGATGGCACCATCTAGTGGCTGACAAGTGTATCACACAAAGCCGCTGTTCCTTTGGGTTTTTTTTTAAGATGGCGACTTCACGTTTCTGTTTATAAATGTGCTTCTGTAGCCGACAAACAGAGCTAAAGCACGTTGTTTTACGAGTATTATTCTCATGTCATGTTGTATTTTCATATTTATATTTTAGAGACTATCTTGTCCGTGAAAAATTCATCAACTCTGCATCAGCCGAGGTATTCCTTAAATGTGAAGCGTCTAAGCGGTAGTCTAACGCTATTGGTTAGTTCTGGTCGGCGCTCAGTTTCCCATTGCACGGAGCTCTGCGGGGCAGGGGGCGTGCTTAGCAAAAATAAATAAAAAAAGACGTATTGCTTATTTTATATCACAGTACATGATACGATAATCACTTTTACGGATTTCTGACAAATCATACATAATTTCTGAAAGAGGAAAACTCCAGAAAGCAGCTTTAATCCAGCAACTATCAATGGTCCAAATTCTTCCTCATCACTTTGTGAACAGAGTTTTAGAACAAAATCTAGAAACAAAATCTAGAGACTTCTCAGGTACCAACCATTTCATAGGTCTGCATAGCCAGCTGCACCTTATCATCACCAAACTCTTTGCATTTGCTGTAGGACTGCTGAATCTGCCTCAGGATGGACAACTTCTGCTCAGAGGAAAGAGTCCGGGCATTGGATGTGTATTCTTTAGCCAGAGAGTCGATCTGTCCTTTAAGATCTAAGAAAAAAAAAAAAACATGAATCTGATTACCAAATCAACAAAAACCTTGATTGTTCTCTTAAACTTTTATCTTTTTTTTTTAATTAAATTAATTATTAAAAAACAGGATACTTGAACTCTTTGTGCAGGCCTAGGCATGGCGTTTTGTCCTTTTGGGACTCTTAGTTATAAACTGTGCTTGCTGATCAATCTTTAAAACATTTCAAATTGGGTTTGTTTATTTATTCCTCAAAATGCTTAGGAAGTACAAACATAGTTACTTTAATTTAGCTTTTTAGTAGATAACTCGGGCAACAAAAAGTTGATTCAGGATATTAAAACTTAAAAACAAAAGAAAAACTCTGCTTAAAATCTAGAAAATTATTTAAAACACACTGGCTTCTGGTTAAACGAAGGTTGACCTTGTTTTTACACTAAAATCCATGTTTGAGAGTTCACGTCTTACCCTCTGTGCGTTGATCAAGATCTCTCATCAGATTGAAGTTCCTCTGCAACTCAAAGGGAAGGTTTTCTATGCCTGTGGTGGTAAAGGACAGACAAGGCCATCAGTGAAGTCGACGTGAAACAATGCAAAAACAACGCAAACGTGACAGCTAACTCAAGTTATATGCAGCCTCATTCATGAACGTATTGTCCCTTCAACAACCTCACACATGCGACATGCGTTTGGTGTGAAGTTCTTTCTAAGTTGTTTGAAACGAATATTACAAAACTCAGCAGTTTTAGCTTGAGTACGATGGGCTGTTCCAGCAAATAGACCGAGCCCGAAGTCGCTCAGACCGCTGAGAGCGCGGTTAAACTGCTTTCTTCCACACGGAAGATAAACAGATGTAATGCTGGACTGGACAAAGCAAAATAATCAAAAATCCAGCGACACCGAACGCGTTTCCGCGTCTTTAAAGCACGAAATGTAACTTACTGTCCAAATAATGCTCCAAATACATCCCCGCCGCCATCTTGGAAGACGTAAACAACGCAGCTTCCGTTAGTAAATGGACCAATCTGATTGGTTGTTGGAAATGTTTTTGTCCATCGAAAACTCGGGTCCGTCATTTCTTTTTATGGTTTTCAACTTATCATAAATGCAGAAAGTACGTACATAAATTCATTAAATATTTTTCACATGTAAGTTTTCTGTAATTTCAAACGCTCATGTTAACATATTTTATACTTTCCAACATATTCAGCTATTTATTATAAAATACTTCCCATAAAACACTTCAGCTGTTCCAAATTTTCAGCAAAAATGGTGCGGATCCCGTTCTTATCACTTCTCGCGATATTTTGCAAGATAGTAACGTTGCTTCAAGCGCAAAATCTTGTTTAGTACAAAATGTATCTCGTTTTTCTGCTTCTTAAAACCTATTTCGGGCATTTAGTGTTTTTTCTGCCTGAACTTTAAATCGTAAAAACATTTAAGCTCAGCTTTAGCAGTTTTCAGCTATTTCTTTCAGCTTTTCTGTGGAGTTAACGTTTAAAACAAAAAATCCTGTCTTATTTCCTGTGTATTTATCTGAATGAGGTGTACGTAAATAAACTGCACTGCTGTAAACAGAAAAAAATCTCTTAAAAGATTTATTGTTTCATTACTTTTGTTTTCAGCTGCAACACACCCACAGATGGTTTATCAAAGAAAACCCAGCAAGTCTTAATAATTAGAAGATAGCCAAACCCATTAAACATGACTCTGAAAGGACAGACACAATACAGGTGTGTAGCTGGGTGTGTAAAAAAACTCTACAAAGTGTTTTGTCATTTAAAATGTTTGAACATCACTTTTTATTTTGCTTTTGCCACTTGGGCTTCATCTTCTTGAATTTATTCTTTCCCGTTCTGTTCTTGTTCTTCATGGACGGTTTTGTCTTTTTGCCTTGCTTCTTCTCAAACTTGCTTCCTCCTTTGTTAGCTGTGGACACCTTGGGCCCACTGAAGGACTTTTTAACCTCTGTCCCTTTCTCAGTCTTTACTTCCATCCTGGCGATCTTTGCCTTCTTTGGTCCAGCCTTTAGGTCCTTTTTTTCTGCTGACTTGAGGTTTCCTGATTTCTTGGCTGGCGCCCCGTTTGTTTTGGCGTTCTGCTTCGAGCCGTCAGCCTTCGTCTGGGAGGCTTTGTCAGAATCGGCGGCTTCTGTAGCCTCAGCCGCATCAGTCTTCTCGTCTCCTGTAGACATAAACAAGTAGACGGTCAGCGCAACATACACACACTTTATCATGCAGCTGTGATAAAGTGTGTTACCTTTCCCAGCAGCAGCAGAAGGAATTACATTGGAGAACTTTTTAAACTTGGCCACAAAGAACCCATCCATGTTGTGGGAGTGCGGGTAAAACCGTCGCGTGAGCCGCAGAGAAGGATGGAATCTGAACTGTTTGAAACTTTAAAAGACAAAACAATAGTTCAGTGATTATGATGAGTTTCAGGAGCTTAATAAGAACACAGCGGTGACTTTGTTTACCTGGTGAAACCCTCCTTCCCGAAGTCCAGCCCCGTTGGAACTAATTTGACGTTTCTTTTTTTCAAAGCGTAGTCCACCACCCACTCGTTCTCCTCCACCTGGACAAGAATTACATTTATTATCCAAACTAGGGTCGTCACGGTGTGAAAATGTAACCTCACGGTTTTTGTGACCAAAATTATCACGGTTTTCGGTATTATCGCGGTATTTTTTTAAACGTGTTACATTTTCAGATAACTAAATAAACCCTGTATATCAGGAAAATATTGTCCTCAGTTTGTGTCTAAATTTAGCCTAAAATTTGTTATTTTGTAATTATGTTGTTTATTTGTTTACATTTTCCCCCTTTAGTCTTTAAAATACAATATTTGCCCATAACTTCTTATTTTTTGTCTGTTTGATGTCATCATTTAAAAATATTAGATCAGATGATACTCAGTACTCAAGTAGCCTTCTAATCAGATACTTTTTTACCCTTACTTGAGTAATAAACCCTATATCAGGAAAATATTGTCCTCGGTTTGTGTCCTTCCAGTGAGCTTTGCAGATGTGGGAAGCTGTCATCAGGCAGTAATCGTTGTTAAATTCATAATTATTCTCAGAGAGACCAACTCTTATCTGCCCCTGGGAGCCCCGTAATGCATAGCGTCATTTCAACATGGGGGTGTCCGCGACACGGTTTATATGCAGGTAGCGGCGCTGCGGCTGCTTTATATAGCGACTCGTTGCATTCTCCCTCAACCCAAATTCTCGGATCACGCATTTTAGCTAAAACGCTAACGTTAGCTTGCCTTGCGTTGACTGTAGAGTTGTGGGTGATGGTCACGCAGATGTGTCATGAGATTTGAAGCGTTGCTGCCTTTCACAGACACTTTTTCTGCACGTGCTGCAAACAGGATAGCCGTCTTCTATCAACTGTCCCTCGGCATTCTTCAAATATCCAAAAGATGCCCATACTTCCCACTTTGTCTTCTTTGAGGGATAATAAATGTCCTGAGCGCTGCCGTCTCCTCCTTTGGCCATTATTTCAGCTTTAGCTTCAAGAAAGTTTTGGTTGTAAACAACAAAGTGCGCATGTGCCGCCGGCAACTTCAGCAGATGATACGGTGGCTGGTAAGGGTCACCGCGCCTACACCACAGCCACGGTAAACCCACAGAGATAATTTATATTTTTTTTAAAACAAGATGGTTATCATTATTGTCAACTTTTTTACCAGGGTTTACCGCTACACCGATTACCGTGACAACCCTAATCCAAACTAAATCAGTTCAAAGAAGCTCATTCAAAATGAGGTCATTTCAAATCTGAACACAAATAATGATCACTAATGCGTTTTTCCTAATGGAGCATGAATTACGAATGCCGGTACAGACTTGGCAACCCTCCTGGCTCACATATCAGCACCTGGGTCAGCTTGGTCTAGCCCTGGTAGCGTAATTGTGTTGACAATTGCGTCCGTACAGAGACTACCGCTTTCTGTGGTCCTGCAGTGCATCTCGTACTCTGTCGGCCATACACACCCACCTACGGACTAACTAGCCAGCTGAAGATCATGCCTACCTACTAGTGGGAGCTTCTGATTGGCGAGCAGAATCAGCCAGTGGCAGTTTTCCCGCGATCCATTATTAATTGGATGAAGTTAGGTAAACATCTTCCCTGACAGCAGCTCGGACCGACGGTCTGTTGTGAGCGCTCTTGGATGGAGAGGAGCTCACGGCAGCACCGCTGCTCTCTGAGAAGAGTGGAAACTGTGTGCTTCATGTCAGTCTCCAAAAGCAACTCCGCTCATGCCCGTGTGTGTTTAAAAAAAAAAAGAGATGTAAGCCTAAGAAAACCACCAGGCCAGTCAAGTAAACCATTAATGAACCTGGGAGGGAGACGCCCATCGTGTCCCAAATGAAGGAAAACACAAAGATCCCTTTTCCGTTGCTTGTTTCCTGGTGTGAACATTAAAGGGTTAAAACGTTTTTCTTGTCTGTAGATCATAAATTGCAACTATTTATTTTGAATGCTTGTGTGTTTAAACTATTTAGAAACTATTTTGTACTTTCCTACAGAATGTTTTCTTATTTTAATGTTTAACTCCGGGAAAATAAAAGGATTCTCCTCAGAAAACTGTTAATACGTTTTCTCGACCGCTCAGACGACTAATCGTTCTTCCACCATCAGCCATGGGTAGTAATTCGTTACTAATGACAGCATTACTTTTACCAGTAACTTTATCTATTCAGTTACTTTTTAAATAAGGTATCTCAGTTAGTCAGTAAAATGAAAAGGACTAAATGGGAGCCTTTTTAAGAACGTAGCTCTTTAAAGTAAATTTTTACTTTGAGCAGAAATGCCTTACTTTTTGGAGTGAGTAACAAAGTAACTGATTAATAAGGTAACTAAGGTTCGATCCCGGCTCCGGACAGAGAATTCTGCTGTTGTGTCCTTGGGCAAGACACTTAACCCACCTTGCCTGCTGGTGGTGGTCGGAGGGACCGGTGGCGCCAGTGCTCGGCAGCCTCGTCTCTGTCAGTGCGCCCCAGGGCACTGACAGAGACGATACACTACACCATCAATGTGTGAATGTGTGTGTGAATGGATGAATGATACACTGTAGTGTAAAGTGCTTTGGAGTCCTTACTCTGAGAGGCGCTATACAAGTGCGGGCCATTTATCATTTACTTTCTTCAGTGACTTGCACAACGTACCGTTATCGAGCATGTGCAGTAGACCAGATACCCTCCGGTAGGAGACGCTGCATTCACCGAGTCGATAGCAGACAGAATCAGTTCCTTCTGTAAATGAGCAGAGCGCTGAATGTCCACCTCGTCCTGCAAGGAAATAAAAGTTTAAATCCACAATGAAAAAGTAACTCCTCGGGTATTAACGGAGCCTTTAAATGACCTTTCACCTTGCTGGTTTTCACTGCTGGGTCTTTAGCGATGACTCCGGTCCCCGAGCACGGCGCATCGAGCAGCACTCGATCAAACCCACCCATCACCTGCGATCAACGACCCTACAGGTCAGTAAAACAAACAACGCGGAAGTAAATCCAAAGCAAACAAACGTTAAAGCAGCGGACCTTTGGGAACTGGCGGCCATCGTAGTTGCAGACCACTGTGTTTGTGACTCCGAGACGATGAATGTTTCCCACCACGCTCTTCAGTCTTTCTTTATTTGCATCGTTAGCAACAATCACTCCGGTGTTTCTCATCAGCTGAGCTGAAAGTGGGAACAGACGCATCAATTTATACATTTTATTCAGGTGTGCTCCTGCTTGTAGTTTTAAAATCTCAAATCACCACAAAGCATCTTACCGATGTAGGTGGTTTTCCCTCCAGGAGCTGAGCTCATGTCCAACACCAGCTCTCCCTCCTGCGGCGAGAGCGCCATCACCGGCAGAAAGCTGGAGGCTCCCTGCAGCATGTAATGACCAGCCAGGTACTCCGGGGTCGCGCCTGTTTGGAAAGACGAGATCAACAACAGTTAAAGCCTCCGAGTCGATCCCAGAGAAGAAGAAGAAAATATCACTTCTATAGAGATTCTTCAGAAAAGATCGCCATGGCTCCAGTTACAGCTGAAGTGACACGAGTGACCTGAAACTCACCGATTGGTACAGACGAGTCAAAGATGACCAAACCCACTTTAGTCCATTTACCCAGTGGATCAAGGTTTACTCCTCTGTTGATTAAAGCCTGAGGCACAAAGGTCACATGACTTTAGTCAATATGTTACGATTCCATCTTTGAAACAATAAAATAAAAATATTCCAGCATCAACACCAAGGGCAAAGTGTAGACGTAAGCAGAAGCACAGATTCATTCAACCAAGTGTGGAAATGGAAAAACGCACATCTCTACACTTTTCTCTTTGGCTGCACCTAGTGGGCATGCTGGGAAACGGTTCATGATGTGAAAATTACTGCTCAAACCAGAGACGCATTACAGGACTTAATAAACGGTGCCGTGTGACGAGGATGTGTGTTTAGAGAGAGGGAGGATGTTCTGGTCTGACATGAAGCTCTCTGAGCTGCAGCCGGTCTGATGGTAAAGCCTGATTCATGTTTCTGCGTCAGCGTCAGCGCGGAGACACGCAACGCCGTTATCCGTCCTCGCGGGTCTGCTGGAGAGCTCCGCAAGGACGGACGGAGTCGAGCTCTCTTTTTTAAACATCCGTCCGTCGAGACGGAGAATGCAAGCTTGTGATTGGTCAGGGCACCGCTGTCGTCTACACCGCCGCCATTGCGCCCTCAAAAACATAAAGAGAGCCGAGGATAACTAGCGGCAGACACAGAGCAGCTTGAAGAACACCTCGCGAAAAAACTCTAAAAATATGAACGTTTAATTCCCCCGTGACTGGAGGAGTGAAAAGATACGCAGCAAGCGTTTTACTTGTGGACGGAAATGACAGGAAACGTGGGTTTGGAGGTGGCGAGCGCATGAAGAGGTGGAGGAGAATGAGAGACAAATATGTCTGTGTTAAAAATCTCTTATATACAAAAAAAACACAACATAAACACACTATCTTGGACCGATACATGACAGGATACAACAGAACAGCACTACGCCCTCTGCTGTCCTGGCGGGGAATTGCTTTGCAACACTCCCCAGGAGACGGAGAAGTACGAGAGCAAAACATCTCCGTCCGTGCCTCTCCCTGTTGGAGCTGACGGAGAAGCAGGAATCAGGCTTAACGCGGCGAGGTCACTCACTGTACGACAAAATAGCACAAGAAATCATCTTTATTTCAACGAGATCGCACAATTTACAACCAGAGTTGGTTTTGCTGATGTAATCAGAGCCTCTGGCAGCACACACATGGGTTGGGCGATATGCATAATTTTTCCCACCGCCAATCGTCAGTCCAAAAAAAGACGATGGACGATTTATTCGTGCATGTGACGTCATGACTGATTTGCGAACACAGAAGAAGGCCAAAACACAGATTTTTTTAGACAAGCGCAGCACAAACGTTTGCTGGAAAAGAAATTGATATTTTTCTTTTTGCTTCATTTTGCATTCGTAGTTTGGTAGAGTGACGTATAAACGGCCCGTAATAAACACGGTTTATATGTTAAAATGAAGCCTCGTCTTTGTTCCCCTGTGGCGCCCACTGTTGTGGTACTTTATTTTTTATTTAGGCTAAATGTTTCTTTCTGAACGAAGGCTACTGGGGTTCTTTCTTTTATAAGTGGGGGATGGAACGAATCGCTGTTGCGTTTGGACGCACTCTGAGGAGGCGGCACTTGCTCGCTGCCAGAGGTCACATGATCCATTCATCCCCGTCACATTCGTTTTTAAAATAACGAATAATCATTCGTTAAATTTCCATTCATTTTAACTAATATTTAGTCCAACCAAGCTGATCAGAATGCCCCAGTAACATGAACAATGCAATTAATCGATTTAACTTAAATTAGGAACATTTCACCTGCTGCGGCTCAAACGCACATTCCTCCCGCGCCGCGTAAACCTGAACTGGTCACCTGCAGCTCGCGTGTAACCAAATGTCTCTAGGGAGCTTGCTGAAGAGGTAATGAGCTTCTAGACTTTTGCCTCAGACAGACTCGTGGCTGTTTAAATTATGTTCTGGATGGATCCGTGCTCTGCTGGCACACTCGAAGCAGGTGCTGGATGGCGACGAGCGCTACTTCAGCCAAGGTGTTAAATCAGGAAAAATTTCTCCACATGAAATAACCAGAAGTCTTCCAGACTCTGAACGATAGAAGGGTTTCCACTTTCCACTCAACGCCGTGCTGTAGTGCACGATGCCGAGTGCGTCACAGACGCTCTCTGAGCCTCTCCTCAGCGCGCCGCTTGCGCGTGCACGGTCACCAGCCAGAGGCGGAGGAGGTGGGAAAAGGCTCAGATGCGCTGATGGAGATCTTTTCTTGATCGTTAACTCCGCGATGTTCTGTGTGCAACGTGTAAAATATTCGTCAATAACAAACAAAGAAATAAATAAACAAATCGCCTCCTGTAAAAAACAACCGTAACGGCTCAGCCCATCACCGATGGTCGATTCATTCGTCCCATCGCCCAACCCTAGCACACACACGGCTTTAAAAACTCCATGGCAGGATGAAGATGCTCCTTTTACCAGAACGTTTTATCCAGATGATGATTATTTTGTGATGTGCAAACTAGCATTACAGAGGCCCAAAACACAGGACTCCTTCAGTCTTATGAGCAGCATGTTGGAACACATAAGCTGGCATGATGTGGGATTTCTGACCACCAACAGGTGGTCATATTTAAAACGAGACACGTCGAGGGACGGCGTCTGTATCTAGTCAGCTAATCTAAAATGGCTTAAATCCACCAAAAACCGGGTAATGATAAGTGAAAATGATATTTTACATCGTCTTCAGTCAGAGCAGTTACCTGGGCGAGGTCTCGCCGCCGTGCTTTCAGCGTGTTGGTCCGAATCGTGACCGGTCTGTGAATTTCATTCGCTTCGAGGAAATCGACCAACTGTTAACAAAAACGAGACTTTTCTCAAGCAGGCAAAATATCTCTTATAAATAAATAATAAACTTTACAGTAAGTCCAACAATAAAACCCAGATTTCGTTCATGTAAAACGCACCTCTGACAGAGGGAAGAGGTCCATTAACTTCTCCACCAGGAACTCGTTGTAGCTGTAATAAGTACAGAGATCCTTCCTTAGGAGCGCTAGGTACTCCACTCGGTCTTTCCCTTCTTCCCTTTTAGAGGAGAAATTACAAAGAACATCAATGTTGTCCTTTATTCTCTGGTAGACGGTCTTCAGGTCTAGAGACAGAACACCTAGAGGGACAAAAAAAAAAAAGAAAGAGAAATTAAACAAGTTTAATAAATTGTCTGATTTTAAAGCAAAAAAAAAAAAGAAGAAAACATTGAAATCACCGACCCTCTTTTTCACTCTCCTCTGCAGTCGGCAATCTGAATTTATCCATATCTTCTGCGTTGGTTTGTATCGTGCCATCCTCGTCCACATCAGCATCTGACTTCTGCTCCTCTTCATCGTCATCTTCTTCTTCATCACTCTCTAGATCCATGGAATCTTTCAGCTTTTTCTCTTTTTTGGCAGCTTTTTCAATTGGAAGAAGCTGAAAATGAAATGAAACCAAATAATGAATATGTCAGCTTTTAAAATACAAAAATTATATTTTCTGTCATCTTGACAACAGATCTGCTGCCATGCTAATACTGATTAGCGATAGCCCGATAGATCGGCTAACCGATATTGATTGTGGAACCACTTCACATACATCATCTCCATCACTGTCTTCTCCTGCTTCGTCTTCACTGCCAAGAGTGCCGTAATCGTCAACCATTTCATCTTCATCATCCTCCTCCTCCTCTTCTTCTTCTTCCAATCCCAACTTTTTTGTATTTTTTTCTTTATCTTTTCCACTTTTCTTCTGCACAAGCTGCTGCTCTTCCTCCACCTCCTCATCATCTTCATCTTCCCAGAGTTCCTCACTTTCATCTCCACTTTCTGGTTCAGGGAGTTTGCGCTTCCCCTTGGTCGGTTTCAACCATTTACTGTTTTCATCACTGAATCCTTTACATAGAAGAAGCAACAACAAAAATAAACACATTTGTTACACAGCAGTTTTACATGGAGGACATGCACAGACTGTAAACTTTCTCATAGAAAATTGAAAACAATAGATTTTGCTGCAGATTGTTGTTAAATCTTAAACAAACAACATGTTGTGCACATTGACATTGGTATGTTTACCTTTCTTTGGTTGTTTCTGAGCAGCATCTTGGGTCTTTTTTGCATTTTGATCCCTCTTTGCAGCTCTGAAATGTTGAGAATGGAATAAACAACTTACGAACCCCTTGCAGAGGTATTTACTGCTATTTTACATGTTTTATTGATACCTTTTCTTGGCTCTCCTTGACAGAGGTTTAGGTCCCGTTTCCTCTAGAATGACACCAGAATAAGATCACGTTGTCAGCATGATTACAAATATTTTTCAAACAACCAAAATCACAGTACTTAAAAAAAAAAAGGCTGACCAAATAAAAAGCCTCACCATCTGTTATAAACTTTGCCAGCTCAACCTCGGCTCCATGCTGCTTCTTGGCTTTCTTACCCGGGCCTCTTTTCACCTTGTTGGTGGGATCCAACTTCCGACCCATGGCTCTTATTTACAGAACCAGCTTAAGATTCAGAAGATGGGGGAAAATATTAAAAATGCTATCATAAGATGATACAGCAGCTGCTCTGACTTTAAATATGTAACAAATTCCGTTGCATTCTCACAATAAAATGGGAGTTGATGAGACCACGTGTAGCAAACATAATTGCTACAAGCATCACATTTTTTACTTTGTACCTATTTAATGTTCAAGCTTTACGTATAATTTAAACACGCAGTTTCTAAGAGTGCCTATCCGCGACAGACAAGGTGTTACTATCAGAGCAGCATGTTAAACATGTAATTATTCTATCTACGGTTATATCCAGCTCTTTGAACAAGTTCAGGAACAATTATTCACATACTTACAGACAAACCTTTATTTAATAGCAAGTCCTCTGTCTGTAAAGTTCCAAAAGACGACAAATTTTCACACGTGAACTTCTGTTCAGCACGTTGTAGGGGCACATCCGGCGCACATAGATGACGCATGTCACCGCACGCGCAAATAAATTTTTATATTGCACAAACAAATACGTAAACCTTCTTATGTATGTTAAATGCTTTAAACTATTCATCTTAGTTAAAATGTAGCTATGTTTTAAAAGTTGTTGGTTTTAAGCAGTTTTGCTCTGACGTAATCATCCTGCGACAACTCTAACAAGAAGCGTTTGCAATGGCGACTCCAGGCAAAAAGCGTGGTTTTGAACATTTGGACGAATATGAACCTAAAGCAGTCAAGCTAGGAAAGAATAGTTTTCATGACCGAATGACAGAGAAAAGGCTAGTTGTTATTCTGGAGGGAGCGTCGTTAGAAACAGTAAAGGTAAACATTTATTCTATTTTAATGCCCACGCGACAACAGGATTCAAAGCTAATGAGTGGTTTTGTTTTCTTTCTTCCAGGTAGGAAAGACGTTTGAGTTGTTGAACTGCGACCAGCACAAAAATATGATCCTCAAAAGTGGAAGAGACCCGGGACACATTAGACCAGACATTACACATCAGGTAAACACTCCAGTAGTACATAAATAACAACATTATGCCTTTATTAAAAGTTAAATATACTTCTTTAACTTTAGTAAACAATTGAGTGTTGCTGAAATATTTTTATTGTCAAAGTGATGCAGAGTTGGGGTTTAAGTGTGTGTGTGTGTGTGTGTGTGTGTGTGTGTGTGTGTGTGTGTGTGTGTGTGTGTGTGTGTGTGTGTGTGTGTGTGTGTGTGTACCAGCTGCTTACAGCCAAAGCAGTGAGGGTGTAAAGTTGTTTATTTTTAAAGTTCCTGTCACGTGTCTGTGATGAAGAGCTGTGAAAACCTTGTGCATTCCAGTGTCTTCTCATGCTGATGGACAGTCCGCTGAACAGGGCAGGCCTTTTACAGGTTTACATCCACACAGAGAAAAACGCACTAATAGAGATCAACCCACAGACTCGAATCCCCAGAACGTTCACTCGTTTTTGTGGGCTCATGGGTAAGCTTCCATTCCCATAGATTTTTTCGTTTTTGTTCATAACTACATTTTCTTTTAACCTCTTGTTTTGCTCTCTCTATACTTTAGTTCAGCTGCTGCACAAGCTGAGTGTTAGAGCTGCTGATGGTTCTGAAAAGCTTTTGAAGCTGATTAAAAATCCTGTTTCCGACCACCTGCCCCCTGGCTGCCCCCGCATTGCCACCTCCTTCTCTGCTGGGGAACCCGTCTGTCCTCGGACCTTGGTACCAGAGGGCCCTGCAGCATTTGTGATCGGAGCATTTGCACATGGATCGGTGAGAAAGAGATTCACATGCTGTCTGTTTTGAGTCATTCCATGTGTCAAATATTATTTTGACCATTTTTTCAATTTTTCTAGGTGAATGTGGACTATACAGAGAATATTGTTTCCATAAGTAATTACCCCCTTTCTGCAGCACTGACCTGTGCCAAAATATGCTCTGCTTTTGAAGAAGTTTGGGGTGTCATGTAACAAACAAATCATAATAAACAACTGATGTCTACAGGACAGAGAACTGTCTCACACATGGACGTTTTTTCTTAGTTTACTAGAAAAACAGACCAAAATGTTCTGGGATCCTACATGAACAGCGCACTTTTGTCTTTTTATACTCAGCTAATGATGACTCCATTTAGACTACATGGTGGATTTAATGATTTTTCTCTGTATCTTTAAATAAATGCAACAGTTAGAGTTTTGCAAAAATTTAAGTCATGATTGTTTCAATTTTATTCTATTTTTCCTTAGAAAATTGCAAATTTATATACAAAATAATAAGGAAATAAACATTTAGCTTCAGCTTATGCATTAAAAGAGGGAAAGATAAAAAAGTCAGGTTGATAAGTTTATTATTGATCTAAAAAAATCTGACATTCTTCCAGTGACTATTCGATTTTAGCCGGTTTTGTTACTGAAAATGGACATATGACGTCTTTCTTAGTGGTCCCCAACCTTTTTCCCATGAGGACCCCCTTGCTTGTGTCCAAGCCCCCCCCCCAACTCTTACCCCCATACACACATTAAAAGTAAATGGTAAATGGCCTGTATTTGATATAGCGCCTTCTAGAGTCCTGGAACCCCCCAAGGCGCTTTACAACACAATCAGTCATTCACACACACATTCACACACTGGTGGGGATGAGCTACGATGTAGCCACAGCTGCCCTAGGGCGCACTGACGAAGGCGAGGCAGCTGAGCACTGGCGCCACCGGTCCCTCCGACCACCACCAGCAGGCAAGGTGGGTTAAATGTCTTGCCCAAGGACACAACGACAGCGACAGACTGAGCGGGGCTCGAACCTGCAACCTTCCGGATTACGGGGCGAGCATTTAACCTCTGTGCCACTGTCACCCAAAAGTGTAATTACAAACTTTATACAGAGTTTAGAGTCTTATACAGCAATTTGATTGTATTATTGGGTGTGTTATTGGTATTTTAGAAATATAATTTTTACACATCTTTGTAACCTCAGCAACAACAAAATTGTGGGGACCCCTTTGGGGAGGTCATGACCCCAGGTTGGGAACTGCTGGTCCATAACATATTTATGAAGTTCTTTGCACAAAATCCTCCTCATGTAAAGCAATTTCAGTTTTGTCTGACATTTTCAGTACCATCCAGAATGAGCCATTTCAGGGCTCTGTTGCTTTACAGTAACAAGCTGGAGCTGGCCAAGCCCACCCATCCACCAGCTAGGCCTAAGAAGCTCTTGATATCTGGGAATGGCTCAGAATAGAGCCGCTTGTGACATCACAAACAGGAACTTCATGAAACAGCCTCTTTTAGGCCTAGATTTCTTAAAAACAACACTGACAGAACATGTATGGATGTTTTTTTTTTCACGTTTGAAGTGTTTATAGAGGCAGTAGAGATCCAAATGGAAGCACAAAAGAAAATAATACAGAAGGTGAATTTAGCATACCGGTATGTCCCCTAGAAAAGCCTTTTGCAGATTTTTGCCCTTTGTCGACATCCTTAAATCCATCCATCTATCCTGCTTTTCTCAGGGACGTTTTGGGTGGAGTAGTTCAGTTTATGCATCTCCGTTTTCTCCAATATGAGTATTTTTTTTTGCCATTTTCTTATATTTTGCTTACTCTTACTGGTGTGACTGTTTTTCTCCCTTTTAATTACGATTTGGCTGCTGGTTTGCATATCTTGGCTGGTTGCTTTTGCAGTTTTGTTGATGGTTTGTGTGTTTTGATTATTTCAATTTGCCTTGATAAAACAAACCTTTATGAGGCGATCGTAAATTTAGGAAATTACCTAAATGCATGGAATGTATAAATGCTAATATTACACTGACTAAGAAACAAGGTAATTTTTTTTAAAGATGCTTTATCATCATGTGCCTTACGTCGCAATGATAGAGACTTTATTTCACGACTTGTCAGATAATAAGTCTGGTTTTTCTGTCTAAAGTAATTCCTGATTCACCTTCACAAGCAAACAGTTTTCAGTCTTTAAACAGACATTTAATTCATGTCAAAGGCCCAATGAGACAAAGTAGTGCATCGTTTGTTCCTTCAAGTTCTTCAATAGTTGAAACAAATGATCAGAACTAATATAGCAACACGTTGACATCTTTATAGTAACAGATGACATTCATAGAAGACAGATTACTGCATAACAGGTTTATTTTTATATACAATAATGGGGAAATTTCACCACCACTAAAAAAAAAAATTTTTTTTTCCCCTATTTCAATGACTACTATACAATTTGTGCAAATAATGCAATTTGCAGAAATATAACAGCTATGGCGATTGCAAAAATCGAGTTTAATCATGTAAAATTAAATAAAAACATACATGTACCTATGCTGCTTTAATAAATGTAGCCAGTCAGCATGCATGGGATGAATTCTGCTGGGATTTGATGGAGCACTGTGGACTCGTAGGACACAGATCAGACGTGGAACAAACAACTGCGATTAAGAAGGAGGGGTCCAGCGGCATGGATTCACTGAACGGATCAGCATCACAGTTGACCTGGAGACAAATATTCTATAAATGGTTAATTAAATGCCACAAGTCCAGACTCATCAACAGCATCTTCCCCATGGGCCTTGTGGTTACCAAACAACCGGTAAACATACTACCTCCCACCCACCTAACCCACTTAAAGAGCCAAGGACTGGTACACACAAACACAATACATGTAATTACTCTTCTCAGCCTTTTTTGATTACATTGCATTTTTATGATGACTTCTTAGTTTATATGTAGAATCGAAAATCTATTCTATTTTGTTTTTACTTTGCAACTTCATAAAACCATTAAGCAGTGGTGTGTCCAGGCCTTAAATTGGGATGGCCCAGGCGAGACACATTTTACCCATGGGTGGCACCTATGGTTCTGATTTCATTTTATTTTATTCATTTATTTGGAGGGAGGGTGGCACAAGTTATACACCCCATAGCCTTTTGCTGGCAATGTAAAGTCAATTTAAAGTAACACAAAATAGTTTTTTTTTTACTTTAAGCTTTAACATTGAACTCAGTGATTGTTGAGTTTGAAACTTGATCAGTTTCCATATTTGACACCACTCAACAGCCTTCTGCTGGCCAGGTAATGCAGAGTTTTGTGGAGGAGGTAGGTGCCCTATAGGGGAGTTATTTACCTTCTTTATGGCTGTTATGCTAGCAGTTAGCTTTTTCAGTTTGCCCATCATCAACAAAAAGCACAAAAATAAGAAAAATAAGTTTGCTTTTTTGTTGGCATCATGGTGGAGCCTGGAAGTAAAAGTAAGAGACTGATATCTTTGGAGGTGAGGCAAAGAGCTGAAACCAGAGTGAACATTGGTGCGGTCAGAGGGAGCTAAATGAGGCTACAAAATCATGGACTGATGCTGACCTGGCTTTGTTGTTACTGTTATTCATTTTTGTCCAACAGTGTGGATATTTTTACTTCGTGGTTTATTTTAGTATTAGTCGGCTCATGTTAGCTCGTTGATAGCGCTAGCTGCAGCAGGGTTGTTTACACCAGTTGTAATTCCACTTTCAACCAGTAGGTTGGAGGAGCAGGAAACTTCTTGGTATTACTTTAAATGGAACTCAGTCTGGTGGCCAATCAGATTCCAAGGGAGGCATGAGCTACCCCAAGCAACTCCCTGTACACACCCCTGCCGGTAAGCCTATACTGACGTAATATGATCCATAAAACAAAAGGAATTACCTGGGAGAATGATCGGAGCAAGAGGTGATCGTGGTGCATCCCTGCAAGGGAGGTGTCACTCGAGTTCTGGCTTAAACTCAGATGATAGGCCTGAGGAATGACAGTATTTGGACATGTGAGGTTGATGCTGTCACCACACAAACTCTAAAGTCTGAGGAGAGCTGCTCACCTGCAGCGCTACCTGCAGTGCAGCGTGCTGCACCCAGACTTCCTGCAGCTGAGCTGTAGAGAGCGCCGACACTCCATCTCTGCTTGCTCTTTCAGTTGCATTGATGTAGTAAGACCACACACACTTTCCAACCGTGTGCACACTCCTACTGTGATAGTAAACTGCAACAAAGCAGACACGGACATCATTAATTAATAAAGGAAGTTAATTTAATGAATAATATGCTAGCCTATAATAAAGTACAATACGAAAGAATAGAACATAAATGTGACATAACATTCATCAAAAGAAGTTTGTTTTGGAAGTAAAAACAGACTCTTCAGAATGAAAAAAACATGAAGGAAAAGTGAATTTAATAAAATAAAATTATCATAAAAACACTTTCCATCCTAAAGACTAACAAAAATGAGCCAAAGTAAAAACACTCTACAGGTGATAGACACGTCCTTTCTTATTCTACGCTCCACCAAGACAGGATTTTACACGACCCTAAACAGTTGACTATGATCAAAAGTACAAATTATTTAATTTGAATATGTTTAGTGAAATACCTGCATTAACATATTTCCAAACCTGACACCTTAAACATTATGTCAGACATGTTGTTTAAACCAAACATGTGACTATTCCTTACTCTCAGGTACAAGAAGATGAAAGATATCTTTGGCAATTAGGAAACCCACTGCCCCATAGTTCATGGCTCTAATAAAAGGAAAAAAAAATGAAATTCATTGATTAATTGTGTGAAAAATATTAATTAAAATTGCATGTACAAGTGCTGATCTTACTTTGGATAGGTAGGATGGAAAAAAGGAGGGATGAACATTCCCATTGGAAAGAGAAGCTCAGCGTCCAGAGAGAATGGTGTGACGGACAGACTGAAAAAAACGTGAGAAGATTATTGTAAGTCTGAGACGATCATCTAGTATCTAGTATCTAACGGCTGTAGGTTGTGATGAAAACACTTGCACATCAGCAGCCTCGATCGGGGCGGTCAAGAGTTTACTGCGTCTGTTCTGCCACAAAGACAGCAGCTGAAGGTAGTTGGAGAAGAAGCTGTTGGTGCGGATAGTCACCTGAAATCAATCAAGTCGTTGGATCAATGATGGCTTAAACCTATGGGGTGCCATTTGTAAAGTCAATCAGTCCTAACTTAACAACATTTGGGGTTATTTAGTCTTTCATATGAGAATAAATATGGGAGTTCATTCTCAAAGTAATATTATTCATACATTTATCAATGTTAAAGTTCCCAACTAAACATTTAGTTAGCAAGCTAAATATTTAATTTAGAGTTAAATGTTTATTTTACAAACTGAATATTTATGTCTGACCTAAACATTTGTTTTGTAATATAAATATTTAATTTATTAACTACATTTGTAATTTGGAGCTAAATATTTAGTTTACAAACTAAATTTATTTGATTAAAAATATTTATTGTCCAAAATAAATATTTAGATCCCAACTAAATATTTATTTTGGAGCTAAACATTTAGTTTGCAAATTCAACATTTAGGTTTAGCCCCAAAATAAATATTTAGCTTGGATCAAAGTATTTATTGTGGAAAATAAATATTTAATTTGGAGCTAAATAAAATAGTTATTTTACAAAACGAATATTTAGGTCTGATGTAAATATTTAGTTTATAAAATAAATATTTATCTGTAAATTAAATATTTAGCTTATTAACTAATTATTTAGTTTACAAACTAAATATTTAGTTTGTAGACTAAATATTTACGTCAGACCTAAATGTATATTTTGTAAAATAACTATTTTATTTAGCTCCAAATTAAATATTTATTTAGTAAATAAAATTGTTATTTTTACAAACTAAATATTTAGGTCTGACAAAAATATGTTGTTAATAAAATAAATATCTACCTCTAAATTATTTAGTTGGGAACTTTAACATTTTTAAATGTGTGAATGACATGGGGCTTTGACTTTGAAAAATGAACTACCACTGTTTTTCTCCCAGAATACCGCTGCAGAATCATGACTCCTTAACTTTACAAAGTGCACCCCACTTGAACCCGGGTGTTAATTTTCTGTTTGTGATGTACCTTAGAGAAGAAAATGTCAAGGTCATCTCCACCAGAAACCTCCTCTGAAGACCTCAGCCGTGGAATCAAAGAGTTAACCTGCAGAAAGAAAAGTTGAACTGAAGTCAAACTAAATCTCAATCGATGCAGAAATACTTAGTCTCGTTACCTTTTGCATGACGAGCTCAGACGAGTTTCGATCCACCCACTTGAGCTCATTTAATTTGGATTTGAGGGAGTCAAAGACGTTTTCAATCATCTCCTCAGCCTGTTGAAGATGAAAGAAATCTTTAGTCAGCCTAAATTTAAGGCCCTGTCCACACTTAGCCGGGGATCTGCCAAAACGTAGATATTTTTCCACGTTTTGGCCTGTCATCCACACGAAAACGGAGTTTTTTCACACGAAAACTGATCTTTTTAAAAACTCCGGCCAAAGTGAAGATCTGCGTTTTCTCCGTTCTGGGTGTCTGCGTGTGGACAGACAAAACCGGAGTTTTAAGGTCCGCAACGTCACTTTCCGCGACCAAAAAAATGCTGACATCACGTGTGCGACCTGTGTTTACACTAGCCGACAGCATGGATGCCCTCGGAGCTGCGCTCGCTTTATCAATTGTCCAAGTGCTTTTTGCTTGTTTGTTTTTGCAAGCGGAATTACTGCTCCTTACGGAAGACCACAGACGAAGGACGAGGTTAAGAATGGGGGAAGTACTGCCGCCTACAGGTCTGGCATGTCCTTAACAACGTATTTATCCGGGTACGTGTGGACAGAGTTCTTTTTTTAAAAAACGAGGTGGTGTGGATGCGAGTTTTTGGAGGGGCGGATATTTGTTTTTTTTTTTAAACCCCGGCTACGTGTGGACTAGGCCTAAATCTTTAAGGAGCTCCAGGGTGTCTCCTCACCTCTCTGAGTGCCGTCTTTTGGCCGAGAAGGTGAGTGAGAACTGAGTCAAACCCTCTCTCGGTTTCCAGCACACAGTGTCTCCAGAGAGGAACTTCCTGGTGAAAAGTCCCACAGAGGAAACGTGACAAATCAATTGACAGGTGCAGTTTTATTATTTTTATTGAAGCCTAAATTCCTGACCTCCACAGAGTGACCCAAAGCCAGGGTGTAATTTTTTGCCGTTTCAGAAAAGCGAGAGTCCATAGCAGGCATCAAGGTGTGCAGCAGATTGAAGATCATGAATGTATGAAGAGGACCGCTAAATAGAAACAAACAGGAGGATAAAAGCATAAAAAGATGTCAACTTTATTCTCCACGTTCTAATAAAGTTACAGTACCTGTTGCTCAGTTCGTGCCGGTTCAGCCATTTGTTAACGGTGCGGGACATTTGAACGATGTAAGGTAAGTTATGCAGGAGGACGTGATCGTCTTCACTGAGCGACAGTGGGTGGAAAGCGGTCTGCAGGCAGCCTAACCAGTCAATTGCAGGGGCCCGTCTCTGTGCAGGAGTTTAAATAAGAAAATCAACTTATTATCAGACAGAATTCAGACACTGTGGCTTTTTATTCTGAATCCACGTGCAGAGATTCCAGTTTTCCAATTCACAACTTGCTGATTATGATACACCACAAATATATTGACGCAACTCATCACTAGCAGCATCTAAAATGATGTTTTTATTTATACATTCTAGTTAACAGTGACACGTGAGGTAAGTCTGTTCCATTCAACGATTTCTTTGACAAAGGAAGGACTCGTAAGCAAGGTGCCTGGCCTGGCCTGACATCGCCTTGCCAAGCCAGGCACCTTGACATTGAGAAACACTCCTTTAGATCATAGAAAGGGGTCAGACACTTTTGAAGCTACTTTAGGAATTTTAAACCACGATGAGCTGCACAAACTAACGACTCGGTCCACAAGTCGTCCGCAGTCAGTAGCAACCTCCACACCAAAGGTGTTACACAGCTAGCCCAGATGAGCTTCTTCAGTTATGTTGCATTCACATTTGCTAGAGACCTGGATAATAGCTAACATGCAGGTGGTACCTGTAGCTCTTTTATGGTCATGCGCTGATGGAGCTGTCCTTTGGACAGACGGTAGTGCCGAGGTGAAGCTGCTACAGCCAGCTCAGAGGACAACGAGATGAACGATCCCACGTGAATCATTATTTCGCCCGGCGGGGATCCCAGCAGATTCAGGAACTTCTGACACGAGGCTAGGAAAGGACGAAGCGTCTGAAATAGTAGAGATGGTCTTTTTTTAGATTATTTAGAAACCTTGAATGAATCTGCGTCCGAGCGGTGATTACCGACCTTGGCGTTAGCTTGGGACTTTTCTGTCTTTCTGTTCCATTCGATTGGAATCAACAAGTCTGGCTGATCGATCTGTTGTGAGGGGGACACCTGAGTTAACGCCACTCTGCTTCCATCACAACACTCTGGTTTACATCATCGTTACTGGCCTGTATGTATCTTTGGTGTGTCCCACTGGCAGTCTCATTTGGGTCTTTGCCCACGTAGAGATTGAAGAAGGGGAAAGTGCTGTAGTCTCTCATTAGCACACCTAGTGTGGAGTTGAAATCCGTCTTGTTCCACCGTCCCGATACGGCCCAACCTCCCAGCTGCAAACAGAAAACAACACATAATAATTAAAACCACAGAGGACAGCAAGAGAAGGGGCCTCTATGACCGGATGTGGAGTCTGGTTTGGGGTTTTGGGATCAATCTGGGAGTAGTGGGAGGTAGGAAGGATTATTTCAGCGTGCTTTGTCTTTTTTTGCAGTGATGTCCTGCGGCAACAGAGGACAGAAGCAAACAGAAACTGGCAAATTTTACTTCCTGCATATCCGCACAACCAGCAGGCTGAAAAAGAGCATGCTGGAACGTACAAAAGGGTCTGCTTTTCACCATCCAACTGACCACAGTATAACCTTTCATCTACATGCATAAATCCACTTTCTATTTGGCCTTCCAAACCCAGAAGGTTCTGCTCAGTGCTTGTTGACATACCAGAAGACAAAAACACTGGAGACAAAGCAGTCTCCCGAGGTCATGCACTCTCTGCGTAAGAGCCAGACTTCGGCATTCTTCACTCTGAAGAAGGTGAGGCTTCCCTGATTTTACAGTTATAAGTTAACTAATCATATGTGATGATTAATATTCACCTCACATAAGAGTTTTAACCCTCCCACTGTCTTCAAGGGTGACCCCGCCAGGAATGTTGACCACTGAGATGGATTGATGGTTTATCCCTTGAGGTCCACGTGGCAGGGGTGAGGAGTGAGCACCCCTAACCTAACCTTGCCTAACCCTAACCACCTAATCACTCGGCAGCCAGGTGAGGGAGGAGAAAGATGCATCAATAATCGGAGCTCCCTGAATCGTAATCGAATCGTGATGTTCCTGAAGATTCCCAGTTTTAAAAACATCTTTGTGTCTGAAGGAGGCGTGGCTTTCTGAGGAATGCTTTGATAAAGCCTTCAAGACACGGCACATTCTGATTTACCACATGGACGTAATTTTAACTTGGGGGGGGGGGGGGGGCACACACACACACACACACACACCCAGTATGAGGACCAGAGGTGTGTGTGGGGGGTTGTATCTTTACAGTAATGGGAAACGGGCTTCAACACAAACGGTTGTTTTCCGCATGGTCCTAGAACTCAACCACTGTCTATTTAATATAGTGTAATATTGTTTTTGGATGGTAAAATCTTGACTTAGAAAAAGTGGGGGGCACATGTCCCCCCCGTCCCCCCCAAAAATTACGTCCATGATTTGCCAGAATACGCCAGAAATTACAAATAATGAGTTTAATAAAACAAGAACTACTTCTCGAGTAATTCAGTTTAAGCTGACTCCCGATTCGGCCAAATCGGGAAAGAAGCCTCTTTTGAAACAATCTCTTCTGACACGCAGTCAAAAGCCTCTCTTCGACGCTGCGAGCCGATACAGCCAAACAGCTTTTCCAGAGCTACTTCAACTCAAACATCCACCTTGGACGCTTGAGTCATGGTCTGCGTCTGCCCCTTCCTTCATGTGCCTCCTGGTGTTTCTCCATCCTCTCTAGGTGCTCCTTTTGTGTCTTCTAGCGCCCTCATGTGTCATGTCTGCGTCTTCCTCATGTGTCTCCTGGTGTTCCCCATTTGCCCTTTAGGTTCCCCCCCTCAGACATCCCTTTCCCAGGTCCTGTGCTCTCTTGGCCACCTCTTAGCCACGCCCCTGTTGTTTCTTTCTATAGTGTTTTCCTTTAGTGTCAGCTTCCCCTTAGTATATTAGTCATGGTTCATGCTTTCTGGTCTTTTGTTTTTTCTCTTAGGTCATTTCCTTTGTTACTGCCTTTCAGTATTTAGTGTGTTTTCTTCCTCCTCCCTGATTTAGTAATTGTATTCACCTGGTCCCTCTCCCCACACACCTGCAGTTATCTCCCTCTCATCTTCCCAGTCTATTTAAGCCCTGTCTTGTCTCGTCTCTGTGTTGTTGTTGGTCTGTTGTATGTTTGTCAGCGTTGTTTCGTGCTCTAGTTGAGCTTATGTCTCCAGGTTTTGGTGCTCTCAGTGAGCTTTTGTTTTTGTTACCAGGGTTTTTGGATTTTTGGACTTTTGGCTCGCTGCCTTTGGATTTATTTTTATTTGTCCTGCTAAATAAAGCATATTTACTTTACATCATCTCCAGCCTCATGTCATCCTGGGTTTCTGCATATTTGGGTCCTAAACCTCCTCAAAACGTGACAGCTTGTGTGTTGCATATGAGAGGATTTGTACGCGTGCGAGTGAAACAGGAAGGCTCTCTGTGTATCTTTTTTGCTAAAAAGACAGAACAGCATTTTTTGTGACTTCGTTTACAAAAATCTGGTTTTAAAACATCGGATTTTAAGATTAAAATGAAACTTTTACGTAGAGAACTCCACTAACCAGAGCTTAAAAGATAAGAGACATTTTAAAACCTGTTTTAAAAACCGGTGGCGTGGAAAGATTCCCAAAAGGACGTTATGACCCCCATACCTTCTGGATGAGTTGGAGGAAGGGTTCTGCTCCTGCAGTTTCGATGGATCTTCTGTCCAAACAGGACCGGTAGAAGTCTTTAGTCTTCTGAACAGCCGAACTTCTTGAGTTCTGGTTGGATTCTAATACACAGATACATTTGTTTTAGCACGTTTGTTTGCTAGCAGCTTTGGCGGAACATTTAACAAAGCGCTTTACAGATTTGAATCATTTGGATGAACGTCTGTCTGGTTTAGGTGAACACCACAGCTTATCCGACCTAGCAAACGGCTCATTTAGTCTTTTGACAAACTTTGTGCTGTTGTGTGACGTGGTCAGGGTCAGGATTAGTCTTCCACAACACAAACTGCAAGTGCAAACAGAACACGGGGATATTGAAATATTGCATGACATTTAAAATACAGTAACTCTCATTTAAACTTTCCACCAACAAACAGCAATAAATCCCTCATTTCTCAACACAAGATGATCTTGGAGGACGTGCTGTATGTTTCCTTTAGTTAATGCAAGACTGAAATATATCCTCATTGAATTGTTGTTTGCTCTATGCCAGGGGTCCTCAATTATTATGGTCCGAGGGCCACGCACAAAAAAGACCTAGAAGCAAGGGGGGGGGGGGGGGGGGGCAGACAGGAAACAAGACCTCCTTTAACTTAAAATGAACCAAAGCATCCTCCCAGTTTCTCTTTAAGCTGAATTTAACATCAGTTTATCTTCATGAAACAAAAGAATAAAGTGGAACAAGAATTTCTATCTTCTATTTCTCTCCTTTTAACTTCTCTGTGTCCCTAAATAAAAGAGACAGATGATCACGCTGCAGCCGCCGTCATCGACCCCGCTCCCTCCCCAAGACCGGACCTCCCGACATCACAGCACTCGGTCTGACTGAGCGCTTCCAGGAGAAACAATAATGAAATGATGAAAATAATGCGTGTTTGGAGGAGCGTCCTCCGATCCTCTCTCTTGTGTGAGCAGATGATCTCTCTCTCTCTCTCTCTCTCTCTCTCTCTCTCTCTCTCTCTCTCTCTCTCTCTCTCTCTCTCTCTCTCTCTCTCTCTCTCTCTCTCTCTCTCTCTCTCTCTCTCTCTCTCTCTCTCTCTCTCTCTCTCTCTCTCTCTCTCTCTCTCTCTCTCTCTCTCTCTCTCTCTCTCTCTCTCTCTCTCTCTCAACATAATTCACGGCCCAAATCCAACAGAACCGGTCGGGCTGATTCGGTTTGGGTTCGGTCTCAGGTTATAACTCCAGCGCTCAGCCCTGCAGTACCACATAAAGTTTTCTACCCGTTGAATGTGGAGAACACCGCTCTGACAGATTTGGATGATGCGCTGGTGCCCGCCGTTAAAATAACAAAACTACATTCCACTATAATGGATTATGGTACTCTTCTGTGATGCAGACTCGTTTAAGCCCGCATCTCATGCATTGATTATTTGATTGTTTTCCTCAGCTCTATCCTACACCTCCCGGTCGGCCGTCGGGGGTGGGGGGTGCGCGCGTAGTTTGGGGGCCACAAAGAGAGGGCTTGCGGGCCGGACGTGGCCCGCGGGCCGCCATTTGCGGACCACTGCTCTATGCTGACTATGTTTCTTCCAGGAGAAGACATAGTCAGGAGTCCTCCTGCATCCACTCTGGGAGGTGATGAGGTGATGCATAGTGTCCATTTGTCCCTGAACACGGTATTAGGAGTAAATCCATCAACAACTACCCTCCGTGTTGCCTTGAATAATCATAATCCTTAAACTTTTCCAGTGTCACATCTTCTGCTTCTTACCTAAAATCTCTCTGACATATTGCAGCAGCACATTTTTTCGACTCAGCATCTTGTCTTCTCTCAGTTTTGCATATGACGTCTCTCCATTTTGTCTCTCCGGCAGCACAAACTTTTCCATCTGGTTTTGTGGATGACCTCGGATGCCCTGACCTCTCTGTCTCCCCCTGTTCTTTTGTAGCAGTCTGCTTGATCCACAGGGGGACATGAAGTAACCACAGGGCTGCGTGAAGGGGTCGGTAGACGTGGACAGGCGAGCTTCAGCCCACCGACATGCTGGAGAGAGACAGGAAGGCACTAAAGAGGCAAATTAAGGGATTTTGGAAAGGAAACGACAGATCTGTGAATTTATTGTCTCATATGGTTGTGTTGCATATTTCTGCCTCTTCCTACCAGCGGCTGCATCTTGTCTATGAAAGTTGTGATGGATGTAGTAGATCAATCCCAGAATTGCAGCCCAGACTGTTAATCCCAACATGAAGAGAAGCACTCTCTGGTGTTTCATCCACGCTGGCTTTTCTTGGTGCTCGTGGCGGGACAGTGGCTCTGGCTGCAGCACAGGCTGGAGTTGGATTTGTTCCTGGAGCTGGTGGGGATCGGTGGTGGGGGGCGGGTGCTGTTTTAGAGGTGTAGGCGCTTTCCCCCTCTCAGGTTCTGATTGTGACAAGAAGTGGAGTGACAGCTGAGGCTGAAAGTTAGAAAAGACAAAGTCATTGAAAAGAAGATACTGCAAACACGGCTTTGTTAATAAAAGATTTGCAGGACTCTGTGAAAAAAACAATTAGCTGGACTGTTAATGTTGCTAGAAACACCATCTAGATTTAGGTTGCGTCAAATTAATAATAATAATAATAATAATAGTAATAATAATAGTAATAATAATAATAATAATGCATTGGGCGCAGTGGTTGGAGCTGTTGCCTTGCAGCAAGAAGGTCCTGGGTTCGCTTCCCGGCCTGGGATCTTTCTGCATGGAGTTTGCATGTTCTCCCTGTGCATGCGTGGGTTCTCTCCGGGTACTCTGGCTTCCTCCCACAGTCCAAAAACATGACTGTTAGGCTGATTGGTCTGTCTAAATTGTCCTTAGGTGTGAGTGTGTGTGTGCATGATTGTTTGTCCTGTGTGTCTCTGTGTTGCCCTGTGATGGACTGGCTCTCTGTCCAGGGTGTACCCCGCCTGATTGCCCGTTGATAGGCACCTGCCTCCCCCCCCCCCCCCCTCCCCCCCTATGACCCTGTGTGGACAAGCGGGTTCAGAAAATGGATGGATGGATGGATAATGCATTGAACATATGTAGCGCATTTTTAGGACACCCAAAGATGCTTTCACACACTCTCACATTGACACACTGCTAGTGATGGTAAGCTACTTTGTAGCCACAGCCGCCCTGGGGAGGTCTGACAGAGGTGAGGCTGCCATTTGGTGCCGTCGGCCCCTCTGACCATCACCAACACAGGCAAGTTGGGTGAAGTGTCTTGCCCAAGGACACAACCGCAGAATACCCCCGGCGGGAGCTGGAATCGATCCCATGAGGCAACCCGCCCTACCTCCTGAGCTACTGCTGCCCCAAATTACTTCAGGTTATAAACGGGTTGGTTTTTTCTTTAGTTTAGCTTTGATTGGGTTGCATTGAATTATTGAAGGTTTTGCAAAGTTGTACCTGTGTCTCGGGGCTGCACAGTGGTGCAGTGGCTATCTTAGTTGCTTTGCAACGGGAAGGTGCAGGGTTTTAATTCTGGCATGAAGTTTACATGGGCCGTTTCTCAATATGCATACTTGTCTGTACTTGTATACTCACGTCCTTGTAGACGTCATCAACTATGGCCCAAGGACTGTTCCAATACTCAGTATGCATCATGGCAAATTTGCACAATGTTCCCAGATGTGTTCTTCATTCTATCAAGGATGCATCAATGCATCCTTCTGCAGACTCGGGACAGCAAAATTGCCCGCACTACATTGAGTTGCAGCCTTTAAGAGGAGAAAGCTAATAACTGTAGAGTTTTATATCAGAAATACCAATAAAGAGCTATGGAGTTGTCTGTTATTGTAAATAATTATGTGTAACCTGTAAAAGTTGCTGTGTGTGTTTTGGTTATACTTTTCATGATCCCTCAAAATGCTAATTAGCTAACTCACTATCAAAATAAAAACAGAGTAGGTCTGTTTTGATAAAAAATTAATAATACAAATAATGTTTTCTTTGTTATCTAAGTAACCAACTAGACTTTTATTTTTAAGTCAGGTCATTTAACCATAGCTAGAAACAAGCAGTGCCTGATGCCATGATGCAACAGAGTACGGTTCTGTTCCAAATGCTGTCCTCGTCCTCCTATACTTGTACGTACTAATTACATTTCAATTCAACTCAGTTTGTTTACAAAGCACAAAATCACAACAAGAATCATCTCAAGGCACTTTCTGAAGTAAACATTCCACTTGAACCTACAGTGCATTGAGTCCAGTCCATTATGCCACTTAGTTAAAAGTTTACTATGTATGGAAACTCAGCAGATTGCATCGAGTCACAGACTTGTTGTGTCAGACTTCCCCAAACTAAGCAAGCATGTAGCGACAGTGGAGAGGAAAACTTCCCTTTAACAGGAAGAAACCTCCTGCAGATCCTGGCTCAGTGTGCGCGGTCATCCGCCACAACTGACTGGGGGTTTGAGCAGATACACTAAAATAAACTGATGAACTAGTAGTAGCACTTTCCATGTTAAAGACAGTAAAAAGATTAAAAAAGATCCAGATCAAATAAGCTCCGAAAACAAAAAAAAAAACAAAAAACAAAAAAAAGACAAATACAAGTCTTTTATAGCCTGGCAAGCCAGACTAAATAAATGTATTATTTAAACTTTGCAAAGCAAGAATTTGGTCTAGTTCACTAGGCTAAGTCTTTTATACAGTGGTTGCTAAATAACCTTTCCTTAAAGTTACAATAGATAGATTTAAAACTTTAAGCTGGAGCTTTAACATTGATCTCAGTGATTGTTGAGTTAGAAACTTGACCATTTTTACATCTGACACAACTCTGCAGCCTTCTGCTGACCAAAAAACAACACTAGATAGTTTTGTGGAGCGGGTAGGTGCCCTAGAAGGCACTCTTTGACTGCTTTACAGTTGTTAGCTGTAATGCTAAATAAGCATTTTAGTTCACTGATTATCAAAGCACAAGAAGAAGGAAAAGAAGTTTGCTTGTACTGTTGGCATCATGACAGAGCCTGGAAGTAAAACTAATAGAGTAGCGTCTTTGGAGGCTAAGCAAATCGCTAAAACCAGAGTGAACATTGGCGCAGCCTACACTAATTTGAGGGAGCTAAAGGAGGCTACAATATCACGAACTGATGGTGACCTGGCTTTGTTGCTACTGGACTTATAAGTAATATTTATTTGTCCAAGGGTGTGGTACTTTTTACTTTGTGGTTTATTTTAGTATTAGTTGGCTCATGTTAGTGTTAGCTTGTCATTAGCGTTACCTACATTAGGCTGCAGCAAGGTTGTTTACGACAGTTGTAATTCTACTTTCAACCAGTTGGGCAGAGGAGCAGGAAACTTCTCTGTGCTACTTTAAAGAGCAAGTCAGCTCCTACCAGTCTTACTCCACTCCCACTTCCTGTTTGAAAAAGGCAACAAATGCGGTTTCCTGGCAGACCGCGAAGGTGGAGTCACTAACAAATGCACACACAAAGGCTCAAAACGACATTGTGACATCATAATGTACCAGCTAACACCATCGAGTACCTCTTAGCCAATAGCGATGGCAGATTTAAAGTCAAATACAGGGCAGAGTTTTTACCTCTGACAGTGTTAGGCAGAATATTTAAATTTTAACTTAGATGCGCTGAAGTGCAAAAATTATTTACTGCACGTGTCTACAGCAAATTAGACACTCATTTATATGGTTTATCAGCAAAGAAAAGTTGATTTGGTGGTGACTTGCCCTTTAACCTTTGAAACAAACCTCCATCAATTATCCCAAAAGCTTCGGGTGAATTTTCTCAGTCAACTAAAAACGTAATTATTCATTTATTCAAATGTTTAGAACATAATTCATCACAACAGTTCTCAAACATAAACCATAAAATGACTAGGAGGTGTTATACTGTGAACTCAGAATCACACAAGCACCACAGCTCATAAACAGCATGAAACACCATTTTATGAGTGAGTAGGCTGGAGAGCTTTTAATAACCGTTCACAGGTCTTTTACGGAGTTGGACCTAAATGAGCAGTTCCAGGACACAAAAACAATCCTAACATTTAATCATCAGCATTCACACCCCAGATTAGAACCCTTCTATAAACAGTATTCATGGATTAGACAATCCAAGAGCTGAGTAACGCACAAAACTCACGGACGCACACATGAACACGATTACTGGGTAGTTTGAAAGTGAAACGTTCCTGAATCATTTTAACATTTGGAGTCTAAATAGTTTGGAGCCTCGTTGTTTTTTAGTTTTTCTGATCGCCAAAATGCTTTCTGTGGATGCGGTTTGAACTTCAAAGCTGCTGCAAATCGTCCAAAAGATTCCCAAAAACTTGAATAATTTGTTGAGCCATCATCAAATTATCTTTGTCTTCAGATTTTTTAATATTTAATCATTATTGCAAAAAATAGATGAAGTTTTTGTCTCTAAACTCCTTAACAGGTGAGTGGACCACCCTCCCTCTCTTTATAATTAACCCTTTAAAATAAATTCCCCTTTATTAACGTTACTTAGTGCATTATTAAGCATCAATAAACCAAGGGTCCATTTATTAACGTCATCAACTATTAGGTGTCCTTAGGGTTAGGACAAAGGGCCAGGAGGGCGTATGCTTCATAATGCATTACACAATATGGCAAAGCAGTTAATACTTTTAATTGTTTATTAATGCTAAATAATGCACTAAGTAACATTAATAAAGAGCTTTATTGCAAAGAGTTTTATTTTTAGATCTTACCTCAAGTTCTGACGTCAGACTCATTTTGTTTGTACGTTGTCTCGTCTCTTCACGTGTTCCTGCTGTCCGTGCATCAAACGGCGATCATCTCTGCTCTGTATCTGTGTGCATCACCCACTTCTTCCCTGATCGGACACTTCTGCAGACATCTTCATGTTGTAGCTAAAGACAGAACTACTGGGTTTTACACTTGCCGCCTCGTGTTTGCAGCCTGAAACGCATTAGGATCAAAGGCACATGCACGGGTGAGGTAACAGCCGACTTGTGCGGGTGAGCTCTTCTTCCTGGAAAGGATCTCCACAAACTGCACACACACATCAACTATCGTCATTATCAGTGCAACGCATGGCTGCTGACGACTGATAGAGCAGCCTGGAGGTCATGGTCTATAGTGTGTCAGTGAGAGTCAGAGAAAACAAGTGTCATGGATGTCAAGGAGAAAACAAACACAACACCTCAGTTATTAGCTTTTTGTCTTTTATTTGATCTTTCATTACAGCCAATAAAGGAAAGACTAAATGATGTTTTGACACATCCGCACGCGTCAAAAGTATAAAAAGAGTTGAAAAGCCAAGGCAGCCACATGTAATACGATTTCCAACGCAACGCCGAGTAAATCCAGCTGTGATCATCATCTTAACGACACGCTGATGCAAAAGACATGAATGCGAGTCGCTGACGCATCACACAAACACACACAAGACAATACTAGAGGAAAGGCATGCACAGCTATCGTTGTTGCTCATTCTGGTGTTTAACTGCACCAGACACCACACAAGAGCAAGATTGACTTCTCTTACTGAGATCTAAGTAAAGAACAGTCAAATAACAAAAAAAATAGATATATATGGAAGTGAAATGTTACAGAGGTCAGGATAACATGGATTATTACAAACATAAAGAAACTCAAGTACAGCTGATGAATAGCGGTATTTGCATTAATAACAAACATGTTTGGACTCTGTTTTAATAATTGCTACACGTAAGTGTTACTTTGCCGTTAATGCAGATTGTTTTTATTTCTTGTAACTTTCATACCTAATATTAGATCTATAAATTATATATTTTTAAAGAGATCGTAAGGAATGCCTAACGCTAGGTTTGTACTTTTTTTTTTAAATACCATCATGTGCAGTCATTTTTTTGGAGTTAAAGTGACAATAGAATACTTTATTTTTATTCAATATGGCACTGTGCAAGGTTAAACTACAGGTCCCGTTTCCAGCCATGCTGCTGATGAGGGATCCCACGGATGGAATCTGTGCTCGACTATTTGTTCGTCATTTTGCATCCAAAAAAATATAATAAAAAATAAAAAAACATGCATCTAAAAATACAACATCTGAATCAGCTTCTCTTTTTTTTTTTTACATAAACAGCTGATTTAGAATGACCAAAGAGGGAACGAGGAGACACGAGGTCAAAGGCATGCCTGTAAATCAAGACGTTCACGTCACAGAAACGAACAGCAACATTCACCGTTTTATTTTGTCCCATCTTTCGTGCGGTTGTAGCTTTAGACGATTCAAATGTAATCAGAGTAAACTGGCTGATGTAAAGCTCCTTCTGGGTAAGAAAGCAGCAAACAACCACATCTGCAGGCACAGCATTAGACAAAGTCTTAATGATATCACCAACCTCCCGCAAAACGAGGTGGTCTCACGCGTTTGATAATTCCGTTTAAACCGTCTGATATCAACGCAAACGAAGGTCTTCACATAGAAATATCTCAGTTCTTGGTCCTGTTAACAATATCTAGGCAAGATACAAAGAAAGGCAACTTTCATCAGATGGCTCTTGTGCAAGTTATGCTGTAATTTTAGCGTAAACATTGATTTGGCACAAATACTATGCTGCTGCAGCACACACACACACACGCACGCGCACACACACACACACATAAAAAAACAAGAGATTGGAGATCTGGAATAATAAATGAAGGGACTTAGTTTGGTACAGAACATTACCTCTGCACTGGATAAAGGAGACGATGAGAAGAGGAATACGCTTGCATCTGCATGCAAACATCTTTTCCACAGCACACACTCTCTCTCTCTCACACACACACACACACACACACACACACACACACACACACACACACACACACACACACACACACACACACACACACACACACACACACACACACACACACACACACACACACACACACACACACACACACACACACACACACACACACACACACACACAGGTTAAAGCCCTGCTGTAAAGGCGAATATGCAGCGGAATGAATCCTGTGCTATTGGTTCTTGATGCAGAATCAGCCAATCACTGTGCAGCCTGCTTGGCTCGCTTGGTGTGGCACTTCATACACAGGATCCTGCCATCCAGCGGGTAACAGCCGTTTTCATCCGCCTCAATGGAGAGAGGCCGAGCGCAGTCCTGCAGAGTGGACAGGATAAACGTGTCAGCGCCTTCTCTCTCTGGGTTCCTATCACCATGTGGAGCACACCGCCCGACGTGTCCATCTCTAGTTGTAAACCCCAGCTGTGTAAACGTCTCACCTCACAGCGGTAACACTTGAGGTGGAAGTTCTTGTCCAGGGCCACCACTCGGACAGTTTCCTCGCTGCCCGGACTTGGAACGATGGGCTCGTTACAGCTCATGCACAGAGGAGAGAAACGCCTGCAAAAGCAGAGGATGCAAGTTAAAATACAACAAAAACTCAAAAATACTAATAACCAGAAATGGGAGGCCACCTGTGGTAATCCTGGACGCAGTAGGGGTTGTTGTTGTCGTCTGTGATGAAGGGCGCCCCCTCCAGTACGCAGGAGCAGGTGCTGCAGCGGAAACAGTGAGCATGGAAACATTGTCCCACCGCCTTCAGCACACGGTCTGTGATTCTCTCCCCACATCGAGAGCACACGGCCAGGGAGCTCTGAGGAGCAGATTTAGACTCATATGAAGATTCAGAGCTGTGGCTGGATTCAGCTTCAGAGTTTTCCGTTCTAGAATTGTTACTTCACACTTTAGAGAGTTGGTGCAGACTATAGAGAGTTCCTCACCGTGTAGCAGTCTTCACACTGAGGGGAGCCGTCCCGGTCGTAGAACTGCATGCCCTGCAGGGGGCGGTGGCAGCTCATGCAGCAGAAGCAGTTGGAGTGGAAGAGTTTATCCATGGCTTTCACTGCTGGCTGAGACCGGGAGAGAGCCTCGCCACACTTCCCACAGACCTCTGAAGGGAGGAAAAACGAGGAGGTTCACAAGGAAATTAAACACAGCAAAGGCATTCATATGTGATTTAACTAGTTCTGATGGTTTTAACCACAGTCAAATGCAGTGGTGCCCCCAGAAAGTTTTCCTGCGGGGGCCAGTGAAACATTTTGAGGGTGGCCCACCAATGATTGTGATTAATAAAACACGCTTGTATAAAGTAACACGTATGTCTGGATTAGAAATGAATAATGGTTTGTGTGGTTTTTTTTCCGGAACTGCGCTGCTCTGGGTGGCTGCATGTTGGAGTAGCTCTGTTGACTATATGTAAGTTTTGCCTTTTCTTGGGCATTTTTTCTTCTAGTTTCTCAAGAAAAACTGTATTTTTTGGACACTTTACTTTTCTGTTACTGGTGCTGTGAAGCTTGGAGGATTTTTACTGCAATTTTTTTAAGCTTTGTTCACTTTTTGAGCATTTGCTATGGTGCGTAACCATGGCAACAAGCTGGTTTACAATCGGGAGCAGCTGATTAACATTGGAAAGGCTGAAATAATAACTCAGCTGAAGCCACAAATCCCAAATGAGCTAAAACGCAAGAAGCGTGGGTGCAGAGCGGGAGCAAAACGGAGAAAGAGAAAGAGGAAATTCAAACCATCTCTTCCATCGATCATAATGGGCAATGTGACATCACTGGCCAACAAGATGGAGGAACACCAAGCCCTTTCAAGGACTCAGCCAGAGTTTCGGCAGTTTCGGAACCGCTGGAGGAGATAATGCAAAGAAGGATTCTCCAGAGAATCAAGAAAATGATGGACAACCCTGAGCATTCTCTTCACAAGACTGTCCGACAACGGAAGAGTGTCTTCAGTCAGAGGCTTCTTCAGTTTGGCTGCAACACTGACCGCTACTGGAGATCCTTCCTGCCAACAGCCATTGTAACATACAACAACTCTTTGATGACTTGATTATTATTATTATTCTGAGCTACTACAGCAATCAATTTCCCTCTGGGATTAATAAAGTATTTTTGAATTGAATTGAACATGAATGTGATTTATGGGAGGTCTTCTCTGGGGTCGCCAAGACGCCAACGTTGTATTTTTGTGGAAGGGGCGCTTCTATTTTAATTATTTGCGGGCGACGGTGGCACAGGAGTTAAGTGCTCGCCCCGTAATCGGAAGGTTGCAAGTTCAAGCCCCGCTCAGTCTGTCGCTGTTGTTGTGTCCTTGGGCAAGGCACTTAACCCACGTTGCCTGCTGGTGGTGGTCGGAGGGACCGGTGGCGCCAGTGCTCGGCAGCCTCGCCTCTGTCAGTGCGCCCCAGGGCAGCTGTGGCTACATCGTAGCTCATCCCCACCAGTGGGTGAATGGGTGAATGACTGATTTTGTTGTAAAGTGCCTTGGGGGGTTCCAGGACTCTAGAAGGGGCTATATCAAATACAGGCTATTTATAATTTGTTTCACTATCCAATCCAATCCAATCCAATTTTATTTATAAAGCGCATTCACAAGGCATTACAACCAAACAAGGCGCTGTACACTAAAAATGTTGGTTAATTAAACAGGCGTTATATAAACATGTCAAACACAGATAAAAGATAAAAAGGAAATACAACAAAATTCCCAAAAATAACAGCTAAAAATCATTAAGACACAGGGTGAAGTAAAAATAGGAAGAAAAAAACATTTTACAAAGAACCTCAATAATACGGAAGTTGATAATTGTGGAGTCAGTTTATAAACAGTGCAGATGTCAGTGATGGTCATAATTATGTTGTATAAGCTAGGTTGAAGTAGTGAGTTTTCAGGCGTGATTTAAAAATGCTAGCTGTTGGTGCTAGCCTCACTAGCAGTGGTAATGCGTTCCACAGCTTCGGTGCACAGACAGAGAAAGCCCTTTCTCCACGGCTTTTTAAACGTGCATTGGGAACAGCTAGGAGGAGCTTATCTTCAGACCTGAGAGCACGCGGCGGGTTGTAGTAATGGACAAGTTCACACAGATATGGAGGAGCTTGATGGTTCAAGGATTTGTAAGTGAGAAGCATAATTTTGAAGTTTATCCTGAACTGCACGGGCAACCAGTGGAGAGATTTCAGAATTGGAGAAATGTGTTTATGAAAGTTCAAAACTCCAGCATCATGAGCAAACCGAAGAGAATCAAAGCCTTCTGCATTCACACGGTACTCTAATCAGCACACGTGTGACGTCTGATGTGTGTGTGTGTGTGTGTGCAGGTTTTACCTGTTGGAGGGGAGGTGATGACAGGTGCTTGTTTGTCCATGTTTTTGATGAAATCATTGGTCATTCTCTCCAGCTCCTCCACCTCCCTCATGTTTAGAGGAACACCTCCACCGGGAATAGGAACTGGGCCGGGAGGTGATGGCTGCTTGCAACAACACAGGAAAACTAATTAGTGACGAGTCTTTCGCTTGCAAACCTAATTTCTGTACATCCCATGTCTTTCTGTGACACACGCCGATTAAAAAGCTGGAAAGTACCGTCGACGCAGGGCTGGTTTTCATTGGCCGAGTAAAGGAGGAGGGTGGGGACACCGTCATCTTGGGTTGAGGAGGAGACACGGCAGCAGAAGGTTTTTGGTTTGCGTTCACTTGACTCCCAAAAGGCGAATTCTTGATGTGATTAGGAGCGGGTGGAGCAGCCACTTTGTTTGGTTGAGCCGGAGGAGCTGCAGGAGGTGGAGGGAATGAGCTGGTGGCTGTTGGAGGGGAAGGTTTTGGCGCCGCCACCGTTGGGGTGGCTGTTTGGTTCAGGTTCTGGTTGATTTTTTGTGCCAAAGAGGCAGATGATGTGGTTGGCCTCCCGCCAAAGCCGGACTTGGGGGACACGGCGGGGGGGTTTGAGATCGGAGCAGAGTTGTTGTTGGGATGTCGGTTTGTTCTGGCTCTGAGTTCCTCTGCCCAGGGCGCCGGAGGGGGGCGGTCTCCCATCTCAGGAGGCGGTAGGAAAGAGACGGCCGGTTTGGGCGCCGTGCGAGGAGGGCCCGGAGGCTTGGGCGCTGGTGCTGATGCAGACTGGCTCGGTAACTGTGGATGAACAATAGCAGGCTTTCAACCAGGGTACACCCTCATTCAGTGGGGGAATACTGTAGCAAACCTTTCATTTACCAGAACCAAACTTCAAAGTCAAAACGCTGCAAGCAGACCCTTTCATTATCTTAAACGGGCCACACTGATTCAGTAAAAACCGGAAGTGCTCCGCAGCCGGAGCTCATCAGAAGCGCTTCGTTTTTCTGACATTTATTTAGCAGTTTTGAGCCGGCGGCATTCTGCTCTGATTCAGCACCTCCCAGTCAGATAAAACGCTCCATTTATGGTTCTTTCACTGCGTCTCTGGCAGCACACTCAGGCCTGATCACACTCTCGTGCTCTCCGCTTGCTTCAGCGTGCATCCCTCTCCCTTTCTGCATGTGTTGCTCTTCACAGTATGAATCACCAACCTGACTTGTTCCGTTCTCTCTTTCCATCTGCTGTGCACTTCACTTCTCATTGACCTCTCGCCCTAAACAGATGAGTGACTTATGAAACTACCTGGCTGCTCTCCAGCCCGCTTCCACCGATCATCCATGCCTTGTTTGTTGCCATTTCTCCTTTCTGCTCTACTCTGAAGCTTTGTAAAAACATTAAACCTGATAGTCGTTTTGTGCAGCACACCTTGGGATTAAAAGGTCCTCTGGTTTCCATCTCAGATAACAAGTCAGTCAGAGAATCCAGCTGTTTATCGAAGCTCGTCTGCTTCTCCATTGATCTCTAGTAAACAAAGACAGGAAAACAACTCATGAAGTAGACTCAAAAACACAAATAAAGCCACTTCTATAGAGCTCAGATGCATTAAGTCATGAATAATAAATAAAAACAAAACAAGGTGGAACTCAGAAGAAAGGAAGTGTTGCGGCTGGACCATTAATGGGGAGCACATGACAGAAACTCGTGTTCTACCCGTGTGCAATAAGCATGAATGCATTATATAGCGAACACCTTAAACACATCAGTAATGGCTGCATGAGAGCGGTGTTGTGTCAAAAACGGTTCCTCTTCCCAGAGAGTGAGCTGCGTAACCCTGGATTTCCACTGCAAGCATAAGCGGCGCGTAAAAGATGCGTTTTATGATAAATGATAAATGACCCGCACTTGTATAGCGCCTCTCAGAGTAAGGACTCCAAAGCGCTTTACACTACAGTGTATCATTCATCCATTCACACACACATTCACACACTGATGGTGAAAAGCTACGATGTAGCCACAGTTGCCCTGGGGCGCACTGACAGAGGCGAGGCGCCACCGGTCCCTCCGACCACCACCAGCAGGCAAGGTGGGTTAAGTGTCTTGCCCAAGGCCGGAGCCGGGATCGAACCCGCAACCTTTCGATTACTAGACAACCCGCTCAACCTTTTGAGCTACTGCTGCCCGGTAGCTCAGTAAGCTCCCTTCCCATCGGAGTTTCTGATGCAAAACGGCAGCAAAAGCATTCCCCACAGCCAGTGGCGGCGCCAGGGGGTGTTATAGCTACTCCTGGATTAGTCATTGCACCCCCAAGTAAAAATTTGATTTCTTTTTTTTTTTTTTTACAATTAAATTTTAATTTAAAGGGGCATTATGGAAGTTTGACAGCTAAAACATGTATAGAAATAATAAATGTCTTCTTCATACATTCTCCTGCAATGCCCTGGTCCTGTAGAATGAGCCCTGGCATTTTTACTGTGATTGCCCGTTTTTCTGTAAAGTCACAGAAAAAGAGAGATGCTCGGGTCGAGCAGGCTGCTTCATGCTCGTTCACGCTCAGGCATAGCCCGTAGCATTTGCTATCCGTAGCTTTAGCAGCAGAGAGAGAGAGGCAGTGCCACTTTGTCGCTGTTCCTAACGCCTAGTGACAAAGCTAGCTACATTTCTGAGAACCCTTAGCTACTTTCTGTAAAACTTTCTTCTAGATATTTCCTGCAAATTAGCAACAAAATAGCCATTTTCGCTCCGAACCGTTCTTTGAACGTTGTTTCAGCTGTTATCAAGGATGTAAATGTTACAGATACGAAAGCCGTTACTGGCGCTTTAGCTCATCTAGTAAGACGACAGACTCCTGTGCAGAAGTCCTAGGTTCAATTCTAGATGTAAACATAGTTTATTTAGAGTTTCTTTTTTACATTAATGGTATATTTTTTTACAGTAAGATGCCCAAATTTTTATTTGAGACTCGCCGAACGGCATTGAATTCACAGGTAAAAAAGATGTGGGTTCAACTTTCATTTTGGAACAATTTTTCAAGCAAGGGAAGGGAATGATCTGAGCATGCAGGAGGACTGACCCATCATAAACCTTTGTCGGCTGTGCTGAAGAGAAAGCTACAGAACCAAATTATTTTTTTAATTAGCTGCACGTTCTCCTGTCCTCTGTCCTCCGGGCCACCCAACCACACCCACACCCACACACAGAGCTGACTGTCTCAGCTGCTATTTTCATTAAGGAGTGTGCACGTACAGCATGCTTGCCTCGTGCACGAGCCTACTATTGAAGCCGCCGTTACGCTTTTGGCCTGAGGGGCAATCGCGGGCATAAAAATTCAAAACTCGTAAAGTCCCTTTAACGTGTGGATGTGATAATATTTAACATAAAAACAAAAATAATCAGTAAATTATCATATAGATAGTAAAAACTTAAACCAAAACAGGAAATTGTTGTTAACCTTTGACCTCATTTTCCACCTGCCAATGAGTGAAAGGTATAGCTAGTGGTAAAATGGATCGGTTTTTGTTGCCCACATTTCCACGGGTTCAGTCAGAAACGAATGAATCTTTGGAAGTGATCTCAGACCCACAAAAACCTACGGATCTGGATGAAGAGAGTCAACCCTCAACCGCCGCAGCAGTCGAGGGTTTTGCCGCTGGAAATGCTAACACTAATGTTAGCTAACCTTGCAACACTATAGATGGTTTTCTGTGTGGCTGTATGTGTTTATGATTTCATGGACAAGTCAGCGATTGTTCATATGTTTATGATGTGTATTAATGATTGTTTCAGGTGTTGTTGAGGCTTTGTGCACGCATGTATATCTGCTAGTGTTGAAGGTGTTCTAGAGAACAATAGGTGCGCATGACCACTCCTTCATAGCACCCTCAATAAAAAGACTGGCTCCTTCATAGCACCTGCAGAAAAACATTTCTGGAGCCGCTTCTGCCCACAGCTAGTCCAGTGAGTTGGTTCAGAACCGTTCCACATCTACTGTTATTAGTGACATTCTAATGAGCTGATGTGTGGGACAAAACCTGAATATCGGCCGTGAAAATCAGCCCAAATAATCCACAGCACACGTCGGCCATAGAAAACCTAATCAGTCGATTTCTAATTGCATCACTGACCTCTGAATAGTGAATGATTTGTGATCCAAAAAGGCCTCAATATTCATGATTTACATTTATTATTTATTTTACCAAATCATATCTAAAAGTGGCAAACCTCTACAATAATACGTTAGAAGCTCAAAATTAGTCAATTTAACTTCAACAAATGATAAAGTGCAGAAAAATGGTCTAAACTGATGGGATTACATATAAATACAGACACATGAAGCAACCCCCCCTCCCCCACACCCCCAAAAAAAGAAATCCATCAGAAGCACTGTAACTCACCTGTGGGGCACCAGCAGCAGTAGGAAAACTGGAGGATGGGAGAGGTGGAGGTGGTGGTGGAGGGGGACAGATGGGAGGACAGGCACTCTCCTCAGGGGGAGCAGGCAGGGGCAGGTCATCTGCTACCGGAGGTGGAGCGGGGAACGAAGGGGGGGCATCAGAGGGTAGGAGGTGGCATACGGGAGGAGGGGCTGGCAAATCATCGTCCATTGGAGGCGGCGGCGGAGGAGGGAATTCTGATGAAGAAATGAGGAATTTGTTAACAATCCCAAAACAAAAGATTAGTTTTTATTCAAGATCGGATATTTCCACTGATCGCTTTTACCATCAGGAATGAGATTAAGAGATTATGACTAAGAAGACCTCGCCACCTTTGTCCCCACATCAGAGGAGCAGCTTAATTATTTTTGAATTTTTGTTCTTGTGTTCATGATTTTTATCTTGAGAGGCACTTTATAAAAGATGGTTTCTTTTGTAGGAACTTCCCTGGCTGCTAGCAGAACCTTCTGTGATGTAATGCCATGGCAGCGGTTACAGACGATGTAAGCAGCGTTGGGGAGAATACTTTGTAAATGTATTTAGTTACAGAATACTTGTATTCTAAATGTATTCTGTATAATGTATGTATGTAAATGTATTCTGTATAAATGTATTCTGTAATGTATTCGGTTACTTTGTTTAATCTTGGTACTGTATTCAGAATACTTAGAATACTTTCCCATAAAAACAGCATTTAGGTCTATTAAATGTCACAATATGTGTTGACAGCTACTCCCGCAGGAAAGCAGGGCATATTAATGCTAAATGTCATGTACCGACTGGGAAAAAAATAAAAAGATAAAATTATTTTTGCTACTTTATTTATCAAACAGTCAATAGAAAACATATTTCTGTTTCTGTGAGAAAGTGCTTGAACATTGCACAGCATTGCTGTCTGTAAGAAAATGTAATCTAGACAAAACGCTTCAAAAGAATTGGGACTGGCCAATCACAGCTCATTAGAAAAAACTATGTATTATTTTTATTATTTTATGTGTTTAGTAGTTTTTCCAAGATGGAATGGCGGACTGCCTCATTGACAGACATCCAAAGCAGTCCAATCACAGCGCTCTATACGTTTGATGGGCCAATCATAGCACTCTGTGTGCCAAATGAGCGGGATGTACCTGCAAGTTAGATAACCAAGGTGGCCGCTGCTCCGTTGTGGTTCAATCACAGCGTTGTTTTGGTTTGGTGGGCCAATCACAGCACTCTGTTTGTGGACGGGATGTTACGGATATAAAGATAGCGGTGGATCGTTTGAAATGGCTTTGGCATCAACTTTGGACTATTTTTGACTTGGGGTTTTCTTTGAGTCAAGGGGAGGTGGATGGAGGTACTTAAGTTTCCTTCGAAAAGGACGTATTTGCATCTTTTTTGACGGAGTAGGGCGGACCGCATCGTTGACTTGACATCCATAGCGGTGAGTACATCTGGATGTTTGGTATCCAATAACATGCGGAGAAAGACCGTAGATCCCACCCCGCGCTTACAGCAGAGACTAGAAAGAGAGCAGAGAGCCGTCAATGGACCGTACACACTGCCCGCCAATTTCTTTTATTTATTGAACTTTTTTATTTCATCTTTCGGGTGAAAAGTACACAAGTATTCCAATGATATTACAAAAGTAACTGTATTCTAAATACCACGTTTAAAAATAGTAACTGTACTGGAATACAGTTACTCATAATTAGTATTCTAAATACGTAATGGCGGTACTAGTATTCCGGTACTCCACAACACTGGATGTAAGCGTGCAACAACGGGCTCATGTTTATCTCTACAGGGATGGATGGAAGGCATGACTGCTGCACCAGAGACCACCATGACAAAAATAAACTGATCAGCTTCTGAACAGGAAGGGATTAAGCCTAGTTTACGCTTCTGTGTTAGCTCCACAAGAGAGATGCACACACACTGATGAAGATGCTTTGCCTTCAGATTTCTCCGTCACCTTGGGAATATTGCAGAGCAATTCTTCGCCAGGACAACAGAGGGTGTAGCACTTTTCTGGGGTACCCTGTCATGCATCCGGTCCAAGATAGTGCATTTACTATTGTTTATTATATTGTGTTTTTTGTTTTTCAGAGATTTTTTTTAACAGGGACACATTTATCCCTCATTCTCCTCCACCTCTTCATGCGCTCGCCACCTCTAAACCCACACTTCTCATCATTTTCAACCACAAACAAAATGCTTGCTGCACTCCATTTGTTTTAGGGCGCAGTGGTGATGCTGTTGGCAAATTTAAAAGGAAGGAACGTCCTGACCAATCACAAGCTTGCGTTCTCTGTCCCATTTCACGGATGTTTAGAAAAGTAGGCTCGACCCCGTCCATCCTTGCGAACCTGTCGGAGAGCCCTAGCAACTACGGATAACAGCGTTGTGTGCCTCTGTACCGACGCAGACGCAAAAACTAGACTGAACAAAATAATATTGACTTTTCTTTCTAACAAATGCTGGTGAAGGTTCTCAGCCATCCAAGTCGTGGTAATCCAAAGTGGTTCTGGGAAAAAAATGAAAATTTGTCCTGGTATTAAATGTTGCCCGATGCCCAACCCCACCTAGAATCTTCTGGTGCTGATCAGTAACAGATCTGGCAACAATCAAACTCACAGAACAGGAGAGAGAAAATGAGTCGTGCGTTTTGAAAATGGGCTGCAGTACCCGAATTTGACCACAGGATGTACTTACGTAATTTCTACTTAATGCACCTTTAAAATGTCTCGACAAGTATAAGAGGATGCAGAATGAAAAAAGTAGGTTGAATAATGGAATTACCATCACAGACAGAAGAGGGTGGTGGAGGCAGGTCCCCCACTCGACCAATAACAGCTGTGCCCAGAGGTGTTGGTGACGGAGCGGTGGGTGGGGTCTGGCTTTTGGGCTTTGGTGGTGCCACAGAAGAAAACTTCTTAGGCTGGTTGTAGAAGGACGGCGTGGTGACTTTGAAGTTCAAAGACGACGTCACCACATATGGCTTGTTGTTGCTGGAGTCCTCCATATTTTGGATTTATCTGAAAAAAAGAGGAAAAAAAAATGACCTCAAGTCATCATCCACGAGAGGCTGTGGAGGTAAAAAAAATAGGCAGCAGGCTGCTGGTTATTCCAAACTGTCAGGATTCCTGTTCACACACCAACTATTAACGTAACACGTGTCAGCTGACTCCAGTCAAAAGAGTTTGCATTCCTTGGCAAAATTAGCGCTTCAGGGTTCAGGGAAATCGGTGGTGGTGACACATCAATGAAACATTTGGCCTGCAAACCGCACTGTAATTAAAACCAGCTTTAGAGGTTGCAAATAAAAAAAACCTTGAAAAGTGAAAGAGAATCTGTGATACTGTCAAATTAATAATTACCAATCCTAATTTATAACCTGAAGTGCAAGTGTCACAATATTTACTCTAGCTTGTTGTTTGTCTCATTTCTTTCGGAACAGCCCTGATTTTAACACGAGGCATAATTAAAACAAACATGTTGAAGGAAGTTTGCAAATGTGAGTTAAACGGGAAAAAAAGCTTGAGCAAGACGGGGAGGAAAAAGTGTGAAACGATCTTTAATCCACGTCTGCAGAGCCGACAGAAGAGACAACACAAAACGCCTTTATGCCAAAGACAATTTACAATACGCAACACTGAGCCCTTTACAGTCTCATAAATCACAACAAGATTTGTAGAAGAACAACCACTTTCCACCAGGGATGAGAGCAACCAACAATCATCACACTTGCAACGGAGCTGCGTCAAAAAGAAGTGGAGCTAAAAATATTTGACTTTATACTCCCTAAACAAATGTTACTGTACATCACTGGACCCAAGTGCAAACTTCAGCGATTCTTCCCACAACCTCTCAAACTAATGCTTCTCTACCAGACATCTGCTTACAAACCAGCTGCCTTTAATACCATAGTTAAATATTAAATCATAATAATTACTGTATAATTTTATAAACTACAACCGTTGAGAAAAAAGGAACCTAAAGGCTTTGAACGTCTTTGACAGGCAGGCATCATCATGCAGTTGTGGCGTACCCAAAGGCCAGTATTTACATCACCAATGACCACAAATTAAGTTTTTAAATCCCATCTGCCTGGCCTCCAAACAAGAAAGCACTACACAAGGCCTTGTCACCAGACAAAGGAGACATAATAATTCCTAGCCACCTTATCTTGGCTGGAACAAAAGTCATGCAGAAAATGAGACTGTCTGCACTCTGAATAAAGTTAATCTTCCTTGAATCATAAATGGCTTTTGAAAACGTGATAACTGCATTAAGTGTCATACAATCATCTCTTGTTAAATCCCAAAGTGTTGGAATAATCTGTGCGTTAATCAATGATGTGTTAAAATTAATATTTTTCCTGCAATGATTCATGTCAGATCTTAAACTACACCAGATCAGTAACTGTTGATTTAACAAATTAATTTATCAGTATACTCATACATCATAAGAATAGTTTATGCAGATGCCTTCAGTATCAGGACCGGCTAGACTTTCAGCAACAGTGCACTTAAACCCATGATAAGAGTCCCCGACGAGTGTTGTAGACTGTGATTAGTTCTTGTAATTGAAGCAGTGAAGCCTCTTTGTTGCTAAAAGAAAATAGTCTTAATTATTCAACATGGTTGATAAGTTGTGGTTAGGTTTTGTGTTTCCCTTGATGCAGTCCAGAGGGACAGTGTGGTGAGATCAGTTCAGCACTCAGCTCCAGACCTTTTACAACAAATCCATCCTGAAACACGAAACCGTCTGCTGAGGAACATTTTTGGCACAGCAACTCGGTGACATCACCTTTACTTTTCCGTTGCTTTCTCCCATTTAATCAACTCCCTCAACGCATCTTTGCAGCTTTCCTGTTATTTTTACCTCTTCAATGAGGAGGAACCGTCATTCTGACAGGCGTTCACAACCAGAGGTAGAAATTAACGTTCTGTGGCAAGAGCACAACAGCGTCTTCAGCCTCTCATTCAACCCTGGCCCACAATTTTTAAGTGGATGACATCACTGGAGGCTGCATTTAATCATTTCTGCTGTACAGCTGTGATGGGGGATGGCTTCATGCAGCTCTTTGTAAGGGCCCCACCATAAGTCAACCCATGTACCAAACACAGCTGCATATGACCACAGTTTAGACACTAGAGTTAAAAATTAGGACCCAACAGGTTTTTATTCCATTGTTTTACTAAAACACACCAAAAAGATAAACGTGAGAAGGGTTGAGGAAATCATCATGTTAGCTGCAGGATCAATGTCAAGAATAATGGGAAAATCTTTCGAAGAAAGGAAAGGAAGGTCCCGTGACTTGGCTTTTCCTACACAAACACTTCCAGGTGAAAAAAAATGGATAGGACCCCCGACGAAACAAGGTAAAAGGAAGATTTTGACATTGCCACCAGTTTTCTTTATGTAAAAGGTTATAAACTATCATTTGTTTCACATTGTAAATAGCTGCCTGAATGGCCTCAGTTTGGAGAAAGTTTACACTGGACAGGAATGATAAGCTAACTGCTAGTTTGAAAGCAGTCAAGACCACGGTGGAATGTAAGGCCGGGAATATATGTGCTTTTTAACCTGGTGTTGACGCTGGAGGACAGCTGCGTCCTGTTCACATACTTGCTGCTACACTGCACATAGTACTGGAGTAGTCCACTAGGGGGCACAATACGAAACGCAGACCAGATAAAGTTCTAGGTTTGTAGGGTACAACCCCCCAAAAAACATGGCGTCAATAGAACACCGCATTAATTTCAGAGGACGCGCACAAACAAGGCTTTAAACAGGACACAAATTACGAGAGGCAGCCATGATAAACACACATATGTGACTAGGGTTGTCACGGTAACAGGTGTAGCGGTAAACCCTGGTAAAAAAAGTTGACAATAATAACAACCGTCTTGTTTTAAAAAAAACTATATTATCTCGGTGGATTACCGTGGCTGCGGTGTAGGCGCGGTGACCCTTACCAGCCACCGTATCATCTGCTGAAGTTGCCGGCGGCACATGCGCACTTTGTTGTTTACAACCAAAACTTTCTTGAAGCTAAAGCTGAAATAATGGCTAAAGGAGGAGACGGCAGCGCTCAGGAGGACATTTTTTATCCCCCAAAGAAGACAAAGTGGGAAGTACGGGCATTTTTGGATATTTGAAGAATGCCGAGGCACAGTTGATAGAAGACGGCTATCCTGTTTGCAGCACGTGCAGAAAAAGTGTCTGTGAAAGGCAGCAACACTTCAAATCTCATGACACATCTGCGTGACCATCACCCACAACTCTACAGTCAACGCAAGGCAAGCTAACGTTAGCGTTTTAGCTCAAATGTGTGATCCGAGGATTTGGGTTGAGGGAGAATGCAACGAGTCGCTATATAAAGCAGCCGCAGCACCGCTACCTGCATATAAACCGTGTCGCGGACACCCCCGTGTTGAAATGACGCTATGCATTACGGGACTCCCAGGGGCAGATAAGAGTTGGTCTCTCTCCGAGAATAATTATGAATTTAACAATGATTACTGCCTGATGACATTTTCCCAGATCTGCAAAGCTCACTGGAAGGACACAAACCGAGGACAATATTTTCCTGATATAGGTTTTATTACTCAAGTAAGGGTAAAAAAGTATCTGATTAGAAGGCTACTTGAGTACTGAGTATCATCTGATCTAATATTTTTAAAATGATGACATCAAACAGACAAAAAATAAGTTATGGGCAAATATTGGTATTTTAAAGACTAAAGGGAAAAAATGTAAACAAATAAACAACATAATTACAAAATAACACATTTTAGGCAAAACTGTGCAGTTAAAAAAATTTAAATCATATTAATGTGATTCAGTATTTAAGATTTGAGCCATTGTAAGATGGCAGCAATACACTTTGGTTGAGCTAGCTATTAGCTAGTCAATTCTTAAGGATGTAAACGTTGTTTCTCTGAACTGAGGCTGGTCATAGAAGCAGTCTACATTTTTTTAACAGAAGACAGTTTATTCATTTTTTTCCTTCATTTAATGTCTGTGTTGATACATCAACTCAACTGTGCCCAGTAAGTTTGTCAAGAGTTGTTCCTCTTTTCACAGCGCTTCTTCCGTTGACTCTGGCTCATATGGATATCCTCTTATCTTCCCATGAAAAAGGCCTGCTTTTTGTTTTATAGCCACTCACTTCACTGTCTGTAGCTGGCATTTTTAGGATTAGACTCGTCACAAGTCACGGCCAATTATTGTTGGCACAGCTGTATGGCTGAGGGAATGGTGGCAATTTAAAAAATAAAGTAAAGTGGTGTGACAGAGTCAAACCAAGTACAAGGATCAAGTTTACCTCATGCATGTGCAAACTACATTTTAGAAGATCCAAAACAAAAATTATTAAAATTAGTTTAGTAGAAAATAAAATGTCTAAAACACCATCTTAGTGTTTCTGTCTTCTGACGTAAAATTACTCACAGAACAACCTTCATTTCTGACCCGCATTTCTAGTTATTCCTTCCAGTATCATTAACTAGTGAGCTGTTGATAAGACTCTCCATTGTTTTGACGTAAGTAGCACACCCAGTTTCTGGGAAAGCATGTCTGGGCCAGGGGTCACTAATGCGGAGACAAACAACCCTTGAGTCCAATCTTACAGGTCACTGGGTCTGCGATGTGCGCCGGCGTTGTTTTCTCACTCATTGAACAGACAGCATCTCGAAACCTGTAACATCATCCGAGGGACTCGGTGCCAGAGACACCCCCACCTCCCCCCAAACGGCCTGGTCTGCTTCCAGAAACCGAATAATTCAAAAGCACTAGTCGAGAAGAGCTTTGAGCCAAATGGATGCACCGAAATCACGTTTTGACTCATGAAGGCTGCAATTAGGACAGATAGTCATCCATCCCTCTTTTAAAGACCAAGTTCACAGTTATTTTTTAAATATGATCAGTCGCTCTAAATTTAACATGCAGGTTAAATGTGAAAATAGCCTGCTACCCCTACATTCTGCATTAGCTGCAGATAGACAAAATACTTGGAAATGCTCTGCTTGGAAAAGGCAGTCAGATCTACGTCACAGTGGAAGTTAGCATCATGGCCTCTGCCATCTTGGCTCACAGCGGTGAAGGCTGTTGATTTAGCATCCAGGAGAGAGCAGAGCATGTCTGCTAGTAGAAGCTAACTGTTAGCATTAACGACTCCACAACGTGGCAGAACTATTCAGGCTTGTGTTATTTGTGGAGAAAAATCATCAATGTCGCAAGGTAAATGGAGTCAAGTTGAGTTGCTGTTAGCCAATCAGAAGCAAGATGTCTGAATATCAGGAAATAAGACTCCAAATCCTGTCGTCTTCTGCTCCCCACTCCTCTGGCTCAATTCTACTTCCTGAAACAGAAGTCTCAGAAATTTTTCCTCACAGAGACAGACTCACAAGGCATTCATTTATACCAGAGACTTATGCAGATTAAAAAATAAGTGAACTTGGTCTTTAAAGATTGCATTTGGCTTAACAATTTACACATACTTCAGAACAAAATCCACTTAATTCAATGCATCTCTTATGTAATCCTCCCCTAAAATTTGAGAAGTCCTCTGACAAAACTGATAAAATTCCCTCTAAGCTCCAAATTGTTCTTGCAAAAGCCCCCCCCCCCCCCAAAATCTTTAATAAAGATGGTTGCAGCTGATTCATGGAAACCTGCTTAGCAGCACTGAGTTGAACCATTTGGACATAACTAACTTTTTATATTGGTAGATCTGACTAAAATCCACTATGAGCATCTAATTATGCGATTTGCCAATCAGGAGCCAAGACAAAGCCAAGAACCTATGATTTTACCAAAAACAACGCAAAACTTTTTTTCTGATTGCACCTATCAGAGAGTTTTTATTTATTTTTTCTTTTTACCTTTACAGTTTCTACTGCTCCAAAACATCTGATCACCCTGTCCACGGAGGAGAGGGAGGACCCCTGAGAGGCCTCCACGTCAGTCATGTGGACACACCAGGAGCGTAAAACGTGCCACCTGCATCCAGATGTTGCTGCTCGAACAAGCCCTGGCATTTTATCAGCTTTAGCAAACATTTCTAACCAGAACGCGGACAGAAAAATGTTGACGTCACACATATCACGGATGTTTTCGTGGCTCTAGTAACACAGAAAACGCATACAGCCGGTCACTGATGATGAGCAAGGCTAGCGCTGCGTACCAAATGTTTTAACCAGTTAGCCTTTAATGCGAATTAAAACGTATTCGGCACGACTTACAGCAAGGTTAGCCTTCACCGTTAAAATGGGTTATTAAATGGGACAATTTTACCAACGCGTGAAGAGCAAAGTGACACTCACCTCCACACCTCCGAAACCTTTGATTCTCTCCAGGGTGTGAGGTTAGCTGCGGTGTTGTGCCGAAAAACGCATCCCTTCCGGAAAAGCACTCCTCATGCGGAAAGCAAGCGGGCGAACTTCTTTAAATTTGATTGCCACGGTTAAATTTTGATAAGTATTTGGGTTTTAAAAATAGATTAGCTACTACAATATACGCATTAACTGATTATTTATTTCTTGGCATTGTTGTCGAAATAATTCAAAATTCGTCATAGTTTACCACAAAAACTAATTTAAACTACATAATTATCAAATAAACCATTAGAGGGTTATAAAACGTTAAATCAAATTGTGAATTTGAGATACAAGTTAAAAATAGTTGTCTTGATGTTCACTTCCGGTGTGAAGGGGTGCTTTGCGCAGCAGAGGTACGTTTATCAGCTCAACACCGGTTCGGACCTCTTGCTCAATGGTCACACCTCGCACACATTCCGCGGCGTGTTACACGTATCAGTCAGAGGATTTCGAGTTAACGCCTCCTCTTTTCTCCTTACCCGATACACGAACAGTCTCTGGCTTCTCTTAACTACGCTGTCAACTTTAATAACCCACCTTCTTCGTGAAGAATCGCGCCCACTTGCGCCGCTAGCCGCCTAGCTTTATCAACTTTTCAGCTGGACTTCCTGTTGGAGCTTCCGCATAGCCATGCCTTATCGTCGGTGTCCTTCAGCCGGTGGGACGTTGTTCATGAGATTCGTTCATAATCTCTAACCCACCTCCACCTATACGAGTTTACTGTAAATCCTGCCTTGGGGCAGATCTAGCAGCCTGTCACACGACAGGAAAATCTTGCACCATCATGACACAGACAAAAGACTTTTACCTTATTAGGTATTAGCTGCCTTATCCGCCACATGTGAAGCCAACGCATTGTTTATAATCTGATTAACAGAAACTCTTACCTTGTTCCAGCTGCAGTAAAAATGTCCCCTTTACTTCCTCCTCTTCCTTTTGTTCGTTTTCTCTTCTTGGTCCAAATGAGTAACTTCTCTGTGTCTCTTCCTCCCTCCCTCCCCATCTATTAGACCCTCCCCCCCTGGTTTTGAGCCTGGAAAAGGAATGACACCATCCTCCCAAACAAGTTCCTTCTCGTTCGACTTTGGTTTTGGACTTGTGTGTTTTCTACATAAACAGCACCCTTCTCTCCTTTGTCCCTGCCCCCATTTCTGTATATGTGCTCATAAATGGTTCAGTCAGACTCCTCCTCTCCTCCTGCTTGGATTCTTGCAGCATTCTTCTTCCAGTGACATCAACCCTGTTGCCTCTCCATGTAAGGTCAGGCTGAAGGAGTGAGGGAACCAGAGAGGGAAGAGATAATGGAGCTTGATTAGATGAAGACACACAAAGCGGTCATGGGTTTCAAAGAAAGGAGGCAGTGGCTCAAAAAGTATGTTCCACTCAAACAGGATTACTGAAAACTCAGTAATGCCTGTGAAGACTTTTACCTGTGAATATTTGCCTCTCACCAAGAAATCTGACAGTTTTTTCTAAGCTCATCATTTCAGTAAGGATGTGGCTTTCTCCAGCTCAGTTTGGTGCCGACACTTTGCGCCCTGTTTTATAAAATGTAGTGTTAAAAATAAATGTTTTTGCTCAATTACTGGAATTTCTTTGGTTAAGACAAAAAAGTGAGGAATAATCATTTACAAGTTATTTGTACAACAGGAACATTTTAAATCCCAACAGTTTCTTAGCAGCCAATAGAAATGTGTTCTTTACTAACTACTTGGTTTAAAAATCTTACTAAAATAAACAGAGTGCTGTATTTCAAAACCCAATCATAATTGTTATGTAAACATTAGCTTTGTTGATATTTCTTACAGGTCTATATTTGTGTGCAACAAAAACCAAACTTAAATAATTTGTCATTCTTTATTGAAAAACAATAAAATACAGTTACAGTAATCCCTCGCTACTTCGCGGTTCGTTCATCGCAGATTCGCTGCTTCGCGGATTTTTTCTTTGGAGCATTTTTCAGGGGGAATTCGCAGTATTTTTCACTGATTCGCGGTATTTTTCTATGCGAAATATCAAGAAATTCTTGTTTTTTTTTCATCAATTTCATCATAAAATTAACTTTTTGTAATAAAACTAAAAAAACCAAGTAACATTTTTTTTTTCTTGAGTTTTACCCACAAAAACAGAATGTGATCATACGATAATTCAATATAGTACTGTATGTCAGACAGGTCGGCTGGATTTGGGAGTTGAGCTTGTAGGGAGCGTGGTTTCACAGACGCGGAAGTGATAGCGTCTGTGAAACACCGGCTGATTTAGGAAACCCCCGAGCGTTCGAGCGTCAACGAAGTGACACGGAAATGCCGGGCTTTCCAGAAATAAGTAAGATAACTTACTATGAGCTGATAGTTCGTTGGATTGATCGGTAGGTTGGAAACTCTGATCATGAATCTGAAGAAACGATGACTGAGTGGTGAGCTGGAAAGGCGACTTCCGTTTATAGCCGCGGTTTGTGACGTAGGTGCGACGTGGAGGGAATCCCCGCGAGGGGCATGCTGGGAGTCCCTACTTCGTGGATTTTCACCTATCACGGCCAGGTCTGGAACGCATCTACCGCGATAAACGAGGGATTACTGTATACAGAAAGTGTGGGAAAATGATCATGTGAAAGTATTGCTCTTTAAATGAAGAAAAGAAAAACTCTAAAAATGTCCTGTACAGCAACATGACAGAAGAATGGTGGTCTGTCTGTCAGAATGTGCTGAACAGATTTGCTCTATCAAGAGGAGCCTTAATGTGTATGAGGTTCCCCTTGAGTAATATTGGTTTGGGTTATGTATCGCCACATCAGCATGTAAATGCTGAACCAATCTGGAATAAAGACTGCTGATAGAGGATAAACAAGTAAATAAGAGAAAAATTAATACAACTAGGAAACCAACATAAAAACAGCAACCAGCAGCTGCACCTGTGAAGAAACATTTCTAAGAGTCATCAAGAAAACGTGGGATGAACAACTATAAACATGTAAAGCATGAACCACAAACATGAACAACAAACATCGACAAGCATGTGTTCGTGCGTGTGCTGGGATGTGAAGTGTTACCCCGGGTTTCCACGGGAGCCGTCAGCAGCGCGTTACTGCAGCAGCACGTCTTGCTCGCATAAGCTGCTGCTTGGCCCTTCCCACGAGACGCGAAGCAGCAGGGGAGCAGCTGTCACCGACCGAGCACGAAGTCACACGAGTGACTTCGTCAGTAAACACAACAACAAGCAGGAGAAAACTACAACATGGTTTGTGTTTTATGTTCTGTCCGTTTCATAGTCGCCAATACGGACCTGAAAAACAAAGGAGACCGCTAGCTAGATGATAACTTCTCACGGGGACGCACAGTTAGTAAACTTTTTTAAAAGTAAAACAACCGGAAGGCAGTACGTTCTTTATTCTGAAAATCTCGGGAGCTTCTCTCCATTTCCGCATCCGATTTCCTGTCTTTCCTTCCCCAAAAATGTCGAACTTGACCCGTTTCAGAGGCGTCGCGCGTAGGAAATAGAACCGGCGCGTAAAGGCCGTGACATGCTGCTCCTGAGACGCGGCCGACTCGCGCTGCTGACGGCTCCAGTGGAAAAGGTTCTGTTGACCATAGCGGTTCCTATCAGCAGCTATGACGTGCTGCTGACGGCTCCGGTGGAAAGCCGGGGTTAGACTGGATCAGGTGCACTCTGGAACGGCCACAAGCACCAGAAAACCTTGCTACAGAGAACTCAGCTATGCCACGTTCAGAACCGGGCTGACACAGATCATGGGCCACATGGCACAGGAATCACACAGCATTTCCACCTGACAGAATCATTAAAATTAGAATCAAATAAAACAGTTGTTCAGTATGACGTCAAAAGGATTTTTAAAGAAGGCAATTGGACTTCTTTGGTTTCATGAATATAGGAGGGTTGATCTTAAGCCTGATTCATGCTTCTCCTGCGTCAGTGCGGAGACACGCAACTCCATTATCCGTCCTTGCGTAGGGCCCCAGCAGGCACGCAAGTACGCACTGAGTCGAGCCCACATTTTTAAACATCTGTTTAACGAGACGGACAGTGCAAGCTTGTGATTGGTCAGGATGCCGTTGTCGTCTACAGCGCCGCCATTGCGCACTCAAAAACAAAGAGCCGAGGATAACTAGCAACAGACACGGAGAAACTTGAAGAACACCTCGCAAAAACCTCTAAAAACATGAACGTGTTTATTTCCCGTGACTGGAGGAGTGAAACGATCCACAGCAAGCGTTTAATTTGTAGACAGAAATGACAGGAATCATGGGTTTGGAGGTGGCGAGCCCGTGAAGAGGTGTAGGAGAATGAGACAAATTTGTCTGTTAAAAAGTCTGTTATGTACAAAAAACACAATATCATCACACTATTTTGGACCGATACATGACAGGATACCACAGAACAGCTCTCCGCCCTCTGCTGTCCGGTCCGGGAATTGCTTTGCAACACTCCCCAGGAGACGGAGAAGTATGAGAGCTAAACGTCTCCGTCCGTGCGTGCGTGCCTCTCCCTGTTGGAGCTGACAGAGAAGCATGAATCAGGCTTTACTGTAGCTGTCAATTGTTGCTTGATAAGCAGAAACTGTCACCTTCAAAACACCTCCTCTGCACAGGTGTTTCTTTGTAATTAGGAACAGGAATAAAGTTATAGAGGTCAGCAGGTAAAAGATCAGCTTAAATTAATTTCACCATTAGAACAAAGGATGTTGTGTAGGCGTGAGATCACCAAAGATGATAGGGTCTTTTAAATCTTACTTTCAGATAAGCTGATGACGTTCAGCAGCTGAAACGGGGTGAACTGGCAGGAACTCCACCGCAGAGAGAAAATGAGTACCTGCTAGGAACAAAATAGAACAAACAAACCAAAACCCCCATACTGCTGGGATTCAACAATACAGCTTATCTATGCAATAACATATCAAAATGATTTTAGTTTTAAGATATTTTATGTTTTTTTTCAATGTAACATCAACCTATCAAGAAATTTGTCATCAAATATATCTCAGAAAACTGAGAAGGTTGCATATGCATTTTGCATGTTGTAACTTTTACTCTGAACTTTATCAAGTGTTCACTTACATAAATGTTAGAATATCACCTTAGGTCCCGTTCATGCAGACTCTAAGGGATAGATAGGAACATATATGTAACAGTAAATGAAACAGTGCCTGACTGTTTAAAAGTCCATTTACAACTTAGTGAAGCATCCTGTATGTTGGGGTCAAACTTCAAGGATAAAGAGCTTCGTCAGTGTATACTTAGGCCCCGTTCATGCAGGCTCTAAGTAACATTTAAAAGGATGTCCAATAAAAGGAAGCCTCTTCATATGTTATGTTCTGTCTGCAAATATCAGAAAAATGTTCATGGTCACAACTTCTGACAAGCACATAACAAAATGTACAGACAGACTAAAAGTTATGACGAGGACAGCTTTTCTCTAATCTCCATAAAAATGGATTAATTTGTGAGCTTCTTGCGGACAGTTTTGCCTTCTTTTATCCGGTCCGTCTCCTGCCGTGCTACATGATTTAATCTAATTTTGCAGTACCACGCTGAAGCCATCTTTACAAGCACATGGACATGATTACTTTCTTCTGAAGAATTTTGGTGACACTTTTCAAAGAAGAAATTCTTGCCTTCAGTCTCCTTGTCTTCCAGGATTGCAATCTAAGCTTTTTCTGAACTACGCATACCTTTTCATTTGCCGACAGAACTCTCCTTTTAAGCGTTTTGGGAGACTCTGTGATCTGATAGCAATGGTCACTCAGGATGCTATTTGGCTGTAATGGCACAGCGTTAAACTGACCAGAGTCTGAGTCATTCTGGTGTTGAACACTGTGACCAGAATGAGCAGTATCACACTCAACTGCTTGCAGAGGAATGGCATCATGTGTTACATTTTGAGTAACAAAGACCTCGAGGTGACTCCACACATCAATATATTGCTCAGATCAACACCAACTTTTATGTACACCTGCATCTACATCTGCAACCTTCTCAAAACTTACCGTGTCATTCCTACTTACCTGTTCTTCCCTTCTTGGAACAGGTTTTTTGACCTTAAAGGACGAGAAGATTGTAGGTACGGCTGTGTCCTTCAGGCAAACTCTCCCCTACAATAAAAAAAACATAATTACTTAATTAAAAAAAAGAGATTCACATATACACACATCAGACAAGGTCAGCTTCTGAAGAACACACTGGTACACCAGAGCACTGTGTGTGTGTGAGTGAATGTGCTTGCATGTGTGTGTGTGTGTGTGTAAAAGGCATGTGTAGTGTTTGTGGTTTATAACGCATATGTTGTTGGATTTTATCCAGAATCGAGACTTTGAAAATATATAGTTTAATTACAGTTTGATTTATTTGACATCTGTATGTTTATTATTTTGTTTTTTTCCCCCTAAATGCCTAACGTTTTAGTTTAACATGAATATTTGTCATTCATCCCAATACATAAAGTTACACATTAAAGACTGTCCAAAAATTTAATTGTTTCTCTGAGAAATTAACCATAGAATTAGATGGAAATTAATAACATGATTGTTTCCCATCTAAACAGCCCTAGTCACAGACAATTCAAGGGTGGGGAAGATTTTCTTCTAGTTACACAGCAATGTAACGTCGGTATGTTATACAGCTAATGCTTCAATTTTTTAAATCTCAACCAAAATATGAAGTAATGTGTTTGTACCCTGGAGTCCGTGGTGAAGTGATGACTCTCAAAGTGTTCACTGCACAAGCGGGAGAATGAATTGGGAGTCCAGCACTCTCTTCTTTGGTTGCTCACCCAAAGGTCAAGCCTCGCTGGATCACCTAGAGGAAAACTTCATACAAACAACTAATTAAGTATATGGCTTTAAAATACTTACCGGAAATTACTGACTGGAGCGTACTGCAATATAAGCCTCACTCCCCCCAAAAAAGAGCGAGTTTATCTGATGGCATACAGACTTCTAACATCAAGCACTATCTACCAACTCACCGAGCTGCTGTATATCTGTGGTCAGGTCCGGCTTGGGGAGAAAATATGACACGTCTTTCAGGATGGACTTCATCTTTGGTAGCTGGCGAAGCCGGGAAAAGCAGGATCTAACCACCTGGCTAATGTGGGAGTCCATCCGCATCTCTGGGTCCAAAACCACCCCCAGGTTAGTGATGGTTGGCTTCACTAAGCTGCAAAAACAGGGTTGCAGGACAGGACTAACTGCAGTGGGAGAGGGAGGAACAAATATTCCAGTTATAAATATTAAATATTTTAAAAAATAAATATTTGTTAAAAGGAAGAAACTGATGATGACTTTAAGATTAGAGGAATGTTCTAGAACGGGTCTGGAACCAACGATGGCCCTTTGGATCAAATCTGGATTAAAAAATAGCTCATGATTTTATTTATGGATGGAACAAAAATACAGGTTTTAAGCATCTTCTCAGTATCTTCATGTTGCACGACTTTCCACAGCAGAAGGACACAAAAACTACCAGAATTATGATTAGATAGATTTACGTTTTAATCTCAGAATCCCAACTTTTCCCAGAATCCTCACATTATTCTATGAGTTCAGAGAAAATATACATTTTTCAGAGGTCTCGCTCCCCTGTTGTGGATATTTCTCAAAATTCAACCATTTTTTCTTTTCAAAAGCTTTAGTAAGAGTTTGGACTCTAAACAAGTTTTACTTTGCAGACTGCTTGTCTACACCTTCATCAGATCTGCTCATAATAAAACATTTGGGTTATATTTAATGTCTAGAGAAGATGCTCTTCCTGGGTATTAAGTTATCAAAAACAGATAAAAGTTTTTTTTACCATAATTTTAACTGCTATCAGCTGATAAAAATAATAAAAACAGCCTGATCATTAAAGGGGTGTAAGTGAAACCGCGCGGGTCACACAAACCATCATGCTGTCTATATGACTCCGAGTGAAGGAAACATCACGGCGTTCCCTTCCCAACACTTTGGAGAGGCTGTCTAAATTGTGACAAAGCCTTTGAAGGGATTAAGGAACGTTAACCCTTAACAAATCTATAGCATCCCTGTGGAAACACCTTGTGTTTACATGCTCTGAGCCTCCAGTCTGGATGATTTCACCTCCTTAATGTGAGGATTCACTCACTGCCACAGAACACCTGCAGTCTCAACCAGGAAAACAGCTGCTGGAATGGGATTAGAGGCTGGGATTAGGGAACGTCAGACAAAAATGGATGATGAACCTATAAACAGACCTCTTAATGGACGATCATAGCAACACCTAAAGAAGCAGCTGGACCAGAAGCAGACCAGAACTCCTGAAACTGCCCCTCTCCTGATCTATATGGTGGATACCTACATGGAGGACCAGTGTCTGATGTTAGGAACAACATTTGGGCATCAATGGCTGCATGGTGTCACAGTTGTTAGCACTGTTGCCTCACAGCATGAAAGTTGCAGGTTTGAAACTCGGCTGCGGCCTTTCTGCGTGGAGTTGCGTGTTCTCCCCATGCATGCGTGGGTTTCCTCCGGGTACTCCGGTTTCCCCCACGGTCAGATCTGTCTCAGAGTCCGAGAGCTAGGCCTGGGCGATATGGCAAAAAGAATGATCATGATATATTTTTCCATATCGTTCGATCTCGATTTTAATCATGATTAATTTTTATATAGTCAGTTTAAAGCAGCTTAAAATGCAAAAATAAAGAAACTAGATATTAGTTAAACCTTTTATTGACATTCTGTGTGTCTTTATGCTATACAGGTACAAAATAAACAAATTATTTGCTGAATGAAACATCTTTGAGCTCCATCTCTAGCTTTTCTCTGCATTCATCATACAGATGTGGCAGTGCAGTTAGAGAAAAATACTTTCGGCCAGGTATTTCGTACCTCTGGTCCAGCACTTTAATTAAATGCTTAAATCCTTCTTTCTCTACTGTGTTCAGAGGCATCATGTCTTTTGCTATACAAAAAGTTATAGCTTTTGTGATGGTTTTGCTTCTCTTTGAGTTCTGCTCGTACGGTGCAACAGCTGAAAATGACGAGATGATTGATTGCTGTTTTGGTTGTGCAGCTGCACCGCCAGTGCCAGCTGGACCACTACTAGCAGCCGCGCTAGTGCTAAGTCTACTTTGAGACAAGCTAACAAGTTGTCCGGACTCTGCTTGCGTTTTCACTTGGGTGGTATTTATTTAGATAATTAAATATATTCGTTGTGTTGCCAGTTTTTGAAGGCACCATTTGCCGACATACCTTGCATGTCGGCTTTATTTGCTCAACGTCACTTTTGAGATACCCGAACCACCGCCACACAACTGACGTTGAGTAACTTTTCTTCTGAACAATGTCTTAATCTCCAGAAGACAACTCCGCGTCATGACTGGGATCTACTTCGCTGTCTTCAGCTCCACGTTTGGCCATTCTGCTTATTAAACCTCTTCACCAAAGTAGCGGAGCAGGAAAAGTGTAATTGCAAATGCTTCTTCTTTTTGTTAAATGGCGGTGGGCAACCAACGCGCATGGAGGGTTAGCGCCCCCTACTGAGGCTGCAAACATCCGTTATTTCTGATCGAGACTCCCAGCTGATCACCGTAATTTAACTGAAAATGATCGTGATCACAAAGTGCGATCATATGATCGCCCAGCCCTACCGAGAGCTACACGAGCGGTCAGCTCGCGCAGAAGCTAGCCGCCGCATCGGTCAGGCTGCCCGGCCTGACCGCTGCGGAGTACCGGATGGAACAATGGAACACAGAAGTGTCCCTCCAAGCGGTCATATTTCAACCCATTTTTATCTTAAATGCACTGGGTTTTGCCCTTTTACCCATCGAAATATGCACTCTTAATTATTTTACCGTATTTTACATTTAAATTTCATGGTTACATAAACTGTATGTACAGTCTATGGGTTAAACAGTACATGCTACATGTTAAACTGATAGTTAGCTAGCTACTTCGGTAAACAGCTAGTTTAAAGGCAGCAGTGACGTAAAATACAAATATAGATTTTAACTTACCGAAAAAAATGAAGTGGAGACTCCTTGGACGCTCTATTAGTGCAATTAATACCACAGCAAGTCATTTTGTCCAACAATTGCACCAATAATATCCAAAACAGAATTCACAAGCACAGAGACTCAAAATCCCGTAACAGTTTCCCCGGAGGGACCGAGGCTGTACTGAGGCCTTTCCACAGAGCTAGCTCTGTGGTCACGTGGGTCTGAGGCGGCGGTCACGTGGGTCGGATGCTCGTTAATTATACAGAATTTTAGGCTTTCAATACACTTAAACAGAAGAGTGAGAAAAAAATTCACCCCCCTCAGAGTTGTCATGAGTATAAACTAGATAATTTAGACAAAAAACATGTTTTGGTACCAGGCTGTAAACATGTTTATTTCTGCTGTGAAATCGGCATTTTTAACATGGGAGTCAATGAGGATTTGCTCGCTTCTGACACCAGCCCCCAGCGGATGAGGGTGGAACTGCAATTTTTCTTACTTCTGGGATGGGACCATTTTTAGAGCGGCATTGTGGGGGCTTGGGGGAAACACAAGACACAGTGGTGGCTGGCCAGTAGAGGGCGATAGGGCGCCGCCCTCCCAGTTTTTCCGTGTTTTTAATTTTTATTAAAAAAATAAATAAATAAAATTAACAATAATCACATATTCTAAGTTAATTGTGTGTTTTGTAACAAAAATAAATCATATATATATATATCTATATTGGTCTCTGCCGGTCTCTGCCGATCTCTGCCGGTCTCTGCCGTGCGGTGGAGGCTGTGTGTGCTGTTTTTCAATCGCCCAAACAGGACGAGACCAGCTGTCCAATTGCTGACAAGAATATCAAAGGGTAGGAATGGGAATGTATCCAATCAGCGTCGAAGTTGTTTCAGAACGTTTCAGAAGCATGATGGGCGATGGAGCTACCGCCAAAGGATTCGTTGGTGTTCGGTAGAACTCGGCAGAGTCGTTTTTGGTCGTGACGCAGATGTAACATGGACGCTGCCGGTGACTACAACCAGCATGGATACTGGATCTCAGCAGCCACTGAATTCAGTTCGGTCTCTTCTCCAGCATCCGTTCGAGAGGAGAACTATGGTGGAAAATCTTAATGTCAAAGAGCTTGGACCAGATCAGCCCGACGTAAAGATAAGCCAGCAGGAGAAGGAGAGAGGTAAACTGTACACACTAGGCTTCTCCCGAAATTGGTACACCAGGAAGCAGTGGCTAGCTGGATGCAATCACGCTAATGCGTTATTTTGCTTTCCGTGTTTGTTATTCAAAACGGCTGGGACAGATGAGGCATGGATGAGTCAGGAGTTACAGACATGAAACATTTTTCTGAGAAGGTGAAGAAACACGAGTCATCCCGGGCACACATGGACAACAACACGGTGAAGCTAGCCATGCTAGGCAGCAGAGCTAACGTTGCCATGCAGGGAACAACAGCAGCTGGGTGCAGAGGTAAGCTGTACATTACATTTCTGTGAACAAGACAATCAGAATCAGAAATCCTTGGTTGTCCCACAAACCAGGACATTTGTTTAATAACATGTTTAATGTGCAATAACTGTAAAAACTAATTTCAACACACATACTTATTATACATATTTAATCACGTAAATGTTTATTTCATGTAAATTTGTACATACATCAATCTGATTCCATTTTACTTGTTACACTTCTGCTGCAGCAAACAAATTTCCCAGCTTTTGGGACAATTAAACATTTCTGATTCTCAATCAGATGTTTTTACCTCAAATGTAAAAACATCTGATCAATCAGATGTTTTTACATTTGAGGTAAAAACATCTGATTGAGAATCAGAAATGTTTTATTGTCCCAAAAACTGGGAAATATGACATTTGTAAGAGGATACTGATGACATTATTTCCTATGAAAGTGTTTCCTTTGTACTTATCTGTTGTTTTTTATTTATCATATGACAGGTTTTTCACACCATTGTGAGCCATGCAAAAGAAGATTCTTGTCACCACACCCATGACCACAGCCGAATCAGAAAGGTGCTTTTCTACTTTAAAGAGGATTAAGACTTTCCTTGAGGAACACCATGACACAGGATGGGCTGAATGCTCTTGCCATGCTCTCCATGAAAAAAAAAGCTTGTCACAAACATTCCTGACTTCAATAAAAAGCTCATCGAGAGCTTTGCCACTCAGAAGGACAGAAGGGCGAAATTTCTGTACAAATGAGGTATCACACACATGCATCCACTTGATCTTTGTATAAAGTTGACCTTGGCACAACACTCCAGAAATATTTAACAGTGTAAATTTCTGGCATTTTGTCTAAGTGGTGTTTACTACCATTACTGTAACAGTGACCTGCTCATAATTTTTGGTGTTCACTCAAATGTTGAAATTAAACAAAATGTTTTTGTTACTTGCCTCTTGCATTGCCTATTTACCATTTATGGTCATGTTATTTTATGTGCAATTTAATGCAGTATTTTTCAACCTTGGTCTGCAAGGCAGCGTGCCAATAGTCAGACACACCTGGATTAATCAGTTTGTCCAATGATGTAAGACAGGAAATAAAAGAGCTGTGCTTAATTCAGGAAATAGTGAATTTGTGCACAAAGCTCAGAAAGCACAAGTTTGTTTAAAAAAAAAAATAGCACAGCCCCACCAAAAATATTTTTCACCAGCCGCCACTGACAAGACAATTAAAAATGTAACTCCCAAAACAAAAAATAACATCTCCAATTACACACAGACATTACCTGATGAGCTTGTGATTGGTATCAATGTGCACCATATACTTTGGGCAAGGAACTGTGTACGTCCTCACTACACATCCCAGATGTGTCATTCGAGCAAGTACACCCGCACTGTCCACACGATGCATGGATGCATACAGTCGGTCCCACAGTACTCTATGTCCCTGGGCAAGTGAGCACCTCGGACTACCCTGTACCCAGCATCTGGCATGTTGCTCTTAATTACTGTGATAAAATAAATCTAGTTCCTCATCACTGCATTTACTGTATGTGGCAGATACAAATATATAAATAAATATATTATTTTCAGACATCCGTCTAAATAGAGTTGCTCTGGATACACCAAGGAGTTTGGTAATGACACTTGTTGGCAGACCCATTTCCACAAGGTGTTCGAGAGCCTCTCGCGACACCGCCAATCGTTGACGGCCACGAGAACCTCTTTCAACGTGTACTGTTATTAATGTCTTTTGATTATCTCTTTCCTGCTGGATAATAGTATTCAGATCGGAAAGAGCAGAAAGTATATCCTCTCCCTCCCACATCAACAATGTCACCTAGAGCACCTAATAAAACTAAATAATGGTGACAAGCAAACTATAGAGCTCCGGGAGTTGACGTCACTTCTCCCGGCATGCAACAGTTCAAATCGAAACGGCGCCATTTGGCAGGCAGAAGCCGGCAGCTGGACTATTTGTTATTGTCAGAAAACTCAATCAAACGGGAAATATGGTAGATTCCTGTTGTGCCCCAGGATGCAGAACAGACGCAGACGACATAAGGAATGAGTCATCTACAGGATTCCCCAAGATCCAGAGCACCGCAAACGTTGGATCATTGTAATAAAACGCACTAGTGACCGGGCGAAAATGAAGCTGTGGGATCCCGAGAGTAAAGGTTTTCACTTATGCAGCGACCACTTCATATCATATCAGGTACTTAACCAACGTTTCCTCAACTGTGTATGGTATTTATTTTAAATGCTTTTATTACCATTCTTAGTGGGCTTCCTAAACTTATTTTGGCGTGGCTTTTTCTGTCTTATTACTCATAGCAGCAAGTAAACATCACGTAAAACGTTGCCTCGTGAGTTCTGCGTGCTGCCGTTTCCGTATTTTATGATGACAGCAATTAACCGGCTAAGCTGTATTTTATTTTTAAGCAATGGTTGATCATTTGTCAGATCACACATAAAAAGCTCTTTGGATTGCTATTATCTGTCTCACCGAGACTACTTACGTGTAAATCTGTTATTTGTCCGTCCATCCATCCATTTTCATCCGCGTATCTGGAATCGGGTTGCGGGGGCAGTAGCGTGACTTCCCTCTCCCCAGCCTCCGGAGCCAGCTCCTCCGGGTAAATCCCAAGGGGTTCCCCGGTCAGGTCCGGTGTTGTGCCGGTAAGAAGTCCGCTCCGACAGCTTCTGGCGTTTTAAAAAAGTATCCCAGGGGCACGGTAAGGGTCGGAGATGTTTAGTCTATTTAATTTCTGACTATATAAAACGATTTCTTCTGTTTTAAAGTGTGAAGTAAACTCCGACGAAGTAAAATCCAAGCGTATCCCGTTCATGTTCATGGTTACATCCGTGTTTGTTTACCTTTTTTGCATGCCAAAATGGCGTCCACAAACTGAGAGTCACGTGGGGTCCGGAGCTCTATAGCCCTTCCCCATCAACAGGTTGCCTCTCCAAGATGCTTGACAGTCGATCGTAAAACCTCTGAAGGATGTCACGCCTCAATGATTCCTAGAGGAAAAAAAAACAAAAACAGAACAAACATGAATTGGATAACTGTTGGGTAATAGAAATAAAATAACAACTTCCAAATATCTTATGGCACTTTTATTTTTTTAACACTCCAGCTATGATAGTTTTAATAAAAAAACATTTTTAAATAAGACCAACTGTAGATTCAAAGGTACATGAAATGATGAAGCAGTATTTCTGTTTATTATGTGCCAGAGCTCATTGGCCAAAATTTAAAGATGTATTTTATTTGAAAAAAAAAAAAATTTCTTTAACTATCGCACACCACCAGAAAATCTAACATTTATGCACCGGCTCAGCCAGTGTCTGTCTCCTTATTACTGCACGCACAGCCTAAAGCAGGGGTGTCAAACTCAAATTCACAATGGGACAAAATTAAAAACTGGGACAAAATTGTGGGCCAAACTCAATATTTGTTGAAAAGTTTATTTACAGATGTCTTGTTATTCAACTGGAAAGAAACTTATTTTTGCATCTGAACACAGAATCTGATATGACCAAATTATACACGAGCAAGTACATTTTAAATAAAACACATCACTCGTTACTTATGTCTCAATTTTTATTTACTCTTTTTACTCCTTACAATGTGTACATATTCAGTATTTAGATTGTTTTACCTTTTGGATATTTTAAGTTTGTCTGTTTTATGTTTTCTTTTAGTTTACTCTTTATTATTATGTTTTACTCTCCTGTTTGGCTTCTGTAATGAACGTTATTGCTGCTGTGACATCACAGTTTCCCCACTGAGGGACAATAAAGGGATTTTCTATTCTATTCTTCAATTTGTAGTCTGTCCAGTTCCCATTTTAGAGTAAGTTGAATCTTTTTTTTTTACAGGCCAACAACAAAAACCAAAAATAGCAATTATCTTCTATGAAAATATCTCAGTTATTAACTTTCATGCTTTGGAGCAGAAAAAGTTCATGACAATTAAATGTTTCAAGCTCAGTTCTCTCCACTCTGATGGTCACCTGTTCCAGCCAGATACCTTCTTTCTAGGCGTTCAAAGTCGGAAACTCGCTGAGTAAAATGGGCGCTAAGAGGAGTATCTTCAGTTGTTTAAGACTGAGGGTAACGCTGCACACGCTGATTCTACTAGCATGGATGCTAATGATCGTAAACATAAGAGGGCTTGCTTCGTCTCGCGCGCTAACGCCGCAAAGCACTGTGAGATTAGTAGTCTTATCAGCAAAATCGCCCGGTGGGCCAGTTTTAATATTATATATTTGATATTTGATTTCGCGGGGCAAATAAAAATAGACCAAGGGCTTGAGTTTGATAACCGTGGCCGAAAAAAATGGTACCTAGACACGCTAACTAAACAAATGTTCGCTTGAGTTTAGCTTGATGTTAAACTAGATGAAGAATGGACCAGACTTCACGCAACGTCTGGACTGAATTGAACATAAAACATTTTACTAGACAATGAAGAACGCTTCTACTCATAATTCTATAACATTGCATCAATTACAACGAGAGAATAAGATAAAACGGTTACTCACAGATTGTGACCGGTCCATCCCGCTCTGCCGTGTGAACTGCAATACGCATGCGCACAGCAGATCTGTTCCGTAACATGAGGAGCCATATGATTGGCTGAAAGCGAACAGCCCTGGCAGAATCATATATTTGATTGACAGATTCATTAGCCAATGGTGACGTTTGCTGATCTGCGACGTAAGGAGTGTCTCAAAATTCAGCACACCGATTTCTCTCACGAATGCTGGAAGGTTCACAAATGAGAAGCTGTTCATGAATGCACGTTCAGCAATTCGTATGATCTGTGAGTTTATATTACAAGTGTTCTTACAAATTATATTTGTGAACCACAGAGTGTGAACTTCAGAATTAGCGTGTGCATTTGTGGAAAATGTTGCGTGACTTATTTTTTCACATTATATTTATGAGTCAAAGAGTGTGCGCGCGCGCACACACACACACACACACACACACCTTTATGATGATCTCACAAACGCTGAAAACGCACGTGGCGCTGCACATGACGCTGCCTGTTTACGCTTTATTACGTCGCTTTGTTACGTCGCTTTGTTACGTCATCCTGCCAGCCTATAAATAGGGCGCTAGAACCCCTTTGTCAGTCAGTCAGCTAAGCTTAGCTGGAAGGATGAGTGGATTCGGGGATCTCTCGTCAACTCGTACACTCAGAAATTTCTGTAAATTTACTGCAGAATTCCAACAGTAACATACCGTTTTTCCAAATTACGGTAGGATAATGTTAAATCTGATGTTTTTTTCTGTTGAATAACAACAGCTGGAAAATTACGGCAAAAAACGGTCTGGTCTAATAGAGTATTTCCTTTGAAGCACATTTTTGAAGTTGTCAACTTGAACAGCCAGTTACGTTGAAGAAGAAGAAAAAGAAGACAATCACTCTTCATCCTCCAACTTGAAAGCTTCTGAAGGGTGAGTTTTTCACTCTTAAGAATGTAAATCATGGTTTTGGTCAGTATTAAGTCAATATATAGATCACCAGAAACCCACTTGTCAAAGTTTAG